CTACTTCTCGGAATTCTGTGGTGAGATCATCGGAGAATTCCACCCAGGTGGGGAATCTCCAATGTCCCTGATTATCCCGATAGCGGTAGTATTGGTCACCCCACCAATCCTTGGCCTTTTCCCGTAGGTACCCCTGGGCGAACGTTATGCGGTAGGGGTTTTGGCCTTGGTCGTTCATGGTGAAGTGCAGTGGAAAGACCTGGAAATACATCTCGCAGTGATGAAGAAATCGATTAATATCCGTGGCTTCCCCGGTGAAATATTCGGGCTGTGTGATTAGTTTCGGTTTAACGTCACTCCACAGGTTGTTATCCCTCCCCGCGGCTAGGGCCCAAGGTGGTATTGGGTCCGGGGGCGAGGGTGCCCTAGGAGGCACTGGAGGGTTAGGCGGTCGCGGTAGCGATCATAGTCGGTAGTTCTCCCCGGGGGGGGGACAGTCGCCCGGGTATGCGGGTCGTCTCAGCGGTTGAGATGGCGGTTGAGGCGGGACGGTGGACTTCTTTCCCTTGTCCGAGGGTCCCGCGCCGGGGTCGTCCATCTCGTCATCGTCGCCTGGTCCTGCTCCTGCCCAGAACGTCTCTGTTTCGAGCAGGTTAGGCATCGGCTGGGGCCGGTGATAGGGTTCACACCCGGGTTGAGGCACCTCGGGGTTCATCATGTTCCACACGATGGCTGCCCGGTGCCAGGTCTCTACTTCGAGGATGTTCTTCATGAGGTATACGTCCCCCATGCTTTTCGCGCTCCGGTAATCTTTGCCTGCGTCCGTAAACATCCACTGTGAATCCTTCTCCATATCTTCCATGATGATTTCGTATAGCCCATGCCAGGGGAGAAGGTTAAAGATATCGGGCCGCGGGACTGGTCCCCTAAGAAGGACCTGCCTTACCGCCGCCATCACCGTTGGTTCGAGGGCCTGGTTTGGGGGCTGACTTGGCATCCTGGGCCTCCTTCCTCTCTCGGGCGACGCGGTCGATTTCCTTGTTTCTTCTCCACCTCCCGATGTCGGAGTCCTCATCGCTGATCTCGGCCTGGTAGGAGTTCCAGGCTCTTCTTCTTGCCTCGAGATCGGTGCCTGCTCTTCGAGCTGCTCCTGAGTATCGAATGGCGGCTGCTCGAATTCGGTTCTCGACCTTGGCGTCGGTGGCATTGGGCTCGAGGGGTAGGTCCCACCAGCCTCCAGGTCCCTGGAGAGCATCTTCTTCAGCATGCCTGATGCGTGCATCGTGCGCTCTTCCTCGCTCCATTCGGGCCTCCACTTCTGGGGCGAGCCGGGCATCTCGAGTGAGTCTGAGGGACTCGACGTACGTGTGATAGAGTAGGGGCCATGGACGCTGAGAGGCCGGTACGGGAGTGGCGAAGGCTCTCGACGGGACGGAGGGTTCCCAATTGGAGACTCTGGCGAGTCGCTCGGAAACAGTAACTGTTCCAAGTTCTTCGGTGTCGTAGTCTGGGAACTCGCTCCAAAGCTCCCCACTCGTCGGCTCATGCGGGGGGACGGTGGTAACGATCGCTGGGGTCTCGGAGCCCTCAGAGACCTGGTCGGGCTCTCCTCCGGGCATGACTCTGGCCACAGCAGCCTCTTCCCTGTTGTCGGCGTAGACCCAGCTGGTCTGGGGGTACCAGGCGACAGGCTCTCCCCTATCGGCTGGCCAGGACCCTGAAACAGACTGTGAGTGAGCTGTACTGGTGGTAGCTGCAGAGGCTCCGAGGCCAAGCTCTCCGGAATCGCTGTCGTAGTCGTCCTCCTGGGTGACTCTATATCTCCTGCTTTCTCCTCTCCAGACGGCATCCATCCACTGTGTTCCTGTCCGGCCACTGTAGCTGTCTCCGGTATAGGTTGCATTTTCCTCCTCATTCGGGTAGAGGTCATCGAGGAGGGCATCGAGTCGGGTCCTCTGCCAATCTGAGAGGCCGTCCCCTTCGTACTCGGTGTCAGGGCTTTCTTCGCCCTTGTCCAGAGGCCTGGTGCCTTGTCCTCTCCCTCCGTCGGCGCTTGACTCGCCTTGGACTGGAGACTGGTCGAAGAGACCTGGTAAGGGCGAGTCTCCTCGGTCGAGGAGTACGCCCCTGGTATCGGTGATATCGATTGAGTCGGCTGACTCGTTGGTAACACTTCTGTAGGAGTCGGTGCTCGACTCTGAGGATCGCGAGCTGGGTCGCGACGATGTGTAGAGGGACCCTCCAGGTCCCCCTGAGACGGTGGATTCGACATGCTGCAGAGTCTGCTGAGATGCCGCGGGAATGTGAATTACCGGTGGTGGGTACGCGGGGGTACTGGGAACATAATGGAATGGGAGTTGTGCACGGACTCTCCTCTGCTGTCGAAAACAGTGGTGTATCCGGTACAAAGTAATGGACAAGAAAAAGAGTATAAAAGTTGCGAAGACGGCGAGAGTGGAGTCGGACCAGGGCATCAAGGAATTGGCTTATTCTTGGTGTGGGCTGGCGATAATGATGGTCCATGCGATGGTCAGGGCGATGAGGGTTAATGCGGCAAGAGTTGCAATAATCAAGTTGAGGTCGGTCTCATAGTTGAGACCGGTCGTCAGCTCAATGTCATCAAAAGAAGGGTCAGTCAATGTCAACAGTATTACTGCTAACAATGAGGCTGACTTTAAAGCGATGGGGATTGGTTTCGTTTTGTCTTTAAACGAGACGAGGGTACAGTCCGTACAGAGTGGCTAGCAAGCCTGCTAGCAACAACACGGAGATCCCTAGTTCGATAAGGACGAAGGTGATGAATACAGTCGTGAGGACTGCGAGGAGTGGGTCGTAGAGAAGGAAGTATACAATCCAGGCGAGTATCACAAATCGGAGCAGTAAGTTGAATGGGGTTACCCAAAGGACTACTGCGACGATGAAGTGTATCGGATGAATTTTGGGAGTGAAGTGCTTTTCCGTTGGTCCACTCGGCGGGCGCTAACAGTCACGGAACTGTCCTCACGAACGCACGACGATGACCTCTCTGGTCAAGCGGGAAATACAACTTTGGATAATGTTGGGCAGCGTTCGTTCTCTGACGTGGCGCTGAGCAACGGGGGTCGAGCTTCGGCTAAATGTTAGCCACTAACTCTAATCGACTTAGATTGTACTAGGATCGCTACTCGCACTTCGGTAGACGATACTCTAGCAAGTCAAAGGCGACGAAAGTCGATGGGACAGATAGTCACGAAGAACGGAGTTCGATGTTAGGTAGATTAAACCTTAGCCAAAGCTGGGGTTCAGACCAGCTGAGGCTCTACTTAAATACAAGTGGATGTGCTAATAATAGTACTGTGGGAAATGATCTGCAGGGATTGCATATGAGTAATCACACTGAGTAAAACGAAGAAAAATGAATAAACCGTAACACCTTACGTGTCGATGGTCCTGGGATTCAGCGAGATCATCGCGGATGGCCTCATTCACTTTGACGTTCGGCCGGAAAACATGATTATCACCAAAGATTGGCTGAACGTTGTGATTGACTTTGGGCAGGCGGATCTACGTCTATCCAAGCCATACAGCAGGATTGCATCAACTAGATGAGACGGTGTATATGAAGCTTAACTATGCAATAGTTTCAGAGGCATAAGAATGAGCCGGATTTAGAAAGGCGGGCGATATCGAGACGATTATGCCACTTATAACTTACATAAAGGCGGGGCTTTTGAGGGCTTTTGTCGCTCGACTTCTTTCATCCTGCTCTTCCATCTCTCCATCTCTCAGATTTTTTTAGGTCTCATTCAATTCGACAAGGGTGTTATCTGAAGAGAAATTGAACAGCTGAGTATGGATACCGGATCGTTCCTGGTTCATCTCAGTATTCATGATTATCTCTCTCATCATTACATGTTCAGTCAGTCTCTTTGCGGTGTACTCTGCTCGGACTCTTCTGGAATATGTGCGCTCGCTTTCTCTCCTCACTGTCTACCGCTGCACGGAATAATCCAGCCTTTGCGAGTGGATGCAAGGTGACGGTGTTGATCCATCTCCAGCGCACAGAGCCATGACAACAGGAGACCGTTTAATGAAAAGGATGTTAATTGTTGAAATTTTTATAACGAGCCTCGGAATGAGTTAGAGCTGGGAAGATTCAGAAGTTGATGAGCAGGACTTTTCTGCATCCTCGAGTGAGTCTCCAGCGTATGATCTTCTGACGTGATCTTCACTCGGCCATCTATCACTATACATACTGCATAGACCTAATTCCCTCTTATACCACTGTGCTACAACTCTTTCTGTCAGAAGTGGTTCTCGCTGTCGTTACTTTGTTACTCGCATGCACGCAGGCCCCCGGAAATGGAGTATCTCCTGCGATTTGCTCTGCGCGACGCTGGTTGTATTGGATGGTGACCTCAGCAAGCAGGACTTCCTGAATCCCGATATGCTTTGAGAATTTCTTCTCACACGGTGCAACTTGAAAATCTCAGGCACAACCTCTGCGCAAGATTAATACATTGGGCCACATCTTATACATTGTGTAATCACTAGGACAACCTCATTTCCTTTGATCTTCACACTGTACATCACCGGTTACTTCTGGTCTGCGCCATAACAAGTTTAGCAGTGCTCGTCTCCCTCTAGGCAGGCCAAAGCTGAAGTTCTCGTATGTCTCGAAATCCAGGCGAACGACAGTGTCCTTAGTTTCCCATCACTAATCAATGTTGACCGGTGTCAGATCTCTTTTCATTGAGCCACCTATCTTTCCCATCCACCCGACCGTCGCCATCACCAAAACCTCAGCCATGTGTTCTGGTCCAGGTCGGCCTTATCTAGGCAGCGGTACCAGCCAACAATGATCTGAAGTGCCCTGTCTGATACGATCAGATCAGGGCTGGTCTGATCAGAATACTCCAGACCTCGATAGGATCGGTGTGGTCTACTCGAGGGGAGATAGACCTACATAGAAGAGGCCTGAACCAGAAGAGATCCGAAGTAGTCAGTCAATGGCTCTCAAATTGTGTCGCATCAGCCTTATCAATTATAATTATGTTAATTTAATTTCAGTCTAGTAAGAATTACAGAGCGGAATATCCGAAAAGCCCATCATCATCAAACTCGTCATCTTCTTCAGGCTCATTTAGCTTGACATAGTCATCTGAATGCCATGAGCTGTCACTGTCTTCATCCTCAATGCTACCATCGATTTCAGCATCAGAGGTATCCGAGTCTGCTAAGTCTGCTGGCGCATGACCCAATTCCGAAGTATTGGCGCCAGGTTCAGCGTCATCCTCTTCTTGTTCAGCATCCGATTCAGCGACTTCAGAAGTATTCTCCGATGTAGTGATCCCCAAAGCATCGAGAAGCTCTTCCCACAATCTCCGTGTATACTCTCGTGTATTGCTGTGGCCGATGCCATTGCCGCAATACCGCATGAACATGTCACGATCAGCAAATCTGCTCTCCGATTTCCAGTCAGATCATAGATACAGAATGATAGAATTCAAGGATGGACTTACATATCCACATAATAGCATGCCCAATCCATGTCATTCTCATTGAATCTCCTACAAATTGAGGGTGGAAGGATGTCCGACGTTTGACCATAGACATAGGCAGGCATAATATGTGATGCACGAAGAACATCATTAGGATCTACAAACCCAAACGCCTGAGGATCATCACCTGGGAGAAAACCAATGCATGGCAAGCGCTTTGCCCTAAACCCAGAAGGGATGCTCCTATCAAATGCATACCATCGGACCCATAGAAACTGAAGGTTCTTTGCAGTGCGATCAATGGACTGCAGGCCAACATGACGGACCATCGCATGAAAGATACCGATAACTCTGGCATATAGATAAGGATGAGAATTGTTATCGCTATCCAAATCAGTCTGCGTAGAAGGAGAAAGGGCCATAATATCGGAATGAGTATGAGGGTTGATAGAATCTTGATTTCGACGAGCATCGTAGGTAGTATAATTGATACGAAGAATTTGATGTGAGTAGAGGCGGTTGTCGACAATGATGAGGTTCTGGCGATGAAGATCCGTGAATTCATCATTACTATTGAGAATTCGAGAGAGTAAATGGTCCTTGAGCTTTCGAATAAAACCCTAGAAGTGATGTCAGATCATTATTACAGGGAGTTTAGATGATCCAGGATTAGATAGCTCACATTACATGCAATGTCGCTGCCATTCTCATGAAGCCATGGAGCCAGATATATTTTTGAACTTGTAGATGGTGATATATGATGGTGGTGACTTGGATCTGTGTACGGGAGCACCTCAGAACCATCCCTTGCAGGCATAGGGCGACTTCGGTGTTTTTGGTCCTTGAGATCGATTTTTTGTTGCATTTCTCAGAGGTGTTCTTGGCGTTGAACATGATGTGATATCTGCTTCGCAAAGGTCTTGTTCTTGTTGGTCCGCCCATAGAAACGCTTGACTCGCCGATGCTCAAGCTCTCCCTGAAATAAAATGAGCTTAGTGTGGCATAGAAAATTTGGAGGCTTACCAGCTGAGTACTATATGAATCTGTGGTTCCAAATGCACGAATCATTCCAGGATAATCACCCATGGCATGATATTTATACGTTGAAAGATTAAATCTTTTCTGTAATTTCGCTGTTGAAATTTTACCTTTTGACGTGCTGTTCCCTTTCTTCTTCATGTTATTGATATCACGCTGTGCCCTAGCTTCGCGTTCCTTTGGAATCTCACATGTATCAATTTCATCAACCTCCCGCTTGAATTTTCTCATGAAGGACCCGAAAAGCCACGTTAGACATTCAAACACTCGGAGTGATGACTCAGTATGCATCCGAAGTTTAGCATTCGCATGCCAGCAAGCAAACAAGAATAGCAAGTCAAGGACAAGCCTGTCCAATTTTGGAGGAAAGAGTCCTTCAAAGCATGGCATGGCACACTACAAGTGATAGATCCAGAGTCAGCACTGAGATATGTTAGAATAATAAGCTATATACCTGAAGAATATCTTCGAAATCACGAGCGGCAAAGTTTTTAAGGTCGGATACATTATTCTTGAACCTTCGTATAGTTCCTCGTCCAAATGTAGGCATCATTCGGAACCTACAAGCAGAATTAAAGACAGTGATATGACTAGAAACATCTAAAGAGACATACCTTCTATTTAATTCCTGTATAATATCGCCTCCGTAAAACTGACAAAGCCGTAGTGTTAGCCACTCTAACTCAAATCGACTTAGATCGTACTAGGATCCCTACTCGCACTTTGGTAGGAGATACTCTAGCAAGTCAAAGGCGACACAAGTTGATGGGACAGATAGTCATGAAGGACGGAGTTCGATGTTAGGTAGATTAAACCTTAGCCGAAGCTGGGGTTTAAGCCAGCTGAGGCTCTACTTAAATACACGTTGGTAAACTAAAAATAGTACTGTGAGAATACGTCCGTCCTGATCGCATGTGCGTGAGCAGGCTGAGTAATACGAGGGAAAAGGAAAAAGAAAGAAAGAAAGAAAAGAAATGAATAAACCATAACACGTAGAAGATGAATAAAGAGCGCCTTCCATGTTCCGAGTTCAATCTCATGCAGAGGATCAATGACGAACATCTGGTAGAAGTTGAAGAGTGAAATAAACACTGAGGAGAACGCATTCTAATAGAACATTAGCATGGCATTATCCTGATGAGACCACTATTGACTTACTCGTGTTGGTGATAGAGACTGGCGGTTCAGTACATCGCTCACTGCCTTGCCATCAACAACATTGCCATCCTCATAAATCCAGCTGTGAACTTTCTCAATCCAGCTTTGCCATTGTGTTGTATCCACTCTAGCTTTTTTTACATGGCGCTTCATGTCATTGATGGTACCCATTTCCGACGCTGTTTCCTTGGTTACTAAGCAGCGTGGGCATAGAAATTCAGCCATTGACTTAATACTTGCGAGTAGGACTCTGTAAAATAGATGAATTAGAATGTAATAATAGAAACTAATACTAACATACTTTTCAGGGTAGTCAGCTGAGTATAGAAAAAAGCGAGGGTATACATGGCGGTAAATATTATCAGCGTAGAAGATTACAACCCCATTTATATATGCATCCATGAATTCTGGTGAAAGAAGCTTTGCCCAGATAGCATGAACGAGCTCCCGTTTCAGAAAAGTTAGGATTGCAGGGGATGCACACCGTCCAAAGTATTTCAGATAGGCATCTTGAATTTTATCCGGAATCTGATTGATATAATTCAATATAATCAGTATTTTAAATGCAGAAGACGAGGTAAAAACAAACGGTAGGCATGTACACAATATGATGTGATGCTCCTGATGTTGGTCGAGCCCACACGTACTTGGAGAGTAGGCCGAACAACAGGTAGATGGGCCAGAGTGCGGCTGTCCTGAAATTAGTAAGATGCGTTGAATCCGAGTACAGCATGCATGGCACAATAACAGTTTCCAATCCGTTTGGGTCAGGTGTCAGGTGAACTTCGTCTTCCATTTCAAGAAAGATATCTGAACTATATACCTCCCCGTATACTCGTTCCGGCTGGTCATCGTTTCCAGGATCCCACATTTCCTTGAAACCTTTCAGATGAAAGTCAAGGAAAGCGGTGCTCTGGAAGGTGGATACAATCACGTCCAAAAGGTTCCGGTGGTAAACACCTGTGACTTCGAACTCGGGAGCAGACTCCTCAGAGATGTGTTCAACACCGGTTTGAGGCAGCTTGATGGTTACTGAAGTCTCATGCCAGCCATCAGATAAAGAAAATGGAAGACAATTTTGTTGTTCGCCAATAGTATCGAGCACCTTGATCTCCTTCGCAGCATCAAAGTTATCGGTAAGATGCTCAGGATCAAAATCTGGTGCCCGTAGAACGGTTCGGACAAGGGAGGTGACGTCTGACAAAGATTTAGATGTTGACTGATAGAACCACGAAAAAAGGCGGAAGATAGTCGCATTTGGGAAGGGATAAAATGGATCAGTACTGCTCTCAGGTGCATTTGCGAGGCGGTCGGCATGAGAAGTGAATGTTGAAGCATCAGAGACTTCATCGAGACCACCTCCCATGGTAGGGTCAACAGTCGGCCACTCCTTATAACACCGATAAAGACCCATCTCATTTGGAGCTGTCTCGAGATATACAGGTTCGGGTGGTGGTGAGGCTGATGGAGAAGGTGACCTGGATGGTGACGGCTGAGGCATGGCAGGTGGGAGAGGTGGTTTTTGCTCCAGTGATGCAAATAGGCGAAATCCAGTAGGTTTAGATGGTAATAGATCGTGCAGGTGCTTTGGAAGGATGATATTTCGCTTCGGGCGGCCTTCTGAAATGACAGGGATGGGAGGAGGGCTGGCAACTTGCTCATCTTCATCTGGAATGGCGGCATAACTAGACGGTCCTGCAGTTGGAGTATGCGGCAAGGTCCTTGCTGTTTCATTCATGGTTGCATCAATTTCGTGTATCTAGAACAAAATTTAGACTGGGAGATGTACAACGAACATCATAGGCATTACATACAGGTGCGTTGTCTCTGCTAAGGTCGATACGATGCCTCTTGGGTGAAAGACGCTCACGAATTGCCTGCAGTCTTGTCCCAGCAGAAATTGGCACCATCTCCGAGTTTGGATTCTCCTCCACATCGGACGGGGACGTGACATGCTTTCGAGACTGAATACGGACATTCTTTCGCCTTGGGCACCTTCGCTCGTGGTTTTTGCAGGCCACAGCATTGTGAAAGGAGGCGTTGCAGAAAGAGCATCTTCCCATAATAGCCTAAAACAGATTTAGTTAAATTTCCACAAATAAAAAGTTGTGTTACCCAGTGAAAATGAGAAATAGAGGGAGAGATGCAGGAAGAGAGAGAAACACAAGAGGTAACTGGACTCCACAGCTGAGAGCGAGTCGGCGCTGTGATGGCGGTGGTGGTGGAGATCACGTGTTACAAGAATCGCATCACGACGCGTTACATACTGTCACGCTTGTCCTTCTTGCCCTTTACTTCATCCTCCTTCGAAGTCAACCATGAAGCCTGCTCCTCTCCCGGCACCTCTGAAGGCAAAAAAGGCCAAGACGACAACTCACCCACCTCCTGCAACATCTTCCAACAAAAAAAAATCGAAAAAGCCTATCAAGCAGCCGAGGATAGCAACACCACCACCACGGCAGCCTGTGCACAAGACCAACCGTTCTCGCAAGGTTGTGTCCTCTGACGATGAGGACCCTGTTGACGCCCGCCACCAACAACAAGTATCCGAGGATGAGGACGAGAATGACAGCGAGGATGAACAGGATGTGGAGATTCAAGATGCGGATTCGCTGAGGCTAGGCAAGAGGAAGAGGTCACCAACAATTCGTGGTCTGTCTCTTCCTAAATCAGTGAAGTAGTCATCCTTCCTCTCTACATTGTTCTGGCTTTGACGAAAAATACAGGAATTTTTCCGCCCTCAAGAAGTACTACCGGCTCGCGTCAAGAAACATTCCTCGATTTATCCATCCCTGGGCCAATGTACAGGGAATCGTACTCCACGGATTTATGGTTAAGGGGATTCTCGAATCGCTTGCTGAAGATGAGGAGGAAAAGGCTGAGGACGATAGCGACAGTGAGACGAAGGAACCTGAGACGCCAGAGTGAGTACCAAGTGCATATATTGATATAAATTACTGACAACCGTGTAGAAATTTCCGATTTATGCACTCCTATATGCACATCACGACATTCCTCTTCCCGTGTTTCGAGATGCACGTCAGTCAACTAGAGGACCTGGGGTCAGACGATCCATTGAGGGCAGTCTTTGAGATTTTTGCAGCGGTATTTGTCTTTTCCTCTAAAGTACACTAGCTGACTGTTGATAGATAAACGCAGGAGCCCGTAGTGGTCGCTCGGATGATACGACAAAAATCAGTGATAACATCATGCGTCTTTCAACCAAGGACCTTACCGATGAGACGCTGCTCCCAACTCTCAAGAAATACCAACGTGGATTCAACCACATCCACACGGCTCGCCTTCTATGCCCTCAGCGTTGGTTAGATCAGTTTGATGAAGATCCTCAGTATCGATTTCGTTCCTTCTCATTGCTTAATGACCCTGACTCTACCCTTGATAATAGTGCAATGATGGTTAAGCTGCAGACCAAGGTAACAACGCGATACCTTCCGTCGTATCTGTATGATTCAGGGCTTGTCGATCCTTCCGATCCTCGTAAGGGTCTCTTTCGAGGCCATACTTGCATTCGGGTTTGAGCTCCTCACTTAATTTGTAACTGGTACTAAAGCCTTTCTAGTCATTCCGTGCAATTTTTCTAGGGAATGCAGAACACGACGCATCCGACTTACACAGCACTGTCAAAGGAAAGCTGAACCTCAAGACCGCGTCGGAGGAAATGATTGTATATGCTGCTGTACAGGTACGTTTTTGATCTGTTATCAATATGATCCTCATTCGCTATGCTAGGCACGATTCGCGTTATCATCTTGCACTACATGGGGGGATCAGAGTGACGGCTTCAACCTCGAACAGTATAACCACAAGTTATCAAGAGTTTTCCTGGATTCGATCAATGAAAATGGCGATACATGGGCGCAAGAAACTGTTGAATTCTACACTACATACGTCTCCACTCCTTCATCAATTCTGGTTTACAACATTGTCTCTTTATAGCGAGATCTTGAAACCCAAGACTGACGAGGACCAAGAAGAAGTTGACGATGACGATGACGAATCGATAATGAAGAGGAACCGCGAAGCACGCATCAAAGAACGAGCGGCTGTGGCTGCGGCTGCTGATGAAGAACTTGGCGATAACGAATCCAACGCGATGCCTTGATGGTTCAGAGGTGAGTTGTGCTCGTATAGTCTAGTGACGTTGTGCTAATCTCCGACTCTACTTAGTTTCAACTATGGTACTCGGCCCTGTTTCTGTCCGACTTTGCTTCTCTCACTGGTGCATGGACTGCTGTATGACTCGTTTGCTCCCTTTAACGCTCTCGCTCCGCTTGCTGCTTACCTGTATGCTTATCTGATGCTTTCGTCTTTCTCTGCTCATAACTCAGTGTACTGTCTAAAATTTCGCTGTGTTAATAAATTACTTTCTAATACATTGGCGACGTCAACTGCAAGAGAACCTGAGGGTGTGCGGCAATATGTCTACCCGTCCGTGAGCTGTCAGTTCCTATCGGATCCGGCCTTTCTTACTCGAGCGAGTAAGCCTCGCAATACCGATCGAGACCGTAGCAGAACGCATAGAACACCACAGAAGTGCCCTGATCGCACTCTGATCGTACCCAGAACAGACGATATGGGGGTCAAAGGTCTGGGACACCTGTGGTTGGCGGCCAAGATCCGTAAAGATTGCCCAGATCAGGTCAGGGCGACTTGATCGCAGGCGATGGTATCGGTCTGACCAAGATCGCATGGCTCAGGTTTTGGCGATGGCCAAGTCCTGTGCTGTTTCTTCTCTGGTAGAAGATTACGACTGCAGCTTGCGACCTGCTTACACCACCCTTTGTTATAAGGCTTGCTATACCTTATTACCCATCTCACATCCCCTCGATCTATAACCGATGCATTTATTATCATATGCTGCTTGTTATTTACTGCATTTCCCCCCCTAAAAACAAGCTCGATTCTTTCTATCCATCTTTCGTTTCTGATCCACGTTTAAGTCTCTGCGATAACGGACTAAAGAATGAAGAAAAGCCGCGTCCTGCCGCCGTTGTATGCCCCGGCGTTGAATAAAGAGAGTAGAAGCAGACGGTAACCATGAGAGCCGTTGTGGCGGCATTCTTAGCCTCCACTTTCTCCATGTCCTGGTGTTACGTAGAACATGGATGAAAGGGGAAAGCACGAATCCAATAACAGGTTTCTTCCCGAGCGATCCGGAACACGATTAACGTCGTGGCCGATAAGTGACTTGGTCACCCGATAGTGTTCAACGGCCGGAAACATGCGGCTAGTTAAGGAGTGTCCCGTCCTCAAATATCAGATTCTAACTGGAGCAGAGTGGCGCCGTCAATGCCCTCTACCGAATCTCCCCCATTCAAAATCCTTAATCCTCACCCTGTCTCCCACCGACAATCTCTTCTTGAAGAATTTGATGACGATGTTCTCCCTTTCTATCACCCCGATTTCTCTCTTTCAAGGTAGCCAAAGTGTAAGTAACATCCCACACTAGACGTGTTTAGGGTCCTCCCCTCCTCCCGAAGCAACGGCTCAAAATACCTCCGTCTGGCACCATTTCCATAACCAATAACCCCTTACCTCCATGCTTCACATTATCTTCAGGTCTGCGCAGAAGAAACGGAACAGGAAGGACAAGTTCGAATCAGTCGCTCGGGTCACTTTATATGGAAGTGCACCTAGGCTCCTACCCTCGATCGCATGTCTTCTGCAATGGAGTAGATCACTCTCGATCATCACTGTCTCTCCACCGACGATCTTTCCCTGAAGATCGATCAGGAGTGCCCAAACAATGTTCTTGACTTACTTCCCAATCTCCCTGGGTGCATATAGACTGCTTTATTGCTGGATGACCTTGGGAAACACCCCACCGGCTCGATCTGAAATATCATATCATTTAGTCCGATCAGTCTACATAGTTAATATACATGCATTGTCCCTCATACCAGGTCCACACTATGATCTGCTTCCGTCATCATACTAATCCAACCTCAATGTCCGTATTCAAGACTCCTATCCTTTTCTTCCACTTTCTCCAAGGAGATTCACGGCGAGCTTCCGGCGGCCCGATGTGAGGGCTGGAATTTGTCGACTGCTATATGAAATGTTCAACTGGTGGACGGACTGTAAGATTTATGTCATCTGCCTACCTGATTAAATTCATTATTCGCCGCAACAAGACAGTCGGTCAGAACTTGGGTGGCCTCTCTCAAACCCTTCTTCAAACTTTCCTCATCGCACCCTGGGTTGATTAACGTGAATTCGTACTTCTCGACAGAATACTTGGCATCTGGAGAGTGTAATGTTGCCAGGATTTTGGGCCATTCTGGGTGATCAGGAGCAATTGAAGCGAGGGATGATAGGATAGAGTGTGGCGTAGTGTTGCTCTGTACGATGCTAGCACAAATACCACGAACGACAAGTGGATTATGGAGGTCTTCGATATGACTTTGAAGGAAGTTCTCTGACTGAAGATCTGGGTAATTCCCTGTCCTTCTAGTAGCTTCCGAGATCCCGATGATATATTCCTTCAGTCCCTCGGTGAGCCACAGTTGAAGCTCACTTCTCCGTACTATATGCCTTAACACGCCTTCCTCTTGGAAAGTGTCATACGCATCCACGATTCCTCCAGCGAATCCTTGACCTAATAGAAAACCCATGACCTGAAATTGAGAACCATGGCATCCAATATCGGAGAAATAACGGCCGAACACTTGAACGATGAGTCTAATAATATTGTAAAAGAAGGACCTCGTGCCCCATTCTGATACCTGGACATCAACGCCAAATTCGGAGCCCCGATTTATAAACAAGGTCATGCACGCAAGAGCATGATTACGGCAGGTCCAAACGAGGGTATTCTCCTCCGTATTCACAGGATCCATAGCGAATAAACCAGACGCGATGTACGAGTGTACCGCGTTAAGGACTCCATCGTGGAAGAATGAAAATTGAGAGTTGTCCGAACAGCTCATGCCTCTAATGACCACATGTAGTGCAACCTCCAAAAGCCGGTGCTTGTAGATAAATGTTGTATAAGTATGGGGGCGTTCTCCCAGAAGGCCGATTGAGTCTACTATCGGAGAGTTCTCCGAATCAAGCACCAAGAAACGTATAATGGTGATCAGGAGTCTCGGTAGAAGGTCTATCGAGCCTTTATATACATCGAATGGCTCGAAGAAGGAGAGAAGAGCACCAATAACATTTTCCTCGTGGTAAATCGCTGCAGCTTCCACCAAAGTGCAGCTGTAGCATGCAGAAGGATTCCTATCAGGGATAGATAGAAATTTCACCAAGTCTAAGCAGGTCTCCATGGTAAAAACAGTGTCATCACTCTTCTCGATGAATAACCCTTGATCAACCGCACGTATCAAGAGATGATCCCAAACGACTGGATGGTGATAACTATAGTCTGCTAAGGCATTCATAGCGACTTCCTTTTCCAAAGCCAGGTGTGTGGGCTTGTTAATGTGCGTATCTTCAATAGAAGACAAAGTTATCAACAAGGCGTCCGAGATATCCGTCGTCGAGAAATCCAGATGATGCTCTCTGAAGAGTCCGGACGGAAACTTACGTCGTAATGGATCGAACAGAATCTCCAGCCGAAGAAGGGGTTCAATTCTACGGTCGATATTGGGGATGTCCTTGGGGATCCACCGAGTAGAGCCATGTCGCGTCAGCTCCATGCAGTCCATCAACATTCTTTCCTTCTCCTCCCTTATTTCATCCCAATAAGGATGAAAAACGTTATAGACATCCAGGGTGTACTCTTCAGGCAGTCCAGAAAGAGCATAAATTACAAGGCGACGGGTCTCCGGGGTCGAAGATCTCACGTACAACCAACGGAGTGCGTCAACTTCATTTTTGACGTGTGATCTTTCTGCGGCATGAATCTCGAAATCGTTCAATGTTTTTATCGTGGGATAAAAGTTGAACGTTGGTGCTGCAGTCGCCTTCAGGATAGCAGAGGATTGTTGAAGCATCCACATGATCGCGGTGTATGCAACCGAAGAAAGGGGCGTTTTATATGGACAATCCGGGTATATTAGTGGGAGAATGTTGGTCATGACATAGACGATAAAGGTAGTCAGGGAGATGATTCCTGTCACGAGTGCAATTCCTTGCTGCTGCGGCAGGAGATATAGCACAAGGCCAATGGCAAACAGGCCGAGTGACAGGTACAACATCAGCGGCAGGAGACCAATTAAGGTGCTGACACGCCAATCAAGAAGACCCTTGTAACGTAAATGCCGAGTACGACTGCGAACTTGGGGGTCCCCAGCGATCGGTGACAGATAATGGCAATACCACTCATCTGCTAGAACAGCGAACAACGCAGTTGCAAGACTGAAAGCAAGACTCGCGAACCATAGCCCGTTTACCCATGAATCCAGAGTCTTTGGCGTAAACGGAGCCGTGGGATCAGCGCCCGATGTGGTGATGCGGTCAAGGGAAGTGCCGTTGGCTAGGGCACGTTGCATATTGATCTGATCGAAGAGCAAAAGTGCCGACAATTGCTTATAGTTCGGTTGGAGATTTCCGGCTGATTGCGCAATGAAGGCGCTCACAATCGCAGAAAATAGTCCTGCCTGCAAGGAGAGAAATTAAGGCAACATATCGTACGTTGAACTGAATTAGCTCACAAAAACGAGGAGGATGTTCACTTGTCCTCTCTGGTTTCCAAGCATGTCGGTGTCGTAAACCAGGCTTTCGTCCAGATAAGCTCGCCAAATGCAAGATGTCGGCCCCGCTTCTTCAAAAGGCGGACTCGGTGCGTACGGTCGATAGTCACCTCGAATGCCACGTAAGGACGGAGAAAATGCTTGAATAAATTACACATACCAGTGGATACTCCCGCAGTCGTGCTTGCAGAGTGCGGCGGCAGAGCAAAAATGCCCGGGTGTTTTTTCCTAGCTCGACAAGTCGTAGGTTCCTCATCGGGCAAGGGTGCATTCTTCTCATGCTCTGTCGTACTGGCAGGCGGTGACGAAGGATGGGAATTATTAGGATCTTCCAATGAAATTTGGGAATGTCGCGCAGAGTCGTCCAGCTCGTCAGCGATTCCAATCCCCTTGTCATTGTAAATAGGATCCTGTGGATATTCGTCTCGAATTTCGTTGGGCATATTGTGCTTGTTCGCAGGGGACAAGAGAGAGATACCGCAAGAACGAGGCGACAAATATTAATGTGATTCTGCCGTCCGCGCATTCGCATGTAAACGGAATGGAACAATGAAGTTTACGGCCGTTTAAAGAACGCATTGTTGATTGGCCTGACGAGCCCTGCACTACCAGACATCCAGGAATGGGACACGAACCGATATAGACGAACCAAGCATGGGAAGCTATTGCGAGGCAAGTGAAGAGAACACTGAACGATCATCCGAACCAGAAGCATCACCTCGTGTATCCATTGAATGATTCGCCGAAAACAGGCTGTGGCTGAGAGTCTCCCTCGATTTAGACTCTCACAGATAGACAAAGGTAAAAGCAGTCACCTGTTCCCCCTGCTGGGTGGTAGATGACGTTCTCGTTGCATATAAGTCTTATACGAAAATGAACCTTCTTTTCTTTGATATTTGATGATCATTCACAGTAATACTCGTGCCTTCAAGGCGATATAAACATCACCTTTTCCACTTCCAATATGATTTACTCACCGGAAATCGAGCCACTCGCCCTTATCTTCCTGCAGCAGTCGTAGACGAGATAAATGAAAAGTTGTCGGATAAGCCTACATGTCTCGTCAGATGCAGATGGAATTTACATCCATTATCACCAAGAAGTATACCTAAATCGTTGGCCTGTGCGCCTCTGGAGTAGGCGTAAGAAACTGCGCTCCCCAGCTAAAGAAGATTGAGGCGAGAGGCGAGGTCACTCACTAATAGGAGAAACATCACAGCACGAGGGAGAAATGAGAATAGACGCGAAGATATGGTGGCACCAAGCACAAGTCATGCTGAAGTCGCGTCGAGGTAGGTAGGTAGGTGGTGTTACACAGGCACGAGCCAATGTGTCGGATCGGGCCGGCGACATACATCAGGCACCTTCCTTTTCGAACGCACCCTCATGGTTCACTTGCGGTGAAGAACCTTTGAACTCGTAATTCTCTCGACGGTCTTCGATAATACCAGCAATGTTCGCAGGGTCACCGCAGTTGAAATCGAGGTGGCGGATGTTACGAACAACTCGAGATTGAAGGCAAGGATAGTATTGACTAAGGGTACCGATCCTCGCTTCGAGTCCCTTCGGGTGCCGGTTCAGCGTGCGGATAAGGCACAAAGAAGAGATGCTGGAATGCTCTGACTAATCAGTGATCCATTGCCTTGCATTCAAGTTGTCAACTCAAATGTACGAAACTCTGTCTCTATCAATAGACGTTAGTATGGCTATGTTCCCATTCCTACCTCATATTCTGGTACCTTCACTTGCATTACTTGCCAGCTACATTCTCAGCATCTCTCAGGTCTCGTTGTACGGTAATTTCGACATATGTATTCCTTATCACACGGCGAGATATCCGATCTTTCATACACACCAGTTCATGCCCGCATGGCCAGGCCATCATCATAGACTCGGACCTGCTTTATTCCCAGATACTGCGGTGCCGTGAAGATCCCTTCCGGCTGCGTCATAGGTACCTTCTAGTCCTGTTTATCATTGTGTCGCCTTCGAGGCTACTACCGCACCTTCGTCACATCCGAGGCGGCACATCCGCTGCTGCCGCTGCTCACTCTCTGAATGCGAGCCATCCTTTTATCATGACTAGTATCCAGTGTAAAGGACATAAGAGCTCCGAGATCTGCGTTGCTAAGAAAAACCTGGGATAGAGACCTCTTGGGAACATGTAGTACTGAAACTAAATCAGGCCTCGCTGCTTCATCACCGTTACACAAATAGGGCGAGCCGACTGATTGGCTAGTCGTCTTCGAATCAAATTGCTGGTATGGGAGACCATTGTACAACGAGTTCGAAACACTACAGACACCTGCGATACTCCGTCATTACTCCTTTTTACAGTATGTAAAAGGTGAATCGATCATTCACTCCGATTGAAACGAGCTCGTCTTACCATCCAAGTGCACTAGTTCGCACTGCTGAATGGTGAGTTGGCTTGTTCCGCTCTTATCGAGTGCATCAAAGTATGGATATTCGCTGAACGTTGCTACGCAGTCACTTCCGTTCGAAAGGCGACACGGGGTCACAACTGTTCCTTTCATTGGTTTACCATCAGTACGTCCCGATCCAACATGGATTTAAAGAAATTCATGAATGGAGAGTTGCACTGACCTCACATAGCATAATAGCTCTTTCTTCCCGAAGCTTTGCATCGATTCGCGCAATCGGTACTTGTTAAAGCATCCAAGGTCGCTACGGAGGACATCAATGGTTTGGGGAAGACCAGTTTCACACACATTTTATCACCCCGTTTTATTCTACTTCATTGATCCTCTGATGCAAGACTGTCAACCGCGTAACATTATATGAAATTGAAGAACTAATGATCTCGGAGTGAGATACTGCGGCGATATCAGCCTTTTATCAATGGGAAGCAGTGGTCTCCCTCTATTCTTTGCGTGGCCGCGAAGGCTACAAGCACATAGCTATATCGGTTGATTAGTTAGCTACCTAAATTTCGGAATTGAACACCGGCATTCATATACGGAAGTTGAGGTCCTCTTTTGCACCATCCAGGAACTGACGGCTCGGCGTCGGAATGCTCACATTCTGAAGAAAGAATATGGATATCTATTTAGAAGAAAAACACAGCAAGTATAACATACCGAATCTTCGCTCTCACTTGAAGAATCACCGGGACTGAATTTAATTGCTGTCCCTACAGAAGACTCGACGGTTGTGCGTTTTCTACGATCCTTCCAAGAGTTTAACCTAGATGAAATCAGCTTATAACAGTATTGAGATGTCAGTGGGTACATGCATGGCAAGCAAGGCGTTGACATAGACTGCGAGACCAAGTTAGATTAGTAAGAAATGAGAGTTGTGATAGCCTGACATTTTGGTAGGACAAAATCGACGGCAGGGGAAATGAGGAAATTCGGCCAGACGAGAAACTGAAATGAAGGTCAGATATCGGAACAGGACCGTGATTGAAGACTAAGTACTATGACGAGAATGAGCACTTCACGTATGCTGCAGGTGTATCAGATTCCGGGGAAGCACAAAAAGGAAGTTTCTACCCCGTAGCAAAACCGGATATGATGACGAGTCACATAATGCCGAGAAGCGTAGAAGAAGTGCTAGTGTCGAAGAATGAGTAAGGTTCAGTTTCCGACGGGAACGGAACTGCTATACGTAGAGAAAGCGGAAACCTTTCTGGCTTTGTGCAGATAGTGACACATCGAAAAAGCGATTATTAAATCAGAAAATGTTGTTACATCAAATACGGTGTATATCGCTCCCTAGAGTACAAGTGAAGCCAAACGTCCTGGATAGCTAACCGTCACATACCTTGATCCTTGACGTTGATGAGAAATCTAATATCCTGTATCTATGGAAGATCATGAAAAAGTAGTACGAAGTAATACTGAATTTTCGTACGCATCACAGACCGAAACTGCAGAGAATTCCTAAACGCAAGAAGACTATGGCGGGAAGCGAACACTTACAAATTGCAGAACCTGCATAGATATCGGATCAACCTTAAATTATGGGCAAAGTCACTAATACGAGTGCTTATGGAAAGCTGCTCCGACGTTTGAAAGCTATGAGCCACTCATCAGGGAGAATTTCCTTTATATTTCGATGGAAAGCACCTACCACAAACCAAGGGAAGATTTTATCAAAGTAATGGCCAACTGGAAGTGAGGTAAGTGGACTGTGCAATGAATGATTCATGTAAAGAAAGCGGACGTTTCCAGAGTCGGATGGCATAGACATGGTATATTACACAGGTTAAGGTATATGGAGAAACGCTTAGAAGGAAATTTGAAGACGTACGCTTGAACGCATATGATTATTACCTTCTGCAGAATATGTTAGTCAGTATCCAGGATTCGAAGATGACCCGACGACCGACACTAAGCAGTATTTGAAGCTATTATAAGATGATCAGTCCGCGGTTTCCTCGGGAGAAAGCCCGAGAGATGCCTTAAAACTCCTGGATCACAGAATCAGTACGAGTCACGGAATTCCACTTCTATCATGCCGTACCACACAATATGAGACAACCTAATGTAGTTTCCGAATAAGTCGACGAGTTAGAGATATGATGCGTGCATGCTGAAAGCAACGTGAAGAGCGTCGAGAATCTTACCTAACACCGTCATGGTAGAGAACGAAACAAGGAATATTTGGATGTACCAAAGAATGGCGACCTGCTCAAGAAGCTTAATGGAACACGCCCAAACCTGTCATGTTATTGACCTACTGAGTATCGGTATATCCTTCCATCCTTGGGGTATCTTTTGTAATAGATAGCTGCTTGCAGATTTGTTATTCCGAAGAATCTGTCAGTGGAAAGAAAGCGTCAGCGGAACGGATGGTGAAGGTGGAAAAATGCTTACATAGCAGCGATAGTTGTACCAATGTAAACTGACCCAAAGGTCATTCCCAAAGAAGGAGTGTTAGTGGACGACATTTCTGGATGAGGTTGAAGAATAGACTGATGACGCTGAGGGGTGTGGTATTAGGTGTTTTATACCGGCATATATCTCAAAGAGAACCTCCGAGTCGGAAATGCTCTGAAAATAGTTTCACTCGACGTAGAGAAGAGAAGAACATCAATTTTTGAATAGGGAGTGTACGAAAAGTGTTTGGGAGTACACATGACCTACCGCTTTAAAAGCCGTGCCAAGCAACAGTTTCTTCCGAGCTTGTCCTAGTACATATGACAGGCAAGCCATGTCATGTTGAGAAATAGTACATCCTTGAAGATGGACATCCGGTATCGATGAATGATTCGGGAATGGCCCCGCTGCCCGACTGATTGTGTCGGGTTCGTTTCTAATCCAAGGCCGATTGTTTCGAGGAGTGTGACCGTACATTGGACCTGTTATCACTTCTCCGGCAATTTGTTCAGTGATCCATTCTTTTAGCGACATGATGGCGCAACTCACAACTCGACAAACAGCGTCAAAATCGGCAGGTACTGAGATTAGGTATGACTATCTTGTCGACGGCCATCCATACAGCTCAATGGCATGGCGACTACGACACTTCGGGCTGGTAAGTTCTTGCTCATCCGGCAACGTCGGGAATTAGATATCGGATCGTAGAGTTGCCGTAAACTCTTGGCAATTTCGTCGTGATCGTAGACTCGCTAGCCAGTCCCGTTCACAAGCCTTATTCCCTATATAGGTTGTTTGGCAAAGTCATTGTTTGGTTGTTTATTTGGTCAGCGAAGGTTAGCTTGTGAAGGGACTGGGCAACTTGGAGACAGTTTTGGGGGCCCCGCCAAAATGTGACATTGGACTTAGAAAAATTTCGTTGATCTCCCCTTCCCGCGCATGATCGCTGGCCACTGTCCTTCAACAACCCCGCTCAGGCTCATGTAGGGTAAAGTACACGTTAGATACACATTATATCTCTGTTTTTTGTAGCTCTAGAATTTATTCTATGAAATTTCTGAAAATTCAGGCTGTTTCAGTGGGCAGCTCGCTTAGAGCAAATTCCTGACTCTGAAGGGCAGTTCGCACTTGAAAATCAATTGCATGGACTAATTTAAGTCATATCAACATATAAATCACAAACATTCAGTGCCAGGTGCGAAGGAAGGAGGTGTTCCAGCAGCTGATGAGGCGAAATTTTCCAAGTCCAATGTCACAAAAGCGTGACCCCCAAAAATGTCTCCAGTTTGCCCAGCCCCTTCGGTAACCGTGATCAGCGAAGCCACGTGCTTGCCGAAGGCGGCTGGTGCACGAGCCTATCGTGATCGTTCAATATGAAGAGGCGGAAGAACCACGTGGCACTCTCTGTTGATTACCGTCACACGTAACCCCTGCGGTCCGATCTCCCGCTCACAACACAAGCCTCCTTGCATCACTTTTGCATATCCCACATGCGCTAATGCACCGTCGAGGACCAGGGTGCCCAGATCCTGCTTGCGTTGTCGAGGCTCCGATCATCGTCACGGTGCTTTGCTTGTCTTCCAATGGTTTTTCCTGCCCGGAACCTATCAAACCCGTCAAGAAACTCCCGTTTATCTATGTAATGTATATTCATCTCCTACGGCCTGTATAGAACTCTTTTTCACTCTGGAGAATGTAGGAATCACGTTAGCACGCATATCTCGGAGATACATCTTCAGATCAACCTCTCTAGCCAGCTATTTTGAACTCCGCTGAAATATTTCTCTGCAGAACGGTCACCCGCGCTGGGCTCTGAGTTTAATACCCTCGAAGATGAGTAGCAGGGCTCCCTCCATCGTACGGAGTTGCCCGACGGCTGATCTGCGATTTTCCCATTAGAATTTGACCCTGATGATCCCGCTGACATGCAGCAATATTGTGACAGACTCGCACATTAGCGTAAAAAATCTTTCGTCAATGCTACACGCTTTAGCTAAGCTTTCGAATTCAACATCGCTCCGCGTAAACACTGTTCCTCTAGTCACGTGTACTACCGTTCCCTACCTCTCTTCGCTCTGCAAAGAAGTTTGTGCTGACATTCCGTATCCGGAACAAACTGGAGTGGTTCTCAGATCTGGCTCGCGGATGTGAAGAGAAAGGATGAATCTGTTCTAGTGCTTCCGGGCGTCTTTGGTGTCGTATCCGGAACCCAGTAAGTGAGCCCAATTAGCGAATACTCGTGCCAGAGAAATCTAGCTGGTATGGAAAACGTCGTGTATAACGCTCTTGAAAATATACAGGCTTCAACTATTCCCTATCATTACGGAAACAGAAGATATGCAACGTCGTACTGTCCTCCCGGCGAGGCTAATTTACAACCCCGGAAAAATACTTCGTGGTGCCCAATGGAGAGTCTACTCACATCGAAGGAGCGACTCTCGATCAACTATACACCAAATACCCGAGTCACTATTCCGCAAAACAGGAACATTTATCGCAGGAATCATACAAGAGGTGGCTGCAGATCTCATAAGCGCTGATGAAATCCCTTCGATATCGTGGTTATAATGTACAAAAATTATCTGCATACAGGTACTACAGGAGGTCAGCTAAAACAGGTACCTGTTTGACACGCACCTAGTAGTTTCTCCATCTCCAGGTACTTTCATACATCCTTATAGGTGTACCTGCATCTACTAGTACTTGTTGCTGTACTGTAACAGGCTGTTCGCAAGTACTTTTTGAGAACGTCCGTGTTGGATCCGCAAAGATCCAGGCATCGCCAAGACGCTGAACCTGCCACTGATGGTGCATTCACACCAAGCCTCGAGCTTGTATGGATAATATAAGTCCATGCCAATGCAGTAACAGCCTCGGAATATATATAATAACCAATGAATAGACGAGAATGTTTTAGCAAAATAGAAAAGAACTCTACAAACCTCGGAATTTCGCTTCCAGTCAACTTCCAGTACAAAGCAAACCCAAAATCGAGGCGTGGTCACAGAATTCTACATGGGACCTCGGTGTAAAAAATCGGCAATAGTGGAATTGAGAGACACGTGTCGCTGGTCGTTAGCAAACAGGGAAGTGGCTGTGCAAACCCAACCCTAGGAAACCACCTGACGGTGAACAAGTGCCTGCATCGAAAGTAGTGCTGGGAACCATCAAAAGTAGTGGTGTCCTCCCTACAGAACGAAAGAATTTTTGTACAGTATAACACCCATACTTCGACCTTACTAATTTATGATCACTCAGCACCCCTCCACACTCAGGCATGTCGGCGATTGCCGAGCGTAAGGTGGTAAACTGCGACGTCAAACTAGAGAATATGATGGCCACATCTTCCGCCCCGAAGCAACTTTTCTTCTTTGATTTTGGATATGCGGTGATCAGAGCGAGTCAAAATATTCTCGATGCTCATCGGAACTGCTCTTGTTCGGTTGCCTTGCCCACGGGTTATGGACGTGGCCCTCAGCATAAGATATCAACTCATGGGCTAAGAATTTTGTCGGTGACGTATCCAACGAGAGGTCATTAGCGTTAGTCTGGCCCCCAACTGGACTTTGGTAGTACTGGAAGCGTCCAATGATGTTACGTACATGATTCATGAACTCCTCATGTCAGAAGCATGGTGTATCATATCTACCAATAGCATGTAAACATCCGTCGCTCCTTGGCCACGGCTGCAATGGACTTGCAAGTGAACAGATAAATCGGGCTAGTAAGTCTACTGTCCGAACTTTAGGACTGAGGGTTGTTGTTGCCTAATTCTTCTCACCCTGCATTTCGATTTCTCTCATTCTGCAAATGGTACGCTTTACGCCTTGCATGCATGAAATATTTGCAAAGAGCAGCGGCTATGGAAGACTTGTTTTTCAAATATGATAAGATAACGAGAGAATCATTGATGTGAGATATTCATAGGCTAATTATATCTGCATTCGCTTCATACTTATTGCATCCAGATCCCTCTTATCGCTCGCCAAAATGAGGGTAGCAAGCCATGCCTTCGAAGTTCGCGCTGAACGTCATCATACTCACCCGACTTCCTCTCTCCTACGAATGCAGTTTGCATGTACGATGACTTCAACATGCATATATTCGGAATCTTTCACGCGTTTTAGATATTCTTCGTCTCAAGGTTGCGACCTGACGTCTCTCACGTTCAATTTCCGCGTTTCTACATTCCCAGCACCAATAACCCAGATTTGTCTTACACCACGCATCCTCCCGTCCATAACCTCCCCTCGCTTACCTTTCCTTCAATCTGCGCGTCATATCTGGACGCGATACCGCGTTCTCTAGATCCCATCGCAATCCGTGAACCACCAGCAGGCTCATCTCTTGAACCAAACTCCTATCGCCCTCGTTTCTGCCGGGGCGATGAAGGCAAACTCTTAAGCGAGAAATCTCGGAAGCCGTATCAGCTTCGCGAGGGTGCTAGGTATCTTCGCTAAGTACCGACCACATTTTCACCGGAGACCGAATTTGTACGTCTGACAATTACTTATCCTCGAGGCAATCTATTTACGCCTCGAAGTTTTGCGTCTCCCCCCTCGGCATTTTCGCGTGTCATCCGTTGGATATCGGCTACGGCGACATCCGGGGCTCCAACATCATTGTGACATCCTGTGCAGATTCTATCGTTTTTGCTTTGAGCATGCGATGGGAACGCGTTTTCAAACGAACTAGCGTACTCGAGTCGCAAATTACGTTTGCCTACGATGTGGGAAGCACTGCAGTACTTAGACGGAGTGGATTAGGGCTTCTGGCGTGCTCTTCAGTTACTTGCCATGCCTTGAGTTTGTAGTAGCCAACTGTTGCAGCCTGCGGATCTGTTCGCCTGTTTTGGAATCTAAAATTAGCAGGAGATATACCCATCCCGGAGTACAATTCAAACAACCTTCCGAATACGCGATCTGGGTCTTTCCCTTTCTCTCCTCTGCACATTCCGATAACCGAAAAGCGTCCGAAAGAACTCTACGTTTCAATCTCCGTTGCGAAGTCCCCGTGAGTCATCTCTCTCGAACATCACAGCTGGGTGGCAACTATCTTGCGCGGGTCAAAATGGAACCAAAATCCTTGGCACCCCCCTAATAAGGAAATACTGAAGAATTTTGACTGATGCAAAATCCCAAAAGTGCGTTTTGATGTCATTTTGACTCGTGCAAAATAGCCATCACCCAGCTGTGACATCGACAGGTTGAAATTGGAAGCGTCGTACCGAGATGAGCGCCTCCCCTCCCTATACAATTGACTGGTACGATGGTTATTTGCCAATGTTCCCTCTCGAGTTCGACTCCTCAGATCGTGATAAAGTCCTTGAGCACTGTGACATGCTTAAACGTCTCCGTCGACAAGCGTACCTGAATCCCGTTCATCCTGGTCTCCCTTTCGAAGCTGTTTTTCCCGCTCGACAGGCATCGCATAGTCCTGACCATCGTCCGTTACCTCCGTTTGTTCTCAAAGGAGGGAGATTCCGGCTAGTCGTCAATCATGGCATACAAATGAACTGGTGTATTTTTCTCAGCTCTGGGTTGCCGATGTGAAGGAGATAGAGGGATCGGAATCTTTAGGCCGCGTCGTTTTGAAGCTGTTTCAGGATTCGCTTATGCCACTTCCCGAGCTGTTTAACAATGGTGCCATCCAATATATGTCTCCCAGGGAACTAGCAGGCGTTGAGGATCTGGTATACAACGCGCTCGAAGGCATACAGGGCACAGTCATTCCTTATTATTACGGAAAGTATAAGGTAAATTCCAAACGTCATTGAATTCGGGTGCGAAACTGACCGTTCTTATAGTTCCTGATGCTTAATGGCAAGTCGACGAGAGCAATTATCCTGGAATACATCGAAGGAACAACACTTGCCGATATTCACGAGAAGTATAATCCCCACGGTCCTCTGGAGAGCGAGGTCTTGACATCAACAGTCGATAATGATTGGTTGCAGAGAATGAAAGAATTGGTGCGTCAGGTCAAGGTTTACTCAACTCTTCTAACGAATCCATATTCTATTAGTACATTCCAATTTTGAAGGGAATAAAGGAAATAAACACGCGTCAAGTCGTCATCCCTGATACTAGGCCAGAAAATATCATAGTAACCTCTACTGAGCCAAAACGAGCTATCTTCGTAGATTTTGGACAGGCTCTGCTGAGGGTACCTCCTAATATTGTCGCCGAATACGGGAATGACTACCTTGTCGTCTCCCTGCTGACGGATTGCTGCCCCGAGCATAAGGAGGATATCATGAGGTGGGCGAAGGAGACCTTGGACGTCAGCTTACAGTATCCAGACTTTGTTTTCGCTCGACTGCTGAAGAATCCTTGATGTGATATACTTATTCCTCCCACTGGGCATGAGCGCCAAGACAGTCAGACGATACGAGGAGTTTTCACTTCGGGGATTTCCCTCCGTCATGTTGAGCCCCTAGCATAAAACATCATATAGAATGTACATTTCCCCGAGTTTTGCTTCTGATCATCTAAGATAAAACGACTTCTTGCCACGTGTTCACCATGAAAACTCCACGTAACAAATGATATATAGCGCGTCAAGCTTCAATCAGTTGCCGCTGGAATTGACTTGGCTGGTCCAGAAGCGGTTGGATATCTCAGTGGTAGCTGCGGGTGTAGCTGAGATCGCAGGAAAACTGTCCGAATGCGCATGCGGACCAAATGGAGTCGCCGAGCGAATTCTTCCCTTGTTGGCTGGCGTTTATCAGAGCTCGCCGTCATCAGCATAAGGAGGATATCGAGTCCTGGACAAAATTCATTAAGCTCAAGTCAAGGTCGCGAGGCAGGAAGAGCTAGGAAGCGTCAACGGGCGAAATCGGACCGGTGATGTCACAGCTCAAACTTTAGGGCAGGGGATTTGTCGTTTGATCCTCCCGCCACTCCGTTTCTCGAATTCTGGAAGGGTTTTAGCGTGGCTTCCTAGTTGATATTGCAGATAACTGTTATGCTCCGACACAAACACGGTATTTTCGGTCGAAGCGGGAAGAAAACTGTTCGACGAAAAGGATCTTCACGCTGTTGCAGCTTATGGTGGAACTGGTAGGAGCTGTGAAATAGTTTTCTCTGAAGATGAGGACAATACTAGTGAGTCATTGATGCAGGATGATCGTAGGCTATTCATATTCGCATCGTGCTTATCGCGTCGAGATCCCGCCTCTTCCCGCCTCTCACCCGCGTGAACGACTGTGCCGAACAATGCCTTTTCCAGTGGAGATGCTGACCGCCATCCTCTCACGCAGGACTTTTGGAACATTGACTCGCTGCGAATTTTCTTTTTCTGATTGCACGATATGGCATCTCTCCAGCACACCCTTCGTGACTTTCTATGGCCATCGCGACAGACTCGGGCGTATCTCGCGCCACTCGCTCCAACCTCCGCTCGCTTACTCTCCTTCCAATCTTCGTATCAGCACATCATATTTGTGCGCTGCTAAGCCTTCTCAAATCCATTCCTGTGGGAATGCGTAAGTTTCCCCCAGGCCACCCGACTCCTTTCTCGTTGCAGCTGAGGCTTTGTGGTCGGTCACAGGAATAGCTCTTTACGCGAGAAATCTCGATCGCTGTACCAGCTCCGCGCGGCCGCAAGGGACCGTTCGCTCAATATCGACCACCTCGTCACCGGCACAATTCCGGACTTTGAGAAATCCCAAGCGCCCGACGCTCGTGATCTCCCCGCGCTTGCTGCCTTCGCTAGCACCTGCAGCATTGTTGGCACTTCGTTCATGCAGAATTCCAGCGGACTCCGTATTCCTTCGTTACTTTCTGTATTGGAGATGTCAAGAACGGTGACGATTCCCTCGGCAAGGTTATCCCGAAGATTCTGCAGCCGCCACTCCTACCCATTTCCGTGCCTAGATATCGTGATGCTTCTGGGATTGGGATGCATCTCTTCGTGAGCTCGCACGTTATCTGCTAGTCGCTTGCGCAGCTGCAAGGAACCGTCGTCCTTTACTATTCGGATTGCACAGAGTAAAACCCCTGCTCGCGTCTCATATATCGACGACTGATCATTCTTCGAATATAAAGGTCATCCCTCTCTCTGTGTCTGCTACTACGACTCAAAGATGATGAATGAATGTATCCATGCCATGCCTCTTTTAGACCTGTAACCGATCGTCTTGAATGGGAGGCAAGCTCACGATCAAGACGACCTGTAAATCTGAGCTCAAATTTGGCTGATACATTTTCGCTTATCTCACACCTTCCTAAATAGAATTTGATACCTAATTTGGAACGGCTGTGCTGCCTGCACCACCATCATCGCGACGCGCTTTCTTCGCGCCCGGCTGCCATGACTGTACAAAATCCTCACGCCTTCTCTGATTTTCGTCTATGGCTGTATTCTTGCAACTGTAGACTGAAATGCTCGCCGCTCACGGAGGTCTGGAACAGCGTTACCTTCTGCCTGCTCTCATTTGATTCATTCCTTGCGGTTATCACCTTCGATACTCTACCGGTACCTCGTTAAATCCATGATTACATCCTTCTTCTTGTCGGCTATTATCCTTCTCGTAGATGACAATTCCCTTGTGACTTTCAGATAAGATTGGACTGGACCTTGTAATATTACTTATTTATGTGCGTGACATGCGATCCATGTTGATGAGACTGGACTCGGTAGCATCTCAGGGACATTCATTTTTTTCTGAGCTCGTGCATGTTATCGATGTTGCAGGAACATAATTAGCCGGAGAAAATATTTGTTTGCGTTGCCGAGTGTGATTAGGTGGAGAGAATACAGAGTAGACGGGTTAGGTGCGAGCGCTGAAAGCTGGAGTTGGTTTGGAAGACATATTTTTATGAATTGGTGTCCTCGTTGGATGAATAAATGCCTCTATTGCAGGCGAATAAAATATTGATGCAAACGCGACGCGGTTCTCAGCCGTTCCTAATTAGGTATCAAATTCTATTTAGGAAGGTGTGAGATAAGCGAAAATGTATCAGCCAAATTTGAGCTCAGATTTGCAGGTCGTCTTGATCGTGTGCTTGCCTCCCATTCAAGACGATCGGTTACAGGTCTATGCCTCTTTTCTCGCTCTCGGAATCCGCGCACGTAATTGGCCTTCGGATCTTCCTCCGAAGCTCCGAAGAGTTGCCCTACATCGGGACTCAGGCCGAAATCGGTATTCAGCCTTCGTTTTCGCTCCATTGCGGAAGGATCCTTGATGAGGTATATTTTTGGCTAGTTAGCACAGGACATCTATATCATAGCCCTATCTACTATACTGTACATTTCCTCGAATCATCGAATCACCCCTACAGCCGCAGCCGCAATAAGAACCCAATTCTATGAAGCAAAAAGTTACATTGAATGTGCAGATTTTCCAGTCCTACGCGGCTACTCATACACGAAAACCAGGACCGTCCTTATCGTGGTCCAAGGATTGGAAGCTCTGCATCGGGATACTGATGTTCTGACGGAAGAATGTGAACGCGTCTTTCAGAAAAAATTGAAAGCCGAAGCATACATACCACCTCTTCAGTATCGGTCCCGGAGTCGCGAGGCGCAAATCTCAGAACTTTCGTTGTAGAGTTGCCGCTGTTTGAAGACGCATGACGGTCCCTTCGAGAATTCAACCTAAAGGTTGTCAGCTTCCTCTGACATCTAAACAACTAGGCGATTTACATGGCAAGTAGCGAGTTGATGTATACTGTAAGAAACATGAGTCAGCTCAGCAAGTATAAGAACGCTATCAAAGGAAACCCGACATTTTGGTAGGATGAAATCAATGCCGAGGAAAATAAGAGAGTCGGGCCATGCGAGATACTGTAGTTCGGGTAAAATAGGGGATTAACATAACATAAAAGGCAGACGTACCGTGATAAGTGTAAGCAACGAGCATGCACTATCATGGAATGAGATCCTCTCCTCAGCTAAATTACAACAATATACAAAGCCTACCTCGTAGCCAATCCGGATATCACAACGAGTCGCATCAGACCAAGTATCATCGCAGACGTGCTATGAGTCGCATACTCAGTGACGTTCGAGAATTAGTGAGGAAGGGAAATACCGCACCTGGAGAATGCGGAAGCTTCTCGGCCTTTGTGCAAGTAGTAGCACATTGAAAAAGCGATGATGAAATCGGAAATGGCTGCCATGACGAATACGGAGCATATTGATGCCTGGGATGCCAGTCAGCGAGACCGGCGTTTGATGGACTGAAAGTGCACCTTAATGCTGGGTATCGATAGGAAACTTGATATTGAGTATCTGTCGGAAAGAGCCTAAGTCGGGAAATCTGAAAATATGGCCTTCTGCTTACGCGTCGTAGACTGAAACTATGCAGCACGGATTAATGTTAGAAGTACGGAAGAGAGAAGAAGACCTACAGATTCCCGTGCCTTAATGGACAAGCATGAATAAAAGAATCTTGACGAGCTACCAATTGCACAACTCACCCAAAGCTACGACGACATTGAGAACCTGTGTGCTGATCATCAGGGGTGGATCTTGACTTCGAAGCGAAGGCACATACTACGAACCACGGCAGGATTCGATGGAAATGACGGCCACCTGAAAGCGAGATAAGTCCATATGCCACGTACTATTTAGAAATCGAAAACACGGACGTTTCCAGATGCGAAAAGTATATACTCTGAACACCAGAGTTGTTAGTACCCGGTTGTATTCAATGTATACTCCAGAACGTACCCTTGAACGCCCAAAATAATAACCATCTATTATAGAACAACGTTCAACACGAGGAGTAGAAAAAACGTGGAGGACGTAGATTGAACAGTATTTGGAGCTGATGATACGAGACGTTGTTTAAAACTCTTTATAATGGAAGAACCTCGGAAAGAAATACCTTGAAGCTCCTAGTCGTGAAGTCAATCAGTACGAGCTACAGGTATCATCGGATTTCGACATACCAGACAATATTATAGAGCACAGTGTACTCGCCAAACAAGTCAATGAAATAGTGGTACAAGGCATGTGTACCCAGTGCAACATGAAGAGCGTCGAAAGTCCTAAATCACGTCGTATGTTCTCAGAACGAGTGTTTGGAAAAGGAGGACAGGAATAACCAAAGAATCGCAACCTGTTGAAAGACTTTTAGCGAGTTGATTCAATGCTAGAGAGATATTGACTCACGGAGTATCGATATATCCACCAATCGTCTGGGTACTTGTTGTAATAGATAACCGCTTGGAGATTAGTTATTCCAAACAAACTGTTAAGGGAGACGAATAAGAAAGTGTCAGTAAAGTGAGAGGCAAAGGCGAAGGAAGCCTGCTCACATCGCGGCAATCGTAGCGCCGATATACACTGATCCGAGCGTCATTCCCAAGGAAGGCGTTTGCGATGCCATTCTACGATACGGAGTCCAAGGGGTAGAGAACTGCGTTTGAGCAGCTAGTTGAAAAGTTAATCCTCTTATAAGCGCTTTTGAAACAATTCGCAGCAAGAGCTCCGGATCGTCGAACTAGCAAGCGGATAGCTTTCTGTACCATCAAATAGCCTAGAACGAAGTACGATGATGCGATCAAGAGTTTCGAAGGTCCACAGACGCCTGATACCGGATCGACAGGATGCGATTGTGGTTGTTTGGGGAAGAGAATGTGTCGTGAAACGCGCCTGAAGATTTAATGGCGACGCTGAAGAATGCATCACCACGCCACTTGAAACTTGTAACTGATGGCTCCAAGACGCGCATATGCAGACACAAAACCTCGTCTTTCACTAAGCCCCATGACCGTTGCCTGTAGTTTGGAGGGATCAAGCGGGGTGCCGCTATTGCCTCCGTTTTGTTAAGCGGAAGAACCTATGGATATATAAAGTGCTGAGCAGAGAAGACTGTCCCCAAATACGACGAGGACCATGTGGTGATGCGAAGCGTAGTTGCGGCCCGAAAAATGCCATTTCGGAGCAGATCAGCCACGTGGGATCTTCGCCTCTTTTCCATCTGTGTCCTTTCCCGCCTTACCTTTGCGCCCTATTCACAATGAATTTCTCACATTGTTGGCATGACAGGGAGGGAATCTTTGACATACATGTTGTGGAGCCAACTCACTTCGTCGAGCAGGAAAAGCGCGACAATGCGCCCACCGCTATCGCTGAATGTTTTGCATATGTATACTTAGTTAATCCCTCCTCCAGTTTCTATGCGTCCCAATAGCTCGATCTCCAGACCACGACTCAAAATTCGAAAGAAAATTTTGACAATCCTGGTCACTGTCGTCTCATCTTGCTATAATGTGGAATTACATAGATGCTAGGCGCTGTCTTGATTCGAGTCATCATAAAACGTTGATTGGACACCTCGACTCATCAGACAGGTGACAATGGTTACTGCGATTACATCTCGTGTAGCACCGACCTAGTATATTTGAACTAGGATGATTCTAAATCTTATCACCACCCATGCGCCGTCCGCTTGATTCAACTCGAGTCCGCGAGTCGCAACATTGTTCTTCCGATCCTGAGATCAAAATCAACGAAAAGATGTTGATATCATCAAGCGTGTACTTGTTGCTACCCTTGATTCGCCCGAGTAAATTAGTAGTGATTCTTTCTGATCGTTCAAAATGAAACGCTTCTTCAAGTTTTTGCCACACGGTGGCCGACGGCCCCAAAAACTACGTGTAAGTTTTCACAAATAACATGCGGCATGCCAGAACTGAACCGCTTATAGGTCTAGGAGAGAGAAAGGAATAGTTAGTCACATTTGCAGGTGCAACTGCAACCAAGCGGAGAATTATGGACAATGCTGTTCGATTGCGCAGGTTATCAACTCTGAGGAAGGACCGGATAATAGAGAAACTCACACCACCATCGTGTTGTTGTTATCAACATTAAGAAGGACAGCGAGTCGGGCAAACTTTGGACGGTCGTCGCTGCAAGGCGGGACCGAGCAAGGAAGCGTCGGCGGCCAAATCGGGACGGTGACGTCACTGTTCAAATTTAGGGCAGCGGGTTTTTGTCGCTTGATGTCTCCCATCCCGCTTGTCCATTTCCCGAATTCTGCGAAGGTTTTACCGTGGCTTTCGCGGTGGGCATCGCACGACGACTATGCTCCTACACAAACACGCTGTCGCCAGTCGAACCGGGATGCCTGCCGGGCAAAATGGATGCAGACGATTTTCTCGCTGTCGCAGTGTGCGGCGGAACGAGTAGGATCTGTGGAAGGGTTTTCTCTGAAGAAGTGAGTGAGTCGCTCATGCATGGAATTCGTGGGCTATTTGAACTCCTGGATGCTGATCGCGTTCAGATCCCGCCTATCGCCCATCGGAATGATTCCGCCAAAGCACGCCTTTGCTAATGCTAACTCTCATACTTCATACTCTCACGCGACCTCCTCTCTATCGCTTTGGACTTCGTCTGTAGTCGCTTTGACTCCTTGGATATTCGGAATCTTGACTCGCTGCGGGCATTCCTTATCATAGACACGGCATCAATCCCACCCTTCATGGCTTTTTATGGACATCACCACAGACTCGAGCGTATCGTATGCCCTCCAAACTCGCACCCATAACCTCTGCTTGCGCAATTTCCTTTCGATCTCGGCATGAAGCACGCCATATCTTCACGCGGCCGAGCTTCTCTAAATCATTCTCAGCACGATGCGTGAGCTGCCTCCGACCATCCTCCTAAGCCCAACTCTGATTGTCCTTGTTTCACCTGCGACAATGACGTTTTACGCAAGAATTCTCGTGAGCTGCACCTGCTTTACTGCTAGAAACCGTTCGCTAAAGAATGACCTGTTTCATCGGCGGGTATCCCTGAGATAGGCCCCGAGATCGAGGACCGTTTTCTCAAGGACAGCCCACGGCTGATAATTTCTCAGCCTCGAGACAATGGTTGTGAGAAACAGTATCTTGCTCCGATGGAGTGGATTAATGAGACTGGTAGGCTGCCTGGTGGTTTGTTCATCTACCGTATAGTCACCTTTTGCACTAGCCAAATAATGTCAAGCTGTCCGCTATTATTGGTTCGTCGAAGTCGGAAAGTTGTACAAGCACACGCTTTGAATCAAGCGGTGAATAAATGAAGTTCGATGGCACTGAGAACACCACAGTCGCTTCGTCCGTTTACATAAGTAGCGGATGCCGATATAACATCGCATTACTCAGCAAATATATCTCTCTGTCGCTGACGGAGATGGACATATGGCTTTCAAGACGGGCTCGCGCGACTTCTGGAGAACATTCCGAAGTTCCGAGGCGTTGATGCCTATAACAGGACTTCGGCCTAGTATTCTTCTCTCCTATCATCCTTATCTCAGATTGCCCAGCGGATATTACAGACGGCAAACGTGCTGCAACACCTAAACACGCTGTCACCAATCTAAGCGGGAAGCCAGAGGATGCAGACGATTTTCACGCTGTCGCCGCGTGTGGTGGAAGCTGTGGAAGAGTTTTTACAGCCGATGAGGAGAAGGCAAGTGAGTCATTGATGTAAGATATTCGTAGTGAATCGGTATTCACGTCATACTTATCGCGTTCAGATCTTGCCGATCCTCGGCTATCACCTGCCAGAGTGATTACGCCAACGACGCAATTTGACTGTGGAGGTGCTGGCAGTCATTGTCTCGCCATGTCGTGTCCGGGGATCCCGACATGCGAAATATTTTCAATATCGACTCGCTGTGGACATTCCTTATCAGCGAGCACACCCTTCGTGATCTTTCAAGGCCATCACCTTACACTCTCACTAATTGATGCCGATGATTACTTCCGCCCCGTTGACGCAGCCTTGTCCCTGCAGCTGACTACCGATACTCCGGCGCAGACCCCTTCGCGCATATCTACTCCCAAATCTCGCTACTTTGTACGGGTCTGCCGATTTTATTATCTTCCTTTCGCGTTTGCGACCGGATCCGCGCCGGTATGTGTGATATCCCGCTCGTCATACAACCACCGTAGAACCTTTTCCTCCATCTCTTCGTCCCCTCGGGCTTGTGTTAAAACGGAAGACCCCGGGAAAGTCATGGACGTCGGCCATACGTAGGTTATCTGTACTCTCACTGCATCCGGAGACTGCCCGAAGATTGTGCTATTGCTATTGGAGACATTGACTATCATCCTCTCATCCAACTTCAAGGGCTGTCATATGAGGTGATCTAGACATGCAGGAGACCGGAATCTGAACGTCCTGCGGATATTTCTTATCGTACGGCGCGACCTGACGATCCCCGTACATACCATTTGGACTATCGACCGGTCCTACCTCGCATACTTGCACACTTGGATAATCTCTGATTGTTTCAAGACGTCGCATCTGCACGCCGCCAACCTTCCCTAAATTATTCTCGTTACAATTCGTGAGTCACCGTCCTAAATGAGGCGGGGACGTTGAGGAAGAATCGTACGCAAGAAATCTCACGAGCTGCATCAGCTTCACAAGCGTGCGACAGACAGTTCGCTAAACATCCGTCACGCTTTCACCCTCACATTTCCGGGCTTCGAGCATCCGACGCTCGTGATCTCCTTGGGCTTGCTAGCACCTACCGCGTTGTTGTCACTTCGCTCATGCAGATATATACAATCGACGGTGTTCCTGTGAGAATAGATCAGAGGTGGAAGAATCACACCAGCAGGACTTTGTTTTCTTGTGTCTCGGTTATTCGATGATACGCGATGTATAAATGGCTGCGAACAACCCGGACGAAGTTAACATTTCGATCTCCGCCACAAAATCCCCATAAAAAGCGAGTACCCTCTTTCCAACCGAAGCATCAGACACGATGAGTGCCTCCCCTCTGTACACAATCCATTGGTATGATGGATATAAGCCATGTTTTCCTCTCGAGTTCGAATCTTTAGATCGTTATAAAGCCCTTGAGCACTGTGACATGCTTAAACGTCTCCGTCGACAGGTGTCCTTGGATCCCGTACATCCTGGTCTCGCTTTCGAAGCTCTCATTCCAGCTCGACTGGTGCCGTCTGGTCCCGAACATCGTCCGTTACCTCCATTTGCGCTCAAAGGAGGGAGATTCCGGCTCGTCATTCATCATGGGATACAGAATGAGATAGGGTATCTCTCTCAGGTCGGGGTTGCAGACGTGAAGGAAATCGATCAATCGGAATATTTGGGCCGTGTCGTCAGGAAGTTTTTCCAGGCCTCCCTTATGCAACTTCCTGTGATGTTCAGCAATCGCTCCATTGACTATGGGTCTCCTAGAGAACTCGCAGGCGTTGAGGACCTGGTATACAATGCGCTCAAAGACATCCAGGGCTTGGTCATTCCTTACTATTACGAAAAGCATAAGGTGCATTCCAAATGACATTGACTTTGGATGTAAATTGACTGTTTTCATAGTTCCTGATGCCCAACGGCGAGTGGGCGAGGGCAATCTTCAAATTTTGCAAAGCATTTTTTTCGGCTTTCCCGGTAGATGTTACAGACGACAAACATGTTGCTTCCAAACAGGCTGTCGCCGAACGAAACAGGCAGCCGGAAGATGCAAGCGATTTTCTCGCGGCGTGTGGTGGAATTGGTGGAAGCTGTGGAAGATCTTTTCTAGCCGATGAGGAAAAGGCCATTGAGTCGTTGATGTGCTTAAGATTACTCGTAGGCCATCCGTATTCGCTTAATCATATCTATTGTCACAGTCTCTCCCAAAACCGTTACCCATCCGGTCCTCTCTTTAGAGTTTGACTGAAAACTCTCGAGCGACTTCACAATCTAGCATCCAATAGTCCTCATCGCTCCGCTTACATGTTGAATGTTGCCATTCTGGCCCGCTCTGCTCCTGCGCCACCAAACTATCGCTACGTATCCGGTAAATATCAGAATCCGCTGCAGATAGCGGGAGTGAGAAATCTGATCATGCAAGTTTTCACTCGTGAATTCTCGTGTGTAGAATATAATAATTAATAGATTCTTAGCTACCGGAGGACTTGGGGCCGTCGATATACGAAACAATCTCTCTGGTCGTGTTGTGAACACGATTTACAAATATACATTTCACTATATGATTTACCGACCTTGTACTACTTAGTATCTGTTTACAAATCGAGATTCTACTTTGAGGCTTCCAAAGAAACATTGCTCTCCATCGGAATACTAATGTGCTAAAGAACAAATATTAGATCAACATGGGACAGCAATATAAAGTATACGTACTGCGACTTCCGTACCAGAGTTGTGATATGTGAGAGCGAGGGCTTTTGATTCTGATGATGCACCCTTTGCCCGAGCTTTCCGGGAGTTTAACCTAGGAACGTTCGGTTTCCAATGAGGGTGAAACACAAGTCACCACGTACATAGCAAGTAGTGAGTTGATATGAACTTCCAGGCGTTATATCAGCCATGAATGCGCATAAAAATACTGAGGGCCCACGTTTTGGAAGGATTAAATCAATGCCAAAGGCAATGAAAGTGTTCGGCCGCATAAGGTACTGGGTTCAAAGTCAGATTGTCGAATGATAGCATATAATAATCTTCTGTACTGTGATTAAAGCTAGTAGAGTGCATGTGCTTACTTTTCGTGAGCTTCCGTGTAGTTTAAAACTCAAAAGGATGTGTTCACCTTGTAGCCAAACCTGATATCACACCGAGCCGCATCATACCAAGAAGCTTGTCAGATGTTCTGCAGTAGCTTAAGTATTAATACATGGACAATGCGAACTACTTACTTGAAGAAGCCGGATGCTTTCCTGCTTTTGTGCAGGTAGTAGCACATGGACAACGTGATGATAAAATCGGAAACCAGCAGGATCGAGTGAATGATGCATGCTGCTCCCTGGAGGATACTTCAAGCGACTGGATTCATGATCAGAGTCATATGCAGCGTACCTTCACACTTGGTAACATCTGGAAATTGGATATGGAGTATCTATTGAGAATGATATAAGCGCTTGCAGTGCGTTCATAGATGAAACTGATATTGTTTACGCATCACGGACTGAAACTATTGCTTTCACGTGAGATAAATACCATTGAATGATGAATGATAGCTTACAAATTACATTGCCTAGATACATTGAGAATCAAACTAGAAAGGCCAGAGATGGGATCGCTCACCGAGAGTTACTATGAAGGTAAGAACCTACAAGTGCATTTAAGGAACAGATTTTCATGTCGATGGACGGTGCATACCACAATCCAAGGAAGAATTCGATGAAAGTAACGGCCAACTATAAAAGGCACTGGAGATACGCTTTTCCGTAATCAAAGAAAGAAAACACGAACGTTTCCAGATTCGAATAGTGTATATACTGTGTGATACACCAATAAATATATGTGCAAACAATTTGGAAACATACCCTTGGACGCCTACGATGACGATCACCTGGGAATGCAGATCTCAGCTTGGGAGCATATCAGATAGGTAGGCATGCGACGAACAGCGGTCAGTATTTGAAGCTAACAATATGCAGTAATTAGCCAGTACTCTGACGAAGAAATTGACACCGAGATGTACCCTAAAGCTCCTGGTTCAAGAGATTCAGTAAGGGTCATAGAGCGTTCCTGTTAGCTAATTCGCGACATACCAAACGATATGTTGCAGTTCATCATAGTCCCCGAACAAGTCTATTAGATAATGATACGTCACATGGGTACTCAGAGCAACATGAAGGGCATCGAAGATCCTGGGTAACCATCGTGATCGAGGGTAACTCTTGTGGTAAGATGGACTCGTACATACCATAGTATGCCGACCTGATGAATAAGCTAAATTAATTAGTTTTTTGTCGGATATCTGGCATACGGAGTATTGAAATATCCACCAGTCGTCAGGATATTTCTTGTAATATTTAGCGACTTGTGAAGTCGTTATTCCGAAAAAGCTGTTACCGCAGTTAATAAAAAGAAAGACGGGGACGAACCCTACTTGCATGGCAGCTATCGTTGCACAGATGTAAAATACCCCAAGAGTCATTCCCAATGATGGAGCAGCGACTGAAAGTTGAGATGACATTGTAGGGTACGAGATCGAAGACAGGAGAGATAGAGCCAAGGATTTGGGAAAGCTAATCTCTTTGTATCGCCCGAAGAGAGACATTGATGGAACAACAAAACAGTCTTCTCTATAATCTTGACGACGGATATCTATTGGACACAACACCTGGAAAGAGTATAGGGTTTCATCACCAACGTAGAATGAATCAGGCGATATCAGGCGTAGCATTATCTGACGTCCTCTTGGCGACAATATCACGCTTGTCTGTTCATCTCATTTGCATTCATAAATATAGACATCGCTTGGGACTGACATGGAATCGAGTTCAGATTAGCACCTGATTGTTTGGACATAACTTAAAAAACTCTCTGATGCAAGCAGGCTCAACTGATATTCATCTCGATGCTTGCATCAAATCTCGTGTTGCTCGGTCTGGATTGGAGTATATTCGTTGAGGTCCCTTCAGTTTAGGGTTTCCAGGTCCCAGACAATCCCGAGCACCGACAAACCAAACGTGGAAGAAAATCAAAATGATGCACAGAAACCGCAAAAAGGTGGATGTATGGCCTTCCTCCTCCATTAGATTTGCAGGATTAGGAGACGAGTACTCTCGCAATGTTATATTACATGAATATATGTTACTCACAGAGCCATTTCAGTGAGGAGGTAATTCAATGATGTTCGAACCAGAAGCGCGCGCTAGCCTGAGTCGTGTTTCAAATGCAGGCCTGGACTAAAAAAAGATGTGAGAACTGTTTCCAATGGAATCCCTTAATTCTGACGCCCACAAGTAAAGAGAAATACAGGCTTTCACCTGTTGCTCTAGCTGGTTGGTGGATAACGCTGTCCTAGTTAGCATACAACTATAGACCTTCTTTCTATGATACCTGACGATAATCCATGGCAATACCAGTTTTTTCGATGCATCGGGTATGATCCTTGCCCTCTATCCTCAGGAACTAGACCGGTGCAGGTTTATCCCGGCTATTCTCATTAATCTGGATGCTCGTTCCCAAGATCATTCGGGAAGCGCCGAAAACTGAGGCGTTGCGAAAGAACGAGGCCTTGGCCCTGTACGTACCATCTATGGATGACTTTCCTTCCTATTCTCACAACAGCCATTCTCTAGCGCCAATCTTTCATTCACGTATATATTTTTATCGCTCGCTACATGCACACAAAGAAATGAAATGATACAGATTCTTCCCCGATCACTATATCTGCATGATTCCGAGACAAGTATTCCCGCGATGTTATATTACATACATATACGTCCCTCGCCAAGTCATTTCAGACTGAAGAGGTAAACCGGCGATCACTTGAACCAGAAGCGCGCCCTAGCATGGTAATCACAAGACTCGCCAGAAAAACAATGTGAGAATTGTTTCCTAGGGATCCCTCGATCTAGACACTCGAAGATGGATTAAAAATATAGGTTCTCACTTATTGCTCTAGCAGATTGCAAGCGGTGGATAAGATGTCGTAGTCAGGATATAAAAATAGACCATCTCTTCTACAATGCCTGATGATAATCCGCAGCAATACAGGTGGTTTCAAGGCGCCAGAACGTCACCTTGCTACATCCAAGATGAGATATCTGCAGAAAGTCGAACACTTGCCCTGGATCTGAGGGAAGCGTTAGGATGAGACGAATGGTATAAATCGGATGCTGATGTTCCTGTATTCGGATAAGTGGTACCTAGCAGTATAGACAAAGGAAGAAAGAAGAAGATACCAAATGCTGCGTAAATACGTGTACCTCAGAATCTATAGCAGGTCCTGTTCGGATCCACGGTTACCGACTGCACTGTTGGGATATTGAACAGGTGTCGTCGTGACTTTTAGCAGCTGTTAGAAAACCTATTGGGCTTACATACTCCCGTGTATGTATGCTAGCCATTATATATACGACTTCCGACTGTAACTGCGGGAATATAATTTCCTGTACAGTATCCATAATACGCACCAAAAATGTGAGAATCTCTAGCAACCCCGTATAATACAGTCATTAGTGGCCATCACCAGACTCGGGCTTATCCTATACTCGTGTCCTCGCTCACAAGGACAACTACCGCTTTTAGTCCCTTCATTTCATCATCACGACGAGCACCACCATTACGCCATTAGTCCACACTGTATTGAGTTTGGCGACCCTTCCAGAAGCAAGTCGAAGCTGATCTCTTCTCGTCGGTATATGGCTATACCAATCTCATTTCCCTCCGATGTCCATCAGCAAAACTCGCACGCGACCGTGAACGAAACGGACCGTACAGACGCTGCAACCATCGCTGGATGGCGTTGCTCAAGTTTGACGTCAGCGTAAGAAGGTTATGGAGTCTAGTGTAAAATCCGTTATGTAACGGTTATAACTATGATTTGACTATGATGAGAGATCGAGAAGTGTCAACGGCGAAATCGGGCCGGTGACGTCACTGTTCAAATTTAGGGCAGCGGGTTTTGTCGCTTGATTTCTCCCATCCCGCATTTCCGTTTCTCAAATTCTGCAAAGGTTTACGCTGACTTTCTCAACAAAAGACGAACATGTACCTACGAAAGTGCACTGTCGCCAGTCGATCTGGGCAGTCCGCTGGACGAACGGATGCAGACGATTTATACGCTGTCGCCGCGTAGTCACGGAACTAGAATTAGGAGCTATGAAAGACTTGTTCTCGGAAAATGAGGAGAAGAAGAGTAGGTCGTTGACTTGTTGATGTATGATATTCGTAACATATCTGACTTCGCGTCTAGATTCTGCCTCTCCCCTCCCATCTCCCGACTGTACCAAATCACAGATTTGCCAGCGGAACCACCGACCGTCATCCTCTCACGCGAATTCATCTCTACGGCGAAGACCGTCTCATATGGTGACCTTGATATGTAGGATATCCGGAACCTTGACGTACTGCCAACATTCTTATTACATGGCATGACATGAAATCTCTCGTGCACACCCCGCACACATCTCGCCATCTTCGCGGGTACTGGCTCGGTCTCATGTTACATAAACCCTGCGTGATCGCTTACCTGGGTCCCCCGATTGTTTCAAGATACCCCCTTCAATCTCCGCCTCAAGGACGTCGTATCTACATGCAGCCAACCCCTCTGACATATTCTCATTGCAATGCGACAGCCGCCATCCGACCACCCTCCTCAACCCAACTACTATTATCCTCGTTTCGGTCGGGACGACAAGGTCGATGACCGAAAAATCTTACTTGAATAACTGTTCAGCTGCACCAACTTTGCAAACATGTGAGAAGCAATTCGCTAAACATCGACCAGTTCCAACGGCGGCCAGCCCCGAGATGGACCCAGGGCTCGGCCCGTGTTCTGAAGGAGGGCAAGGAAGCTGTACACGTAATAATTCTCTAGCCTTGAGACAATATGCTCACGATGTTGAAGCTCTGTCTATCCCACTTCGGGCATTTTCGGGATACATAAATCTGGCTTCGCCCACCATGACATCAGGTCTTGCAACATAATCATCGCGCCCAATACCAAGTCAGTCACTTTCATCAACTCCGTCATGCGTTGCCTCGATATTGCCGCGTATGTCACGCAAACATTTTCAGACTCTCGAGCACACCGGAGTTGAGAACCATGTTCGCTGATGGAGTGGGTTAACGACATTGGTAGGCAGTTATTTGTCATGTCATGAATATTAGTCACCTTTATACTAGCCGAACGTTGCGAAGTCGGTGGTGTACTGGAGAAATAGATGAAGCTCGATTGTATGGCACAAAGCATTGCAGTTGCTTCGTTCGTTATCGTCCCAAACGCCGATATAACAAAGGTTCACAATATATATCTCTGTCGCTGACGGAAATGGGACGTATGAGTTTCGACACAGCGCGGATTGATTTTCGGAGCATGTTCCGGAGTTCCGAAGCGTTGATGCCCATATTGGGACTTGGGCCTATTAGGGCCTTTGCATCTCTCAGAAACGGACCTCTTCTCCTTCCCCTTTCCATGACTAACCGACATCGATGACGAATTCCACACCGTTGATGCTAATCCCTGCCAACCTTCATGCGCACCAGACTCTCTCCACACCACTGCCTCAAGCCGTCATCATTGCTAACCCCGCCTAATGTAACGCCAATCAAGACTCATATGCACATAAAGCCACCACCCTGCTCCTAAATGTCGCTACTTTGCAAATCTTATCATCTTCCCCGCACCCTCTCGACATATACGACGGTATTCATGCCAGTCCGTGCTGAAGTCCTACAACCTCCTTGTCGCTTCTTCTTCCGACTCAGGCCCGTGTTCAAGTCTGAAGGCAACGGTACGGAAGAAAGGACCCTTCGTGTTACCGTAGTCGTGTGCTGAGGGGATATACCGATGGGCAGTCATTCCCTACCTCAAGTATCGTTCGGTGCTAGTTATGCGTAGGCCAGGGACCAAGAAGGACGAACTGGAAAGGATGATAGACCTCTCTCCTGAAAGTGCTCGGACGTGCTCGGCGCCGTCAACAATTAGTCTACTTGGCCAGTCGATGGTGGTGGGCGGATTCACGTCGAGAAAACGCGTGTCGTAGTCTCGTACGCGTCATCTTCTCCGAAGTGGCAGAGTCGCGCCCTCCATCTTCCTTACTACCAGCTCTCGCGGCACGTGTTTCATCGGTTATATCTTACTATTCTGAAGTCGTGAACGTCGTCTCAGATATCCCTTACTGCCATCGTCGAGACGACTGGTTCTACTCCCGTTTTCCCCCCATTTACATACGTATTCTTTATCACTATTTATCTTCCCCTTATCATCCCTCCCAGGCTTATACCTGTTTACGTGCTATGTTCTTACTTCGCAACCTGGACATTGGCACTCTCAACATCCTTAGTTCAGTAAACGTTTGACGACCCTTAGGGACCGGCCCCCGAGAATCCCAATCTTTATCGCTGTATTAAATTTGAGACGGGTTTTCCTTGAGTCACATCTTCTGGCTTAGCGGCTATCATCTCTGCACTTTGGCGTGGGCACCAGGATCATGTTCCGTTCCTGACGTTCCAACCGACTCGCAGACTGGAAGGGGCTCCGAAGCTGGGGAAATGCAGATCTAATCTCCGTTTGCTGTAAATCAAAAGTTTGCCTATGAAACCCACTCTTCCTTCGCTCAATCAATCATGTTCATTGGCCCAATCTCTCCCGAACCGTTATTCTGGACTGAGGATAGTCGCTATCCGGTCTTCTCTTTTGAGTTTGATTGGAGAGACCCAGAACAGCTCTCGCAGTACTGTCGGAATCTCGAGCGACTTCGCGATGTCTCGTCAAATTGTCCTCTCGGCTCCGGCTACTCGTTGATTGTCACTATCCCTGCCCGCCCTGCTCCTGCGCCACCAAACCATCGCACTCTTCCCCAATTCGCTCTTGAAGGTGGTTCTTTGCAGTTGATCCTAAAGACTGGCCTTCAGATTGGGCCTGAGTGGTGGGCAAACGTTTGGCTAGTGAAGGTCCAGAAACCTGGAGAGCTCTTCCCTTGGAAATATCGTGTTAAAGATCCTTCCCGTCCGTGCGCCCACATCCCCACTTGGACGGCAGAGGTTACGTATCTGTGGAGTATCCGAACCCAAAATAGATGGCAGGCGCTGAGAATCTAGTGTATGCCGAACTGGAGTCATTCCAGGACTCAGTGGTTCCGTACTATTACGGGCACCATATGGCAGGTTCTCGACCATGAAGTTTCAAGTGTGGAATTTGATAATCCCAACAGTTACCGATGCCGAATGGCGAACTTGCGTATGTGCTCTTATTTGAGTACATCGAGGGAGAGTCAGTGGAGAAGTGGCGCGAGTCCTACCCTCGTCACCACCGAGAGGGGGACAGTCTTAGTCGCCCGCTTGACCGAGATTATCTTCTCAAGGCAAAAACACTAGTAAGTGTTCTTCCTTTCTCACAATCGCTTCCTGACACGTTATCAGTACATTTCCATGCTCCGTGGCTTTAATCAAATCAACGAACAGGGCGTCATTCATTACGACGTTCATTCAGCGAACATGATTATAACCAAGGATTGGCAAATTGTTGTGATTGGCTTTCGCAGGGCGTGTATCCATGTACCTCTGCAAGATGCCAAGGAAGGGAGCAATGCTTTCAATGCTGTTGAGTCCTTGCTTGCATGCTGCGAAGAGCACAGAGTAACGTTGCAGAAGTGGTCAGGCACTGAGCTTCCTGATCGACTGTTAAGGCCTCGACACTTTTACTTTCCGAATGATTAATTCGAATGACAAGCCTGGGAGATGAGATCCATGTACAGGTTTTCGATACGGCATACAACCTAATTTTTACTTGGAAATGCAGCCTCTACTTTGTGTGCTCCAACGACTGAATATTTTCCATCGGAATACTGATGCTCTGGAGAACGGACATCAAGAGTAACTCGGAAGTAGAATTGCGATGTACGCCTACCACTTCATCGACATCAGACCTAGAGTCTCTAGGCGCAAATCTTAGGACTCTTAGTTCAGAAGAATGACTTCTAGCTGCCGTTCGATGGTCTGGCCGGAAATTTAACCTTAGGAGGAATATCAGCCGTTACGAGGTATAGAGCACACGGGTCGGTACAGACATAACGAGCAGTGAGTTAATGTAGACTATATATCAAGGCATTAGCTCTGTTATGGATGTACAAAAAACGAAGCCTGACATTTTGGTAAGACTAAATCGACGCCAAGGAAAATAAGAGTGTTCGGCCAAACCAGATACTGGATTCAAGGTAAGATCTTGAAGGAATAATCATCTGTTCATTGGATATACCGTGATGAGCGTTAGTAGAGAACATGCACTTCCAGAAATTAGTCCATGAATACTATATATTGAAGAGACACTGTTACCTTGTAGCCAAGCCAGATACAACGACTAGCCGCATTAAGCGGAGAACCATCGCAGAGGTGCTACGATATAGTTCATAATTCGAACCACGAAGAACGTAAACGGCTCACCTAGCAAACTCGGAAGCTTCCCTACATTTATGCAAGTAGTAACACATTGCGAAGGCGATTATGAAGTCAGAAATGGCTGGGACGGAAAAAACGACACATGTCGACGCCTAGAAGGTAAATGCGCGGGGTAGAAGCGCTTCAACTATGATATTTTTCGTACCTTGATGCGTGATATCGATAGAAAACTAGATATGGTGTACCTTCCGAGATCCGTTTAATTAATAACAACTATGATACAGAAGAAAACGCTGTGCTTACTCAGCGTACACCGAGACTAGATCCCTCGTGAGAAGGGGAGTGGAGAATAAGTCATAGCTCACAAATTCCAGCACCTGTGTAAATTTAAACCAAGCTCGGAAGAAGATCCATGAGACAACTAACCGAAAGCGGCTGCGACGGTCAGCACCTATTATCCATTCTCACGGACAACCTATCTTGAGGAAGGGAAGCACGTACCACAAACCATGGAATGATCTTGTTGAAGTGACGGCCGACTAGAATCGAAACTCGCTGGGTTTCGTGGTGATCAGATAGACAAACTACGTACGTTTCCAGATCCGGATGGCATATATGCTGAGTATTACGGCTGTGAGTAAAGGGGCGGGAAGTTAACTCGTGAACGTACGCCTGGACGCCCACGATAATCACCATCTAAAAAGCACCAATGAATTTCTGAGAATACGGTAACATGAAGGACGAACACTGAGCAATATTTGAAGCTAAATAAATCGCACAGCATTTAGCCGTCTCATTCACGATGAAGCTAAGACCAACGAAGTACCTTGAAACTCCTAGGTGGAAAATTAATAGTCGCATCACTTCGCAATTAATACCGTGATGTAAGTACCATATGATATTATATATCTCTTCGTAGTTGCCAAACGTGTCGACTACATAATGATAGACTGCATGGGTACTCATACCAAGGTGCAGAGCATCCAGAACCCTGTGATTGATGGTTCATGAGAACGATTATCGACATATGGATTCCGACACACCAAAGTATCCCGACCTGATGGATAGTGACATGTGGATAAATTTCATTTCTCCCTGAAAGTTGACGTACTTACAGAGTACCGGTATACCCACCAATCGTTCGGGTATCTTCTGTAGTAGATGCCGACTTGAAGATTTGTTATTCCAAATAAGCTGTTACCGACGATGAGGTGTCAGACAATGTAAGGTAAACAAGACGAGATTTTCTTGCATCGCGGCTAGCATTGCACCAGTGTAAATGGCACCGAGAGTCGCACCCAGTGAAGGAACAGCGGTCAGGACTCTCGAGGACTCAGACATCGTGGGATGCGAGGTTGAAGAAGCGAGGGAAACTCGTAAGGACGCAATAATTTGGTGGTTTTATACCGGCCCCAGATACTAATAGATCAGGCTCCAACTGGTCACCTGTTACTTCCTTTGAATGGTTGATGAAGTTGCGACTCTTCCTGTACGTCAACATACAAAAATAGTTCTTCCCTTTGACACTTGATCATCATTTTGTTAGCAAAACCCGTGGTTTCAGAAGGCCTACCATTGCTACTTACGCTCACTTAAGATTAGGCCACCTATTTTCTATCTCTCAGCAGAATTCAACAGAAGACTACACCAACACACAGTCAACCAAGCGAGACCAGGGTCATGACTGTCTTACAAATTCGAGTCAGAAGGATTTGCCATTATTAATGTTATTGAATATTTGACTTTGTTCAATCAGTAATGAGCCCAATATACTCGTAATCGACTACCGTAATTCTGTCGAAGTAGGGTGATCAAGTGTGAGCATCCCCGCGGGTATGGACCTTGACTTCAACAACACAGCATATACCGTGTCTAAAGCACACCATGGCTGAAAATTCTTAGCCATCTTCCCTGAAGGATGTTTCTGTGATTTCAGTTGCCGCACGGTGTCCTTCTCTCACTCAGTGGAAGAACTGAAAAAACAATCGTGACGCTAAGGAGTCTACTCACGGACTTTATTCAGCTTAGGATACATTGGCATCATGCGGTTGAAATTGCGACTCTTGATTGCAGACCTTGATCCATGCCGGACTTCTGAGCGAACTGTTCTGATGCACACGTCGAGGGGGGGAAGGATGTGGTGATTGCGAAGTCGTGGCACCGGCATAGCGGGCCGGGTTAGACACGTGTTTCAGGCTCCTGCATCGACTTTTCGCTTCGTTCAGGTTCACGATGCTTTGCTCTAACGGTCTCAGACGGTCCAATGAAGCGCGAATATTTGAATCTACAAATCGAGGGAGATGCCTCTCCAGCTTGTATCAGGTATGAATCAAAGTTTTGCGCATTTGGGCGCAAGGTGGGGTGAGCCGCCCCTCTAATTTATTAGATTGGGTCCAGAGCCACTCGATGCTGGTAAGCATACGTGCGCACGTCTCATCTTGCTAAATACAATAGCCCACCAGATTGCAGCTCGAACATTCATCCGAGCGTCATCTAAAAGCAAACTGGGCTTTCTGTTTTCTGTTCTCTCCGCTGTCCGATAGACGACCCATGCGATGTAGGATTGGCACTGTTAAAGTCCTTGAGTACTCTGATAATCTTAGACATCTCCTTCGAAGCTGTCATTCCAGCTCGACCGGTGCCGTCTGGTCCCGAACATCGTTCGTTACCACCGTTTGCACTCAAAGGGGGCAGATTCCGGCTAGTTGTCAATCACGGCATACAGAATGAGCTAGGGCATCTCTCTCAGGTCTGGGTTGCCGACGTGGAAGGGTATCGATCAATCAGTATCCTTAGGTCGTGTTGTCTTGAAGCTATGCCTCCCTTATGCCACTTCCCGAGCTGTGTAACAACGGCGCCATCCAATATATGTCTCCCAGGCGACTAGCAGGCATTGAGGATCTGGTATACAACACGCTCGAAGACATACAGGGCACTGTTGTTCCTTATTATTACGGAAAGCATAAGGTACTTACTTTCCAAACAGCATTCAATTCGGATGTAAACTGACCGTTCTCATAATTCCTGATGCCTAACGGCGAGTGGACAAGGACAATTATCCTGGAATATATCGAAGGAACCACGCTTGCCGATATCGGCGAGAAGTATAATCCCCAAGATCCTCTGGATAACGAGTCTTTGTCGCCAACAGTCTATAGCGATTGGTTGCAGAGAATGAAAGAACTGGTTCGTCGCATCGAGGTTTCCTTGGCTGATCTAATGATACATATTCTATCAGTACGTTCCAATTTTGAACGGGATCAAAGAGATCAATGCGCGTCAAGTCTTGATTCCTGATACGAGACAGGAAAACATCATAATTACCTCTACGGAGCCGAAACGAGCGGTATTCATCGATTTCGGACAGGCCTTGCTAAGGGTGCCTCCCGATATTGTCACGCAACGTGGGAATAACTTCTTCATTATCTCCCTGCTTACCAATTGTTGTTCTGAGCATCAAGAAGACATTCGGAAGTGGGCTAAGGAGACAGACGTCAACTTACAGCATCCAGTCTTTGTTGATCCTGAAATGCCCGACGTGACATCCTCTTGACTGCTGAATATTGCTGAATATAAGAGCAATAGTTGCATGATCAGAGTATTGTGTCAATATTTCCCAATCTTACAAATGCTATCACAGAACTTGTCTCGACTTAGAGTTCAACTTTCCTAGTTGAAAATCTATTTGTTTCCCTTGGATATTTCGTATCCAAATAACGTTTGTAATTTCTGCTTGCTCAGAATGAAGCTTCCATCCTAGCCATAGGCGTTATCCAGATCGACCTTTCCATGGCTCCTTCCTCCCGAGACGGTGCGCATGTGGTTAGCCTTCGGAACTCGTTCCGAAGTGTTGATGCCTATATCGGGACTACGCGGTGACCCAGGTGTCGTAACTGTCGTTAGGCCCCGTCTTTCTTTCCTACCACCATGGTCTGTCCTACGTTCGTCCTTCCTTCCCTTTATAGTGTCACTGATGTATTGCAACTTTTGGCTTTCAAGATGCTTTTAACTATAGTACGTTCTTTTTGGCTTATTTGGTCGTTGCTTATCCCGTTTTGCCTGCCGTGTAGGCCCGCGTTATCATCCGATGACCTCCCCAAGACTTTCAAAGATCAGCAACTCCTCCAGTACCAGCAGATCAACGGACTAACTGTTGGTATAACGTGCGTCAGCTACAGTCTTGACGCCAGAGTGTTCTACTAACATATTGCCAAGTGAATCCCCGTAAGGTGATCATCGCAGACCCGAATGTTATTCACTCGCTTGCATGAACAACCTTCATTTACTCGGCCATCGCTCTTTTCATCTTCACGTTGTGTGCCAAGACCCTGACTCCGGTCTCCCTCAACTTTTGTGACATCTTGACGCCATCTGCACCACTTCCTGTCACTCCGGCCAACGTTTGACTTCTGTCTCTGCGACATGTACCGAGCCGGTTCTCTTTCATTCACCCTTTCCCATGCTACCCCTTCTCCCGGCTGACGTTCTCACAATAACTCGAGAGTCGTTCACGCATACCAGCGGCACTGTGCTCCCTAATATCATCAACCTGCAAATCCCGCCGCATATTATCATTGTCTTATCATCCTCCTTACACCAGGTGACCACTCCGGGACCGAGAGAATGTCGTTTCGACTAAAGAAGCGTGTTGAAGAGCAACAGTGACAAGGAATTCTTGTTAGCGCGCGTGTGTAGGGTGCGTGGAGCTTCAAAATCCGCCTCGAAGGGCTGTTAAAACAAATTGATCGAATGGTTTCGATAACCACCTCTTACGCAGCAACGTTCTCCCCTTCATGCCGTCAAACACTTCCAGTGATATAGTCCATCTATCGCATGGCGCCGTCCCTCACTTCGGGGAAGACTATGATGTTCACGACCCCGTTGCGGAAAGACAGTACAACGATCAGCTGACCGCATTTCGCCAGGCCTGGCACCGCGGTAGATCCCTAAGTGTCGGAGATTCCTTCGATGTTACGCTGACGCCTATCGCTAAGCCGGAGGGTGGCTGCGACCTTCCCTTATTTGCTCACAACGAGGTGATTATATGCTCGTCGTCACCGATATCCTTCAGCCTTTCCTGGAATCTGAGGCTTATTGGTCTCTTGTCTGCACCGCAGATATTCAAACACGAATTTCCAACTTCCGTTATTCTGAAAATATTCCAGGGCTCTTTGCTACCAGTTGAATCTCGCACACCATTTACTCCGGTCGTCTCTCCGAAACAGCTTGCTGGCTGTGAGAATTATGCGTACAATGAGCTGAAGGACCTTCAGGGAGCAGTTATTCCGTATTACTATGGAAAGCATAAGGTGTGTTAATTGCGTAATGTCTTGGCTTATGATTCACGACCCTGCGACAGCTGGCGATGAAGAACGGAGAAGTCGTTCGTGTACTTGTCTTAGAGCATATCCACGGCTTGTCCCTTGAGGAATGGTTTGAATCCTTCCCAGAACACCACGACGTAGAGGATTCGAGGACCAGTCTACCTTTCTATGACACCATGCACAGCCAGAGGAAAGTTCTGGTATGGATTAAGATCTCTCTCAGACGCGCCACGAATGACTGATTGACCTGTAGACCAAACAGACCAAACTGGCGCTCCGTGGCATCACCGAGATCAACAAACGTGGAAGCCTGCAACAAAATATAAGCGCATAGAATATCCTCATTATCCCTAATGCTGATAGTCCGACGCATGTTGTGTTCATCGATTTGCGAGTTGTGACATTAATTTGACAGAGCGCAAGATGAAGGAATACGATCATAATGAACCAAAAACTTTCATGACATTGATGGCGTTGTGCTGTTTAGATCATTACGACGATCTCATTTCATGGGCGGAGGTGAATGGTTCTCTAGGAGGTGATCTTGTTTATCCCGGGGTGTCAATATGACGTGAACTTTCGTCACTTTTTTCTGATTAACCTTCCCGCAGTACCGTTTTGTTTCATTTGCTGTTCATTAAGAGTACATATTGAATCCGCCCTTGAAATTCCTTTCTACGGTCGACAGACTGGTTTTTTTACAGGCATTCCGCTGGCAAGCGGAATACCAGGTTACAAATACCTAACACGCTACGCGGAACATTTTGTTACAATTCTCTGCTCATACTTGGAATTCGAGGCCCGTCTTTGCGCGATCCAAAGACGCAATATTTTGCATTGGTGGAATAATAGTATTCTGGAGAAAAGCATCAAGATAAGTTCGAGACAGAAATCCAGTGTGTACGCACCGCTTCAGAAGTAGGGCCTTGGTATGCGAACCTAAGGACTTTGGGTGTAGAAGATGCACCGTTTGTCACATGATGGTCCCTCCGAGAGTTTAACCTAAGAGCGCTCAGCCGGAGCTCCTAATGGCGGAGATAATGCTTGTGGAACGTACATAGCAAGTAAGGAGTTAACATATACTACATTGCGTCAGATCGGTTATGAATAAAAACGACAGGATGCTGACATTTTGGTAGGATTAAATCGACGCCTAGGAAAATGAGAGAGTTTTGCCAGGCCAGATACTGGAATCAAGGGTAAGACGATGGAACATTATTAACGTTCTGGTGACCATACGGTGATGAGGGTGAGAAGCGAGCACGCACTGTCTGCTAGTGAGAATCTGTGTAATTGTGACTTAAATGACGTCCTCACCTTGTGGCTAAGCCTGATATAATGACGAGTCGCATTAAACCGTAAAGCATGTCAGACGTGCTAAAACAGGTGAATATTGAATGCACTGGGAAAGGACACAACTCACCTGGAGAATGCAGAAGCTTCTCTGCTTTTGTGTAGATAATAACACATCGAGAACGCAATAATGAAATCAGAAGTTGCCGCCACAGCAAAAAGGGCACATATTGATCCCTGGAGGATGCTTCAGACGTATTTCAACCATAATCTTATGCAACATGCCTTGATACTTGGTATCAACAGGAAATTCGATATGGAGTATCTGTCAAGAACAATGTAAGCACCGATAATGAGTGCCCAGATTGAAATGTCTTCTTACGCATCATAAACAGAGACTTTGCATATTTCGTGAGTAGTGGATTATAAGAACAATTGTAGCTGCTTACAGATTCCAGCACCTATAGATTGTAAATCAGAAGCAGAAAAGGCTATTAACAGACGACTCACCCAAAGCCACTGCGACGGTCAAAATCTGCAGGTTCATCATCAGGGGGTCGAAACAAGCATCTTATAGATGAAAGGTACCTACCACAATCCACGAAATAATTCTGTTGAAGTGACTACCAACTAGAAAGAACTTAATCTTGGTTTTGAAATAGAAGAGAGCAAAGCGCGAACGTCTCCAGAGCCTAACGGCATATAAACTGGACGTTGTACCAGTGATTAGATATGTAGAGCAACTTAGAGAACATTACGAAGACGTACGCTTCGACCCAAATGATCATGACCATCTAAAAAAAGTACCACTTAGCGTCGGCGGATGGAAGATAGTTGAAGGACCAACACATATCAATAATTGAAGCTAAAAATGTCATATGGTCGTCAAGTAGATCTGTTGGAAAGTGTAGAAGACAATGAGTACCTTGAAACTCCTAGCTCGGGGAGTCAGCGGATATCGCATAATTTTGCCAGTATAATGACGTACCAGACAATGTGAAACAGCTCGACGTAGTCCCCAAATAAGTCAACGAAATAGTGATATATCGCGTGCGTGCTCAAAGCTACGTGAAGGGCATCGAGAATCCTGGAAAATATCATGAATAACGAGAGAATGCGATGGACTTCATCCATAACACAGATCCAAACGTACCAAATTATTGCGACCTGATTGGAGTCAGCAAACTAAATATAACTATGGTCAAACGGTCACACACAGAATATCGATATATCCACCAATCGTTGGGGTACCTCTTGTAATAGATAACCATTTGCAGATTCGAAATTCCGAATAAGCTATTGACAGACCTATTAGTAACAAAAAAGAAAACAAATGCGCGGTGTGCTTGCATGGTAGCCAACGTTGCACCGACATAAACCGCGCCTAGGGTCATTCCCAGTGACGGTACAGCAGTGGGAGCTTGCGATGGCATTATGGGATGGGAGACTGAAGATGGGAGAAAGGTATGAAGATTGTTTGTTTTATAGGTTCTCATCTGAAACAGCATCATGAAGTTAGCACAATCTCCAGACACGCTGTGTCCTTCATTTGAACGAAAAGGTATAGAAGAACATCTGTTGCTGCAGCCGTATGGCCGATAACCTTGCATTCCTTACCCATGGCTGTGAGATCCGTACGTGCAAAAATAGAGATTTCTCACCACACAGGATGATCCTTTTTAGCCGATGGTTTCAAGGGCCTAGTCAATTCATTTTTACCAGTTACAGACGTGTACTCACAGGATATCGAACCAATAACTCACTCCAGATCAGTTGTACTAGGCGAACGCAGTGGCGCGGTGGCCAGCATTAAGCGGATGATCACCAGCCATCGCCAACCTGTTGAGCAGTCAGTTTGAGATCGAGGTTTTGATAATGATGTTATGATTCCGGAACATCCAGTGCAATAATACCAGATATCACGGAGAAGAGCTTGCTATTAAGTATGGTCATCGGAGTAGTTGAACGGGAACCAGGGAGTCTGGCAGGGACCACGTGGCGGTGACTGATTGTCACGTGTGTCCGTGATACGCGTGCTTCCAGTGATTGATCTGTGGCGATTGTTTGTTTCCTTCATCCACGAGTGTAAAGACTTGACGCTACGCCATAAATTAGTTTACTAGGCTCTTATATGTTTTACCTCTCTACCGATGGTAGTTGGACTCAGTCCGCATCCGGCTAGTCCGACTCATACACATCTATGGGTAGGATTACTCAGCTGTGGATACCTAGCCTTGCCGCCACTGTCAGTATCGATCCGGGGTTCTCTATCTTGGACCTGTTCCCTTAGAGATACAGGTTCTATCAGAATTTGAAGCCATCCAATTTGATATATCAAAATCTTCACGCCCAACTCATCTCGAAGGGCACATCTGTGAGTCGCGACTGATCTACGCACGGCGGCAGGTCATACCCAGCATTGTCGACAGATGAACATTATACACTGTCTTCTATCAAGTGATACCGGTAAATCTTGGGGAAAATTATGTGTACCGCACCTACGGATTCCAGTGCTTGATAGATGGCGGTGATCTCGAAAATCCGATGACCTGCCGATCTCACTCACTCACTCGCCGCTTTTTTAGCTTGCTACGCCCTGTGTGGAGAAAAGGTACCAAAGAACAACCGTTGATCGTAACATGATGTTTCTCACATATTGGCGGTCATAAGGTCCCTGCGCAGTGCGCTACACCGCCATATATGCATATAACTTACATCAAAGGAAGGGGGGCACAGCAGATCTCGACTACTTTCATACCCTCCTCTCTCGAAGCATGCCGAGTCCCAGTCACACCACATCTAGGCGCGGTTTAATACCTCAATTCAGCGATAACCTTTATGGCGACGACGGTGATCAATCTGCATAAGACCAGTTCTGTATCCAACTCGCTGAATATCGCAAAGCTTGGAGTGATGGCTATCCTCACGAAGCTGCTGAACTAAAATAAATCCCTGGTATGTCGGTCAATATCATTCCACTCTTACGCATTAACATCTGAAAATCTCTTAGAGAGATTAGCAAGCACGGTATACTAAATCGAGATGTCTGCAAAGAAAATATAATCATCACGTAGAGCCTTGAGAATTCTAAGCACCTTGTTTTCATCGATTTTCCGAATTGCTTCGTAGGAATGACGGAGGAGATGAGGAAGGAGCACGACTTCAAAGAACCAAAGATTTAAGACCTTGTCCATCAAACACTGTCACTGCAGCAGGGAAACATCATCTCATATTATTTAACTTTGCACAAGGTCAATCTTCAACTCGCGTTTCTCCTAAGTCCTGAAATGTCGTTCTATCTACGACGTAGATACGAAATGATAACAAGAAGCCTGCTTATTATGAACGATCTTGACTTGAAATTGGAATAAATATCGGTAAACTTTAAGGAATGGATAGGAGGATTGAAGCAACTACTAAAAGATAACGAAGGAAAATACATTAGTTGACGGCAGAGGCGGTAAGGAGGGTTGCAGTGGTTTCCTTAGGAGTCAAATCTTCACTCATGATCGGCTTAGTGAAGACCGGCCCAGCTAGCTGCAGTGCCGTCGCAGTCGCGTCTGTTGCGACAGGACTTCCTGCTGTGGTAGTACCGTTAACTTCTACCGTGGCACCTTGTTCTCCTCCAATAGGCCTTTTCACCGACGCCGTACCGATGGGAAGAGGGGTGAAAAGAGGTGGGGTGAAAATCTTTGGTCCCCTTGTAGCTTGAGGAAGACTGTGGCTCGACTCTTGGGTAATACCCGTAGAAGAGTTGGTAGTGGCCTGCACTGTAGACTGAGTACTGGCGGCTTCAGTGCTGAAGCTACTGAAATGAAGGATATCTGTCGTAGAGGAGATAGATTCGGTACTGATAGTAGGATGGGAACTTCCAGGATTGACGGGTCCTGGCCCTCTGAGTTGTCGTCCATCGAGAACGGCGGCCCCTCTGACCGAAAGAGACAAAGCTCCTGCAATAATGGCGAGATGGACAAGCGAAAGCATGATTTCCTGTGGACAACGAGTATCAGCACCGCGTTCTCGGTCAAACCGGGGAGGGAGCAGCCTACCAAAAGGCGAAGAAGCAAAATATATGATTCAGAAGGAAAGTAGTACAATGAGGCAGAACTGTGTGATGACTGAGGAATTTAGAATTTAAATGAAGCGAAGAAAGTAACTGACTGAGAACTTTATGTTTCTAGGTTTCTGAAGTGTCGATCATGGTCAGCCCAAGCCTTTATAAGATACTCTCATGAATAATTAAACGAGATGAAGAAGCTTTTTCAAGAACCTCCGAAATGGGATCTATTGTTAGAACAATATAGACATCCAGATGGTCGCCTGAAAAAAAAAAATCCATCAGCACTTCTATCTGGGCAGATAGAACAGTTGCGTGTATTTATCGTCTCCAGGAACTCAGAGAACGTGATCATGATCACTCTGCATGAGTTCGTCAATTAGGCATGAGTCCAGAGAACAGTTGCGTCCCGGGCTCACAGAACATCTCCATGCAAATCGGACACACTCCGTTTATAGCATCGGCTACATCTGCCGTTACTCATGAACATCGATTTTGTTCCTGAAGGACGGGAAGCGCTTTGTATTGTCTGCATCATAGCTAAAAAAGAAACCCGAACTCAAATAGGAACATGAAATCAAGGACCCGAATGTGCCTATACGCGGGATTGCTAAAAAAGAAAGTCTATAAAAAGTGTGTCATAATTAGCGCCTCCCGACTTGGCTTACCGCGAAACAAAAGTTAAGCACATCCGTGATTAATTAGTTCGGTAAAGTTAGAAAGCGCCCATTACCCAGAAATACCCGAACAATTCGAAGGAAGGACGGAGGACACAAGTCCGGTACGACTGACGTGTGACAAGTTCCATTTCATTCTAGGAAGTATCCTTGCATAGCTGCTCAACCAAGCGACCATGTGCAAGTTAATTTTAGATCCCAAGATGAGAGCCTCCCCGACTGAGGCTTCCTCATCTTGGTCCACTATGATCCGTCGAGTAACGTAAAGTGCTTACTTCTCCAGAAATACATTCGACGAAGTGAAACCAATCAGCCCGTACAAAAATATTACAGAAGCCTGGATCAGGCTTCTTCATTAGTTGGATTCGAAAGTATAATATCAATACAAGAATATTTATATAACCTCGCGTACAAAAAGCCGAGTCCCCTTCAAACAGGGATCCCCCAGCTCTTCTTAATTAGATCCGCTCCACGCTCTGCAATAGCATAAACCGCTGCTTGGGTATGCCCTGCCGGCGGTTTCGGCTACGAAAATAGGTTAGCACAACACGACGAAAGGGATTCCCGGAAAATACCCACCAAAACGCTCGCATCAACAATCCTGACGCCCTGAACACGCTTCAACACCAGATCCGGGTCTACGACGCCCCACTCTGCTCCTCGAGGTGACATGCTTGCTGTACTGAGCGGATGGTAAATACTGGTGATCCCGTTCCTGATATCGTCATCCGTCGTGTTTGTCACCAATCGAATGATGTGTCCGTCCCATGCTGGGCCTTTAACGAAATCCTGTGCCTTGGCGACAGCTGAGCGCATTACTTGGATATCTTGGGGGTTCGTAAAGAAAGCAGGGTCGATCACCGGGGGTGAAAGAGGGTCTGTGTTGTTGATCGTCACGGAGCCACCTGAGGGACGAAGAGTCGGAAATAACAAACGAGGACGGTATGAAATACATACGAGAAAGAGGGCACAGAACAACTGTATTGATCGCGAAATAATCGCCTGTCGGTGGGAATGGTGCGTGGTATATGCCATTCTGAATAAGGATCATGAATTTCAAATGAAACGTAAAAGTACGAAAAGACACCCACCGAAAAGATAAGCTCAAAGTGAGCAGTCTCATTCCCAGCAGACGGGTCAATCTCCAACGTGCCATCAGGAACCCTGAGCCACCCAAGCTGACTAGTCGGCATACTCGACAAGAAACCCGTACGGTTCTCCTGCCACTGTTCCAGGACCTCCTCCTGGTATGTCTCATTCCGGAAGTACACATTCTCCAGCGTATCCTTGTCCGTAACTTCCCAATTGAGCACCCATCGCGGATGATCTGTGAGGTTTCGTCCGACATCGGGGAGATGAACGGTCGACTTGACTCCAACAGCTTCGAGTTCGGCGGAATCTCCGATTCCAGAGTGTAGCAAGATATTCGGGGTGTTCAGAGATCCTGCTGAGAGGATTATCTCCTTTGACGGGGAGAGGGTCTGCTTCGTTGCTACGATGCGCCACAATCAGCGTGTTACAATCATCATCAAAGATTTGCTTTACCTCCGAAATCCTGAGTAAATTCAACGAGGTCGAATTTAGGAGCTTTATGGCCGTGCTTGTCCTTGCTCTCGGAATCGGTGTGGTTTGATTGGAGGATCCTCGTTACGTGTGTTTGTATTAGGACGTGCAGATTGGGACGATTGATGTACTTGGCGCCGAGATATGAAACTTCTGAGCTGCTTCTAGTGCCATTACCAACAGTAGTCTGCATCCAACCTGACGTCAATCCGATCAGCGACCGTCATCACATACGAGAAGAGATACCCACCGACACCCAGTTGATACCCCGAATTCATGTCCAGATTGAATGGAAATTCGTCCGCTAGGTCTGTAGTAGTCTGGATGACCCGTTGGTCTGTCCCCCGCGGGTAGCCAGGTAGAGTTACGGACATTATGCCGTCAAAACCATGGGCCTCGGGATTGTATTGACCAGTGGTATTGTGATGATCAGCGGGTTGGACGAAACGTTCGCCCTAGATGAAAACGTTAAACGTTGCTCTCGACTGAAGAGAAGAAACGAACCCTTTTGATGTAAGGCAGAAGGTTGTCCCAAGACCAACCCTCGTCGCCCGAAATGGCAGCATAACGGTCATAGTCTTGCGAAGATCCACGAGTGTACACCATAAAGTCTAACATTTATAATTAGAATTCTACCACAATGGTCGCGAAGGAATGAATGAACGTACTAACGGCGCTACTTCCGCCTAATCCAAACCCTCTTGGATAAGAGATGGGACGGTTATTAAGCCCAGGCTGTGGAATCGTGGTGTAGTTCCAGTCCAAGGGTGTCTGAGGGACGACTTGGGGGCAGAAGAATGGTACCTCGGACAGGAGAACATCCGCAGTGCTAAGTTAAAGATGAGGACTAGTGAGGAGGAACAACTTAGAAGCGTACGATGCGCCGGCTTCAATGACAAGGACAGAGATATTCGGCTGCTCAGTAAGGCGATTAGCGATAACATTCCCTGCAGTTCCGCCTACGGCAATCGATTAGAAGATTGAAAGAGAATTTTTCGAAAGACGTACCTCCAACAATGATAAAATCAAAGTCAGTGGTTGGTAGATCGGAGACTTTTTCATATATGAGGCCAAATGCGCTGCTGATTAGCGCAGCGAGGAGGGCGAGGCGCAGACTCATGATGAACTCTACAACCCGGCGATAAATGGGGCGCCTATATATACCCAAAAAGCGAAATGAGAGCGGCACGGGAGCAAGAGGAAAGCACTTACTAGACAAAGGTCGGTAAGGTATAGTCGCTGCTACAGCTGACCTTGCTTATATACGGGATGTAGATCTCAATGAAATTGGATGTCCTAAAATTAAATGCATTAGAGGTAATTTGATTCAGGTGAGCGCGCGCGGACCCACATAATTCTCCGAAGCCCCACAGTACGCACTAAGCGCATCAACTGGAAGATTCTTATCACCGACCGACAGTGCTTATGGCTTAGGCAGGGGGGAGGATCACGATCCATATAGAGTGGTCGGTACTGGTGCCTGATGTCGTAATGGTCACAAGCACAGGGCGAATCCTGAAACATGCCCGCGATGGGGTGAGGCGATGGAAGGACATGCACTGGCTTGAGGTTTTGAGATGACATCTGTTCGGTGTCTGCAGTGGCGACAGTAGGTTTGACACGACGGTCATCTAGTCCCGGTGCTTAGTCTCGCTGTATATACGCCAAGTAGAATTAGGCGCACTAAAGTGTCCCATCGAATCGTCCATCGGCTCTAACGAAATGTGTAGCTGCATCGACCGTCGTTGAAATACGTCCTAGGAACTCGATGGATACCAGCCGAACAAGAAACTACGGCATGGATCAGCGGTTGAGCTATAGCAATCATTGACTGTACCTGTTCATCAAGAGGAACCAGGATGCCATCCGTGGCAAAGTGAAAGCTGTCGACCTTGGCTTTGCCGCACCAAGACCGTACCAAGCCTGTAAAATACCCCGATGAATATGACTACGAAAACTGAGTTGACATCTGAGAATGAATTGTCATCTCTTGATATCCGTTGTATGAAGGAAACGAAACACAAAAGTAAGTTACGTGACCACCATTACAGCAACGTGAAACGTTTGGCGAGTTTGAAGGTGATACAATGGATATAAGACGAGGGAATAGTGCCTACCTGTGTACTGGTACTGCCTCGTAGCCGGTGCTCGTGTTTGTGATCCCGAGAAGCTTCACGACGATTTAACTACGCCTTCGGCGCGTGGTACACAATGCCAACGTACGATACGGTGGTCAATTGTCCTCTAGATGTCATCATAGGATGTCGCATCCATTTCCAGGCCCCAGATATGAGCACGAGGAGAACAGTGGCGGTAATATCTGTCGAGTGCAGTTTACGAATTCCATTTCTGCATAATTGTTTCCCCTGAGCACGCATTTTTCCACGTGTCGCTTTCTACGCACAGTTGATTCAGTCCAAATGCGATCGAAAGATTGTGCTCGCGGTGGAAGAGCTACGACGTATACCGGTCAGCGCTTCACCCTTGTGGCGTGGTACGACTGAGGCAGAACCGTGGTGGTAGTAAGAAAGAACCATGATATTTGAAATTAATGATGCCGGCGGCACAGGCCTTCTCGGTGACGTCGGTTACGTCAGGGACGGCCAAGTGTACCCAGGTCCGGCTCAACTCTCGCGATGATGTCGCTCTTTGGGCGCTCTTGCGAATTAGACGCTCGGTCTTGACGCATTTGGAAGAGGTTTTACACGAAAAGTCTGGAAGATAGCGCAAGACGGCATCTGCCTTCAAAGGTGACGTTTGCAGGATCTCGGACCGTCCTCTCTCGATGAATCTCCGAGTCAGATCTGCGTCGACTTCTGAGAGCGAGGGGAAATGAAAGAAGTGGGCGTGAAGAGAGAAGCGATAGCAGTTAATATAATGCAAGCTGAAGAGAAGATGCTTGGAATCCCTTGGCTCTGATTCTGAGGGGACTTAGCAGCAGAGAGCGCAAAGTGCTGTGATCGTGGTCCTGCAACGCCGATATACAGACTCTCCTACAAAAGTGCCAGGTAAGACAGATTTTGGTAGTCGGTTCAGTGCAGTCAAATTGCGCGCCATCAATCCAATAATATCCATCCTCGTCCTCTCACAATAATGAAGACCCCTTCTTCAGAAGATATAAAGCCGTCTATCTTCTGCTGTGAAGAATAGCCTATTAGCAGACCATAATCCGAGCACGAACGGTATTAATTGCGCCGGAAAGGCAAAATATTAAAATTGTACTATTGCTTCTGAAAGCTACGATTTCAATAGACATCCTGGCTGCGCCACTAATTTGAGTAAGTAGTCGAAACTCGAACTGTCAATCGACGTGATTAGTGGACTTGCTGTCAAGGTGTGTCATTCACTCAGATAGGTGGAGCATGCTGCGCATTATAGGATTGGACTGAATCACGATACAGTCAGCGCTCCTCGTACGACTTCGTAGTAATGATGAGGCTACATTTATTCTCAGCAATGGTCGTCAGAAATGGTATGCCGACACTTAGATAGAGTTCCATACATCGAACGTGTGTTCCAAACATATCATAGTCCAGCGCCCACATAGTATATCAGTCCATCCCCGGAAACGCCTACAATATTTTCAAGTGGTATCAAAGAAGTTTAGTCCACGAATTCTGTATCGGAAATATCTGATGCTTCCAGCGAATCAAACCTGGGCGGTCCAACGATATACGATTCCCAGTCAAATGATACCCCATTGCTAGTGAGAAGAACATTTAGCCATAGTAGTACGACGAGTGGGGGGGGGGGGGCTTGCATAACGACACTAAACTCCAGACCTTCTGTCTTGAACCTCCGCAGATTATCCAGACAGTCCAAGGCGTCGTCCTTGAACATTTTCTTCAGGCCATCGCATTCCACGTTTATCCTTCTCAACCGAGTAACGTTGCCACCTTCAACGAGAGCCTTGACCCATCGATACTGAACAAGCGCTACAATGTCCTCCAAACTGCATATGCACCTTTTCGCTTTGACGTTAATCCTCTCGAGCTTCTGGAGCACAAGCTGACCTCCCTGTAACGTATCGAAAAAAATTGGCGCGAGATCGCGCTCGCGCTCCAATAACGACGTGAAATCAAAATCGACGTCGAGATCGACGAGGGCGTGCATCTGCGAGAATATACCCACGAGCTTCTGCGCAAAGTCCGCGGGAAGCGTTGTAACTGACGACAGCAGATGGACATGGAGCGAGAAATGGCGAACGGACGACCCCGAGCGGCTGATGAAGTCAGACAGTGCGTTGGGCGGATCTCTGTCGACAAAGATATCGACAACGAGCTCGGTTAACGAGGGAAGGACGAGATGTGGGAGAATAGTGGTGTACATTGGTCCGAAGACGCGTAGGGCAGCGTGAACGACAGGCGTGGTATCGGCCACTGCAAGATCTTCCCGGCCGTACCGATGCGTCGTCACCAGTTTCCTCAACAACGGTGACTCTGTAATAATTGTGAACTCTACTTCAACCGGAAGGTGGCTGGTCTCGATTTCCGTCAGCCGGGTCCAGGGTAACCCTAAATCGATGAAAGGGAACAACCGCACGGAGGAAAGCACCGGGGCCTCGACGAACATGGGGTCTGGTATTATGATGACCTCCGTGGTTATGACCCTCCGGCGGTAGATATTGATTGTCTGAAGAAGAGGGAACTCTTCCTGGGAAGCGGACAATATATCCATGAACATGCCGAGCGCATCATCAGGAATGAGCAGAGTCACATCCTTCCACCGGTCAGCTTCCGCCATAAGGATATCAAAAACACATAGGCCCATCGTTTCCTGTAACAGAACCTCGATGGATATCAACGTGTCGCACGCAAAATCCACGTGGAACGACAGCGGTTCTCTTTTAGAACGAGCAATTTGAGTGGTGATCAAATTAAGGGGGGATTTCGTTGATTTCGTGTATGAAAATGATGACCAAAGGGATGGTGTTCGGAGGGACATATCCCGCCAAAGTTGGCAGACATGGGTTAGAGTCCAAGGGCTTTCTCCGGCGCGGGAGATGTCATGTGTGATATCAGAAAACCAAAGGAAGATTTCCGTGAGAAGTTCAGGTGGAACGCGGTTGATAGGTCCAACACTCGACATTTCATGAAGATGAAATAGTTCGCTGAAAAATACTACCGTTAGCGTAGTCCTCGATATAGAATGGCGAAAGGGAGCCTACTTGATACTCCTCGGAGGCTTTGAAAGTCTAAAGCAAACAAGGAGTACACGGGATCTATTTGCTTTCAAAAGTGAGGAGTATGACGAGAATTATTGTCGAAGCAGAGGTGTCCTAGGTGCTGCGGTGTGCACCCGGCGAATGGGACTTTGCTAAAAGCTGTCCGGATTTGGTCCGGATCTGCCGTAATTGCAATGCGGTTCCGCCCACGTGCTTCTGCCGGCGGTACATCAATCGAGTCATCACAACAATTCGCGAAATACCACTCACGTACCACCACAGGCCGGTCGCAAATCTCGAAAATGTTATCTGAACCAAACGCGCCCTCATCCATGTTTTTTCTCCCAAATGTGTCCCCAGCCGAATGGCATTGGCATCACCGACATTCTGTGACTGCCTGTCACAAATGACACCATATGCCGCCGCCTGGGCAATCAGGCAATGGGTTCCTCCCGAATCCAGATGTTGATATTCTCGAGACCCGCCTGGTCCTGCATGCGTTTTGAACAAGACAGTTTTCAGTTGTTCAACGAATTGCTAAAGTGAGCGGGGGTCGTGTCGAATTGATGGGACGAAGACTACAAACGTAAAAGGAACCCGCCGTTGGTACGCTTCGTCCAAAGTTTATTTCCCTCTTAAATCCTCAACGTCTCGGTTTCCAAGGTATATTTCGGTTGCGATTATTTTCAGCTTTCCTTTCTCCTCCAAGGTGCCTTGGCAAGAGTGCAGTGCCCATTTTTCTTTTGCTCTGCTACAAAGTAAGTGATCAGCTTCTATGGAAGAGTGTGCCTCATGATAAAGTTAAACACGGAAATTCAGATTGCTTCACGCTGCGTCCATGGCTGATTTGCCTCGACTAGTCCAATCTGGCGTCCAGGTGCCGCTCATCAACCATTCTATCGATGATTTCACGCCCCAAGATTTCATGGACTACGAGTTCATGGCCTCGAACTACATCCACAGCACGGACGATGTCAATCCCTCGAAACCTATCCCTTCTCTCGCCGTCGGGTTCAAAGATCCCCTCGTTCGCGACTGGTACAAGACCGACATCGCACGACTTTCCTGTTTATCACTTCCTTCATTCATAGCAGAGATGCGCGCTACTTTCTTACCCCGTGGATGGGATGAAGATATCAGGGACTCCATACTATCTTCAAAGCAGGGAGATGGCGAAGCTGTCGCTCTCTGGATATCCCGGCTACGTGCTGAGAACACTCTCCTCCGGAATACTCGCCACCATTTGAGCAACGACGATCTCCTCTTGCATTTCAAGCAAAACTTGAACTCCATTCTGTCGGCCGCGAATAGACCTGGCGCGTCGGCGAGGAAAGAGAGTGATCTTACGAAGTGGATCTTACAGATAAAGCGTCTTGAAGCTGACTCTCGACTTGAGAGAGGTCCTCAGAGCAACGTTCAGGACGGAATTACCTCGCGTCCCTCATCTCCAGATCGCTCTCGACACGCGAGCAACTCCAAACACAAACGCTCGCGGTCTCGCGATTCTGATTCTCGGCACAACTCCAGATCCAAACGCGTATCCTCTCGTTCTCCGTCGCGCGCACATCGCAGACGACGTCACCACTCTAACGAACGTAACACTGATCGCCATTGGGAACCCTCGACTGGGCCTAGTCGGGACCGTGATTCCCGAGACGAGACTCGTAGTATCTCGCCTTCTCACGCCATCTCTATGCCTACCACCGCCACGGATGTGAAGTCGGAGAGATCACCCTCTCCGTTATCAATCGCCATGCCTGGTCCCATTGTCAACCACCATGGACTCCCTGTCCTCACTGCCGGTCAGAGGCAGTTCATCGCCCGAAGCAACGGGTGCTTCAAGTGTCGCAGAATCAAAGTCAAGCACCAGTCGGATCATTGTCCGTTCGGGTACCCGAGTCAGGATGCGTATAGAGGAATTACGCTCGCTGATGGGGTCACGCTTGCGAGCGATGCGAAGAAGCTCTCGTCTACTGCAATGTAGGATGGGATATATACCTGGGTCTACCTCGCCTTCTATCCCCCCTAGCGCATTCAAAATATACTCGTTTCTTGACAGAACAAAATGTGTTAGTACTCAGCTCACCGCTTACTTATCATTCCGAGTGATATTGCAATTCGTCAGCGATGACGCTCAGTGTTTGTATTTAACATTCGGACATTTCAAACACGATGATTGGCCTTGTTAAGACTCGGGAAAATCAAGCATGAAGAGGCCCCGCAGGTACGCCCGTGATGATGCGTACTGCCCCGCGAGTTTCGCAATGCCTGGCCAGCCCGGCTTATGATGTAATCGCAGAACCTTTATCAAGGGGCCGCTGAAGAGACGTTGGCGCATGATCCGATGATATACCCCGTATTCCGGTCTCTTTCTTTTTCACTCGCTGTCCTACTTTTCTACAGACGCCCCTCCTTGAAACATATTGACTCGCTTACTCACACTAGCATTTGGCCGTTCTATAAATACCTCTTCTACATTGCCAGGTCAAGTAAGCTTCAACCTGATTCTGACGGTCTCCTTCGACCTTTCCCAGATCAACTCTCCGTGTACGTTGAAACAAATTTGGGAAAATATGATCAGAGAGACGATGAAGGCCGAAAGGTGTCAGGGATGCTTCGAGCCTCTCTTTAATAACTTCACATTTCTTTCTGATCATCTAGTCCGATAGAAAATAGCGTTTCGGGATATTATGATTCCGATACCCCGGGCCCAGGCACTCATACAAACTGCGGGCCTACCCTGTACGCGGCATTTCTTCTTTTCAGGATGTGCCTTTTCAAGCTTGAATATTTTGGTTGCCGGTCAGAGGCATGGTGGTACGACAGCTCCCATACTTAATTGTATTCCCTTTAGCAATTCAACCCTCCATGCATTATCAAGCCACGGCGTCAAGCTAATTTTTCAATTGCATTCACCGGGAGTCATGTATTTCCATATGTCCCGATGACCATCCCAGTTCGCTATTACGAGTAAGTGCTTAGTGTAATGCATCCACTCAGTTCCGTGCTGACCAGATTCTATAGCAAACCAATGCTGCCACCCCTTCCTTTGGCGTCAGAGGGACCCATCAACACACTTCCAACGAAGTTACTCGTGGAAACCTTCGTATGGTTCTCAGTAATCGCAGACGACATTTCACGAGTCAGAGAAAGTCCCCGGATCCTCACCCACGGTTGCTGGCATTGGAGAGAGCTATCCGTATAAACGCCGTCAATATGGGCAAACTTCTCGTACACAACGTCAACGAAATTTCCCCTCCCTTTATTCAAGACCCAGTTGGTTCGCTCCAAACTGGAGCCACTATCGTTCCATGCTGATTTCTCGTGTGAAGGCCTCATCCCGGTAGAAGTTCTGCTTATGGAAACGATTGGTCTGTCCATTTTCGATCTGCTTCTTGCATGTCTTCCGCATTTTATTCAAGATGTTGATCTCCGTTTGCGACGAGCATCAAATTCTCCGCACGTTTACCATTTTTCGAAGGTGGTGGCTCATCAGTTTCACCGCCATTCAAATACCAGGTTCCATGTTCGTGACAACGCCGAAGCTCCACATGAGAGGATTATTTCCCTTCATTGATGCTTCTTTCCCATGGTCTCAGATAACGATATGAGAGACCATTTCCCTCTCAGTCGATGAAGAGTTCATGATAGTCAAAAAATGCGCCTATACTTCGAATGCTGACAACGATCAACCGCCGTTTGAGTACACGACTGACAGCACCCGTGGCTGTACCCTTTGTTCATACGTTTCTGGTTCACTTTGTCCCAACGTACATATCGATTTTACCACGTCTCATACTTCCCTCGCTCACCTACCTCACAACTGAGTTCTACGCCGGTGAAGACCCACTCCAAGCGCTCTTAAACTTCTTTGGTCGCTGTAGACCTCCGCTGCTTTCTTTCTCACTCAAAATTGAGCTTAAACACTCGCCTCTTCAATACGATTTCATTCAGAACCTTGTTGACGCTCTTTCCCTTATACAGATTCCAGTGCATCTCAAACTCGAGGTACGCTTCCCGGTGTCGGAATATGACTTGACATCAACAATATTCGGCGCATTACAAGGGGAAGGCATCGAAGTTGAAACGACGACTAGGCTGAAGACGCTAGCGTCGTACTGCGCTGGACTGGTGAAATTGGACAGAGAGGCTACTTCCACCGGGTTGGAATATCTACGGCGCTTGAAGAACTAAGGTCCAGAGTTTTCCTTGGTGGTGTAAGCGAGCACGTTCTTTCCTCTGAAGCCAATTCTGATCAATTCTTTACAGAAACGGAACGCAATTTGATTGGGACTCGCACGTGGTGGAACTTCTTCCCTATGATATATTGTAGGCGATAGCACGAAAACACGATAGAGAGTGTAGTGAAGTTTTGTAGTAATCCCAAAGACGGAATAATATTTATACTATTGTAGCGGGGATGGCAAGTTTTGCGGATTCCGCCGATTTTCCACTTTGTCCGGCTCGTCGTCCCCAGCCTGCTTCGCTGCCCTTGACTTTCTACTCTTCCTCGGAAGCGGTTTCCTTTCTTCCTCGGCTTCTTCGTCATCATCATCCTCTTCGAAATATCCGCCCCCGTTCTTCCCTTTGTCCGCTCGCTTGACGAACTCAAGCATATGCTTCCCAACTGAAACATTCGTTCGGACGTCGCGGAAAGCCTCCCGAACATCTGCACGCATCTCCTTCACCAATGCTGAGAGACGTTTCTGATCCTTGATGGCATTCGCCAGGATAACGATGAAAATAACCTCGACTGGCGAGACTTTGCCCTTGCTATTTTTCTCCGGGACTTTTATCTCCCCGGCACGTTCCAGCGCCTCGATCATCCTCGTCCTGAATGAGTCTAACACATCGGCAGTCACCTCGAGCCACTTAGTTAGGGTCACACCGATGGCAATGTTCTTGATTTTGGGGTAGTGCATGAGGACATGTGCAACTATGGCGTAACAACGGAAATCGGTGGCGCGCGAGCGTTCGAACGGAAGGTTTTCAAGGGGATACGCGTTCATCAGCTCACGTAGTAGCTGAGCTCGGGGTGTGTTGATGACTTGCAGTTTCTCTGGTTGCGGTTAAGCGACGCGATATATTCAGATAGAAAGGGATTCACCTGAGGGAGTCAAGGCCATACCTAATTGGACTCGTTGAAAGATATCTCGCTCGCCTTCATCAGGTAAGTCCTGGTATTCGACGCAAACGACTTGTTTGTTTGAAAACATGCGACAAAGATACTCTGGGAGCAGGTTCTTCTTCCGTTTGCTGGGTGCCCCTGGATTATCTTTGTACCAATACTTCTCACCCGTTTCACTGTAGGCAGGCGCAATCAGTAAAAGAAAACCGAGGAGAAATATCGTAGCGCACTGGTCTTGGTCTAAAGTAATAGCAAGGCTTTATTAATGGCGAAATACGAAGCACGAAGGACCCGAGCAATGCTTACGGGGGATCTATCGTAGATTTTATAAGAAAAGAAAACGGGACTACAAGAAATGGATCAACTCACTAGACCTTCCATGAACCTGTTGAGAAGTAAGAAGGGCTGATCAAAAACGAAGAACACATGCAAGGGTAAACACGTACCTATGAATTGACGTAAGCCTCTGCTTGCCGTCGATACACGTTCTGGTTTCTGTCCCATCGTCGAAAGAATTCACCGCTGTAATTGTGTGAGCAGGACCCTGCAGCAGAGTAAAGAAAGACGAGGTGCTCACCAAAGATAACCGGGGGTATGTAGAAGTTCCTCAACACAGAATCTATCAACCCTGTCTGTTTTTGCTGAGTCCAGACCACATCTACAGGTCGTGATTAACCATCAGGACCAAAAGAAAAGCGAACAGTATGTATCACCTCGTTGGTATTCGGGGTCCAAGTTGATATCATTTGTCAAGATCTGTTCGTACAACGCCTGGGCTGTGTAGGTCGTTGCGCGTGGAACCCTAAGCGCGTTGCTCAGCTTGTATTCGTCGGGATCGCGTTGTAAGGCCGGCTTCGACGCAGATGGCACAGCACAATAATCCTCTGAGCGGGCATCTTGGGATTTATCATCGTGCATTCTGTCAGCCTCAGGAGCAACGAGGTGATGGTCAAAAGGCAAGTGATCCGCATTACAAATTTTGCGCTGCCAAACGCCACGCGGTCCGGCTTCCCGGTTGATTGCTTTCCCGCGACCCTTCCTTTGCGTTGGCTCTCTCTGTGCAGGTGCTTACATTTTGCCCTCGGTTGTATTGTATCCCGCGATGAGGAGTTCTCCTCCCGCTAGGTTTCGAAGAGAGGTGCTGTGAGTGCGACTGGTGAAAGACAGTTGTCAGCGAACTATCACTGATGGGATTACGCACCATTGCAGTAAAAATTTTCATTCCAGTGGTACATGATACTTGCTTCCATCGATATCAGAAACAGATGAAGAGATGTAGTCTCCGGTTGTTGATCAGCGATGATTCCAGTTTACAACCAACATCGAGATGGCCGTGCCACAGACAAGCTATATTTAGCCGATTGCGAGAGCATATGCACAAGCAGCCGCCAGGCATAGCCACAAACTTACAGAGCGGGCGCACAACGAAAGATTTTAGTTCAAGAGCGGTGATGACTAAATCGGGAGATGTCTCGGTCCGCCATCATCACAGCCACAATTCCGAACGCTTCTTCTCATCCTACCCATATGTTCGTTTCCACATTATATCGTTCTTAAACAATCTTTTTAAGTTCAACATCTCCTTCCTTTGCTCATGGTTCTTTCGACCCAGCTGCCTCTGGCATTCGTTCCCTTGCCCCTTCCGCTGATCGTCCGACTCGGGTGAAGACCACTTTGATTGACCCTCTGTACGTCGCCTCACCTCATTCGATATGAAGAAATACTCTATTATCCTCATTACTTTAATTGGTACCAAGAATATGGCTGCCGTTCATCAAAAATGTGTCAACCGACGTGGGAGGTACAAACCAAAGTTTTCCTATAATTAGGCTAGCCATACCGTGATCTCCAAGTCCTACCGCACGCTATACTAGCAGTACGTCTATTCCTTTCATTTAAGTTGAAATATACCAAAACTGTGCCGAGATTCTCCTCTTTTAGCGAAGAAAACCATCCAAGACTTGTCCTTTAGTCGCCTTGTAAATGCCTCCTATTCTGATCATCTACTGGATATACAATGACTGTTGATCCAAAGCACGAGGTTCCTGAGCCCACTATACTAGAACCCACGCACGATCACCCGTTCCCATTCACGCTCTGGTTCTTGTGAACTAGGATTTATCAACAGGTTGACTCCGCAACTCACAAGGATACTTATGATACTGAGTCTATTTATGTCTTCTCTTCGCTTGGTTATTCCATGAAAGATCAAATTAATTCTGGTAAGGTGATGATCTCGCTTGCGGGTCTTCATTTGAGATCCTGGCTTACCAACTTGTTCAGATGGGGTTGCCATGTCACCCAATAATCCTAACCCTACCTTTGTCATGGACCAACGATCAAAGCAAGGATCCTGGAGAGATTTCCCTCCGATCATGGAATTCTTGCCGCTATTTAGTTAGCTTAAATGGTTTGGACTTCACCGATACTAACGACTACTTATGCGGCTCTTTCTTATTATCTGATCTTCATATGAACTGAAGATACTGATCCCCACTATGACTCTCCCGGTCCCTGTACGACGTTCGCATCTTTCAAGGCTGATGAAGTCGTCAATTCCGGAGCAGCCTGTGAAAGTATCAGAAACCAAGTACCTTCGTCGGGAACGTTCTGATGCCCACGCAAAATACTTCCCGCCCATGCTAGAACGGGACAGGGGCCGAGATATATAAAGTGTCGGACTAGCAGGTCGTACTGCAGAACAAAGCTAACATGAAAGACCTTCCAATTGATTACGCGTCTCTCATAGGTAGTTGGTGCAGCTCCGTTCTTTATGGTATGTTTCTGTCACATGTGTTACGTGTTTTGAGCATCCAACTGATGGCCCCGCTATTCTAGGCGTCAAGTGCGTACTCAAAGTATTCGCAAGTACAACATGACAATGTTGACTGCCTCTCAGTCTCGTTCTTTACTTCAGCTGTGTTCACTTGCTCATCGGACGCCGTTCGTGGTACGCCTCGTTACCAAAATGTTTCCGGGACAAATATCAAACTTACCGTGTTCATTTATCTAATAGGATTTTACTGGGAAGTGTGACTCTACAGTTCATTATATCGACGGTCCATATTGCTGCATGTCTGCGATCTATGATAGAAGGCTTCATCTGGTGGAAGATCCCCGACGGCGCCGTCCTGTACTGGGAAAACCAGGCCCGACCGGTCAACGTCATAAAAGAGACTGCCACTATCACGAATGTAAGTTTGATTTTGCAACATGGAAATATAATATCATGACAGCGACGTTCTTCTAGTGCATTGTGTGCGATGCCATATTGCTCTGGAGATTATACATAATATGGAATAAGAAGGTGAAAGTGTCCATATTTCCCGTACGTTTGACAAGTTCATGGTTGCCAATCTCTTTCACTGAGGCAAAGCGTACGCTAGGCCATCATGGTTCTGGCATTTGGTGGTCAGTCCTCGGTCCCCCTTGGTTTTTCTATTCTTATCTTATCGCTACATCAAAGTCTGTGGTTACATTTCCATATACCACGTAGCAACTCTGGATCTCCAGCCAGAATCTCTTAGTATCCTTTACCGATGGCTCCAGGCTTCGTATTCGCTGTCCCTAGCAACACAGCTTTCCGTCACTGCAATGATTGCCGCTCGCATCTGGTGGGTGTCGCGACGAACAGGATCCTGGAAAGCCAGTCCAACGGCCAAGCCCTACATGAACATCATTTGGATGATCATCGAGTCAGGGAGCAATATCTGCCGTCACATCGACTCTCTTCCTTGCTTTCTTCAATACAGTGGGCAAGATTAGCATTATACTTGGCGATTCTCTGGGGCAGATAAGTGTATGATGTTTCTGCTTCTTTTCTCGCTGTAGGACGGCGCTAACTCTCTCGGTAGGCTATCGCACCAGCTCTGATCTTATTCCGCGTTGGATTGGAGGAGCAGGTGAAGGTAGAGAGCAATGAGCCATCGTACAATCTTCATGTACGCCGCACATTGCGCGTCACAGTAGATAATTCGGTATATTCGGACCAGACTTACTTGAAGTCCGAGAATCCATCAGTGGAGAAGATGGCGTAGTAATACAGAGATTGGGTATACTCCCACAGCACTCTACCTAGATTGTTAGGAAAAGTAGATTCTAAAAGGATTAGCATAAACGTTTTTCTTGATACCGCAGTAAAACCAAAGTAAAACGGACCGAGGTATTTTGATTGACTCGGAAGTCTTATCGTTGTACATTCCCATGCTCATAGTCTGTATTCAGATGATATTCCACTTCAGGTCACTGAAAGACCGCGCCGGACCGTGACCGTCGTATCCGGATTAGGACGCCTCTGCCACGTGGATACTGTCCTTTCTTGATTGTCACCACCACTACCATCTTGTCTTCATCGTTCAACCGACTCCCAGCGAGTGGGAATTGTCTCCATCCAAGATAACCGGGATTTAATGATTCCCGTGCCCACAGGAAGAATCGATTAGAAGGCATCATTCCGCGCCCAAACCAGGGTCGTCATGTCGTTTTCTGGAGGCGTCTAATTTGTGATGCAGACGACACCATCACTGACACGTCTTGTTGGCGCCCCTGCTTCATTGACAAGCATAGTCACGCTCGGAATCCCTATCAATTTCGAAAATACCCAACCATGCTCGACGCGGAGAACCTGATGAGACTTGGGAGAGTTCGAGATATGGCGTTGTAGATGCTTATCTGATGCCCTCGCTTTGTGGCTAATGCATCCAGGTAACAACGGTTTATTTACAGCTATATCCATGTTGGTATCAGAACGCCTTTGCGTTTTGTTCATCTTTTAAATAATCCCTAGCGCCTTGCTACCGGAAATCAGACGCCAAGACAAATAAACAGAGATACTTCTGCACATCGCTCCACATATTTTATCGGACTGGTGCATCGCCGCCATGATGCGATCACCTTCCAAGGGGCAGAAGAGCTCCTTGCCCAGCCAATGGCGCACCATGTTCATAACCCGACGGTCAAGGAATAAGTCTCGATAACTTTCCCTATACACTTCCTGCATCCAGGTAGCCCATTCATTCGTTTTCTTAACCGCTGGCGGTGGTGATGTTCCTGCATCTTTCGTACGTCTACTTCTACCACTATATCGCTTCCCTTTAATGACATATTTCACAAGTTTATCTTTAATTTTTTGGACACTACGTGTCTTTGCCCTCAACATCTCAGTCCCACGCCATGGTTCCCAGAATCGGGATGTCATGGTCAACCTGACATACTCTCCAAGCGACTCTCCGTGCTTCTTTCTGAGAAAGGTCTGGAACATCCATGGACAACCACATTTGTCCAGAAATGCAGTCAATATTACTGGATTCACCGCCAACGTGTCTACTAATATTACATTTGAACATGTTGGGCGAGTATTATTATGTCTATCTCCAGTCTACGTCAAAAGCTCATCCTTCATTTTTTCAGAACCTTTCGTGTCTTTGCGTTCAATATCTCTGAGTAAGCTGTTTCCATTATAGATGTATACCCTTATCTCATGAGGGGATTCAGCTTGACCAATTACACCGACTCCTTTTCCCAGTATAGCATCGCACAAAGTCAAAGTGTACATATTCAATGGTCTGAGTCACTAGACGACAAGAACGATGGTCGCAATAGAAAAGATCACAAGGAGAGCAAAAACCGGGGCAATAGGACCTCAGGAAATTTGGGAACAACGTAAGTTATCCAACGTCCGAAAACTCTCCATCTTATATTCTTTTGACAGGCAAACTGTCAAGGCGGTACCAGTAGCTTCCGCTTCCGCGCTATCTGATTCGACCTCGTGAGTTCTGTCGAAATATTAAAATTGAATTGGAAAATACTTAGATCTTGCAGGAACTACTCTTCTTCACTCGCAAGAGCATCGCCAGTGGCTCTAGTTTGGGGTTTCATTTTAGGACTATTATTAGTGACTACACCGTAATCTATTTGAAGTGGTTTCCGACTGTACTGGACTCATGTCCACTCCGAGGTTCGTTAATTAAACGCGATATAAACGCCGGCGGCTTGATTCATTAGCTTCTGCCGATTCCTTGATGCTTATTACCCATTCGAAGGCCAGCATATGGAGTTACCGCTTTCTCACGTGTTTAAACGTTGTCATTCATCCGAATCATTCATGCACTGCAGCTCTCGACATTACCTCAGTTGTCGTCTCCCTGGCGAACTGGATGAATACTGGATGATTACACCACTCAACACATCATTTGTTGCTTGATCCGAGGTACTCATAATGAGATGCTTTTTTTCCGCTGGTAAATATTACGTACGTGATGCTACTAAGAATTTTGATTTCTAGATCTGCGGCTGATAATAGACGACACCTGTTCATTCAGGCTCATCAAGACATGATTGTTGTCTGGCACAGGAAGAGATGAAGTGATATGCCTCGCCTATAAATGGATTGGCAGGCCGACCTCGATCTCCCTGTTCGTCTTCAACAGCTTTGATGGAAATTGCCGCCCTCATATTCAATGCCTCTGACCGTTGAAGACCGCACAGATATATCATAATCCATTCCTCTTTTTTGCTCACGTTCCACAAGTTGGAATGGTTGATGCTCCTTTCCATGCGTGAGTCTCCGCGAACATTTGGCGATTAGAAACTCATTTCTATCAGGATATCTACTCTTGCGCTGGCTTCCTTTTCCTTAGCCCTTCAGATCCAAGTCGTGGACGAAAACCATATATTACAGGGACAGAATACCACAGTGTTCCTCATACACACAGAGGGAGATCCTACCGATGTATTCCTCAAGAAGCATCGACTTGCCAACAATAGCAACAAATCCAACGACGTGGTCAAAGTGACCAACTTCACTTCCAACACAACAGTTAATGTTAATTTTAATCACAGCAAGTACGCTTAGTCAAATTTCCCTTAAATTTGCCAACCTAACCAAACCTTTCAGCCAGTATGAGATTTATGCTTATGGGAATGGGACGTAGGTTGCAACCTTTGACTCTGGTCTCATCACTGACTTTTATATGCAGAATAGACCCGTCTGGGAAAAATGCAATAGCGACAAGTGACGTGTTCGAAGTACATAACCCTGACCAAGGCGCATCGTGAGGAATATTCTATGTCTTACTAACTTTGAGAGCAGGTTTTGATTTTTTTCAGGTCGCATCATTCACACCATGGCTCTGATAAAGGGCTAATAGTCGGCGCAGTATTAGGCTCTACGGCGCTTATTATCATCATTCTGCTTACCATTTACCTGATCTTCTTCCGCTCCCGTCGTCGTCAACGCTTCCAGGATCGACTAGTGCGCCATTCCGACACTCCAGCGAGCTCTTTCGTACAATATCTCTACGCAAAGTATCCTCCAGGTCGAAAATCAGGCAGCGCAAGTTATAGAGACAGTCCTCCGCCTGTATACGCCCGTTCATCTCCAACATCAGCTCGTATATCGTTAGCGCGTAGCATGACGACGAATTCCATCCCTTTCTTCTTCGACGACTTTACAGCACAAACTTCTCACTGACCGGCAGATGGAAATACAAGATCGTCTGCATGGTTTGCAGGAGAAACTGTTGAAATTAGAGGGAGCAAGTCGGGTGATTCAGGGTGACATCGAGGCGGCCGAGAATGAAGCAGAAATTCTAGATACGAAAGCGACAATTGGGATGCTGAAGGACTTTCTGGAGTCGCCTTGGGCGTTCAATGCTACGGACGTTATGCCGTCCGAGATGAGTCCCTTCTTTACATCCTGATGTTATATCTAGTCATGTTATATACCAATTTCTGTAGGTCACATAGTAGTTCTTGGACCCTACAATGTCATTTGGAAAAGAAGCCCGGGAGGTCAATGAAATGTCGACATTTACCCCGATCATGGGGAAGTTCTCTCTACGTGTCTGAGATTACGTTTGAAATTCAGCCGACCGCTATTACTTTCCGGGATAAGATCTATGTGTGTTCATCATGTTTCCAATGAAAATTCAAGAATGAAACCAATGAATCTAACAGTATCTGATTTTATCTCCCGGTCAATCTGCCCATCATCCCTCCTTCGTACATCAATATTTGTTGTATCTTCGCAAAGAACAGCTTCTTTGTTTTATATCCCACGCTCAAATGATATATGAATCAGCTTACGTTTCTTGAAATGTTTGCATCGCAGTATTGCTGTACTATCCGTCCCCCAGACCTCTGACAGTTCGTATGTCTCGCTGCGAAGCCGCACTCAGGGGCAGTGCTGCTGAGTATATACTACTTTCTCTTTGACCGGGGCAACCGCTCTGTCACGTATTGCGTACATTGCCGTGTCTGGCTTCGGCAACTTATGCTAGTAGTCCGAATTCCTCAATTACTTCTGGGATTACGACGCCTTCGTACGTTTATTGCACCCTATACTCCATAGTCAGACTGACTTATGACTATTTGGTAACGATCACCTCTGTTAGCACAGATACGACTATTACGGCGGGCGCCAAGCAAGCGACATCTTCCTATCATTCGAGTTTCGGGCCATTGATTATGAGGTGTGCTTCCTTCCCGCTGAATCTACATATTTATTTCAGTCATCCTCCATGCTTCCATAGTTCCTCCCGACATATGGGGAATAGTTCAATCACTAATAATGCTTCTCAGTGCGCTGTCTTGAATGATTCTTACGTGCACTGTAAAGTTGGCCCTCAACTTAGAACTACGATCAACGCTACATCTTCATATCACCTTTCGGACATGTCTGTTGCTATGTAGGGTCCTCAATCCTGCGCCATAAATTGCATGTTTACTGACAGCCTATATCTGTCCTAGATGTCGTTGAAGTCTTCGACTGCGCCGCCTTCGAGCTCGAATCAAAAACCTACGTCTTCTTCTATTGGTATGCGATTCAAAACACCCCATATCGTGGGCGTAACAATCGGGTCTTTTGTGTTCCTGTTACTTCTTATAGGACTACTCGTATATACTTTCCACTGCCGACAGCACCGAAGCAAATATCGTGTCATATTTCATCGCGCCATGATGGTTCGAAAGCGCTCGAAATGTCCTTCTCACCTTTCACTCCACAGCAAAAGATTCTGATACTTACACAAACTTTACGGATGCAGAAAAACGTGCTCCTGTACTTCTATTGGAAGAGAAAATGTTGCAGCCAGTCACCGGCCTAAGAAATACTGTTCCGAGGATTCATGGGGCAACAGATCGGAGACTCCGTCTCCCCTCCCTGCTCACACAGACCACCAGATAGAGCTACACGATGTGTTGGTGAAGCAGAAGACTGAGTTGATTAGGTTCAAGACAGAATTAAGGCGGGGCGGAGAGGTACAAGAGGAGATTGATGCGCTCAAGGCGAGGATCACAGGTCTGGAGGATGCGTTAAAATTCCCCTTCACAGCTGGCTGGTGACTATTTTGGGGTGGTCAAAATGCGTGAAAAATGGATGAAAATGGTATAAAGTTTTGGCACCAGATTTTGCTGCATGAAAATCAATAGTTTTAACTAAGCAATATGCAACTAAATTATATAATCTTGCTGGTGTTTAATCCCCGGGGAATATAATAATTTTGCAGTAGCTAGAATGAAAGCAATATTATAAATTCACTCGCACTTCGAAAACCTATTGTTTTGCTGTCTGGCAAAATGCAGGATGTGATCCGTATTTTGACTGATCCGGAATGCCTTATTTAGACTGGTGGGCAGCAAAAGGCTGAATTTTGTCAGAAGTCTAAATAAGGCATTCCGGATCAGTCAAAATACGGATCACATCCTGCATTTTGCCAGACAGCAAAACAATAGGTTTTCGAAGTGCGAGTGAATTTATAATATTGCTTTCATTCTAGCTACTGCAAAATTATTATATTCCCCGGGGATTAAACACCAGCAAGATTATATAATTTAGTTGCATATTGCTTAGTTAAAACTATTGATTTTCATGCAGCAAAATCTGGTGCCAAAACTTTATACCATTTTCATCCATTTTTCACGCATTTTGACCACCCCAAAATAGTCACCAGCCAGCTGTGCTTGGCGCTGGGATATACCGATGACGTGCCGGTTGTGGTGTCAAGAGTCCTGGATTGGATGTAAAGATGGGACGCTGACCCTCCTAGCTAATGCTACGATTTATAAGACGCAGACGTGAAATAGATGAATTGCTATGTCCGGACATAACACAGACATTGCTTTAGTTTCTGTAACTTGTAATTTACTTGACATTGATACATGTGCATACATTAGATAATATTCCTTACTAGCTTTCGACACTCTGAGACCCTTGTTAACAATGGAACTGCGAACAGATACATTACACACTTAGCAACACAAAGAATTCCATACAAGACACAACAAAATGCACCAGTGTCACTACCAGTAGCCCCTCCGATCTCAGTCAAGAGAAGTGCGACCGCAGTAACCATAGCAACATCAATATGCAGGACGCTAGCTTGTGCACCTACCTGGATCATGACGGACCCCATACCGCCGCCGATACTTTGGAGGATCTGAGTCCAAACGATCTCCGCGTCTGACATGTTGGCACCGCGGGAGTGGATCATTAGACCAACACCGAACAATCAGATACATAGGCCAATGATGAGCATCAGCTGTGACGAGGTGAGTGAGGAGGCGGAAATACGTGTACGTGAGAAAGGTTACCTTGTATCGATGGAAATAGCGCATCGATGCACCAACACATATGCCGAAGAATATGAGTCCGATAGATTCGGTCTGGATGAAGTAGGTCATGTTGATTAAGGTCCTGCATACCGAACATCAGATACTTTCAATGTAAGCACGCCAGTCGCTCCTACCACAACTTCACGACGAGATAAAAGGAGTATTGGTACACATATGTCAGGCAGAAGGAGATCTAGTCGGATGTGGGCTTATTGAATGATGGAAACGGAGAGAACGCACGAAATCAAGGAAACCGATCAAACTTGCACCAACGGCGCCTCGGTTCTTGGCGTATCTCCATATAAAACCACCGGGAACTTTGCAAACTTGAATTCCCAAGGACCGATAACCAGGATGAGCACATAGCCAATATCCACTACGGCGATCACTGATACTAAGCATAATCTCGTAAACGACCGGAAACCAGGCAGTAAATAACCCCTACGGTTCTGCCATTTCCCTTTCGAATTGTCCGCTCGCATCAGGGAAAGCAGCATTAACCTGAGACACGCTCCTCTAAGCGCCAAGCGGATGACGTCGAACCGAGAGGTGAGGCCGGTGAGGTGCAGCGTCTTCTTAAAGAGTTTAATTCTTTCTCCCGTATTCAGTACTGGAGTAGACAGACACCCAGGACACATACCTCGACTGGCTTCTCCGGCACCAAACCAAGCATCCTCGCCTTGCTCTCCGCCCAAACAAGAGTGACTATGAGCGGAGTCAAGAATTCAGTAATCAAGATCGCGAACATCCCATCTGTAGCAAGCGGAATCAATACGGATATGGAGGCGCTTAAACGAGACTCACAACCCCATCTCCATCCAGCGCCATTGAGGACCTGCGTGCTGGTGAAAGCGTTGAAGATGAATGGGCCGGTTACGAGTTGCTATATTAGAAAGCCGAGGCGGTGTGGGGCCTGAATTAGTGAGAGAAAAGGCGCGCGCGCTGTTGGTATGGGAGAAGAGGGAGAGAAAGGAAGAGACGTGATGGTGATGACGCGTGTCCACCATGCCGCATCAGCCGAATACCGGTGTTTGCCGCACTCCTTGTTTGCCTCTTCCGCGATGTTCATGCATCTGCGGTTGATCTGCGGCCTTGTACACGCCATCCGCCCATTCTTCATCCATACGTGATACTATCAAGAACCAGATCATTGGATGTGTCACAGATATAAGTCGCCATCTGTTCATTCGAGTTCATCAAGATATCAGAATGGTCTCAGGCTACTAACATTCCGTTCCATGCATAATGCGTCAGTCTCCACGAAATGTTGACGATTATCAACTCATTTTTAGCCGCTTATCGTCTCTTGCGCCGGCGTCCTTTTCCTTGGCCTTCGGATCCAAGTCAGAGACGAAATTCATATATCAAATTGGCTAGAGCACAATGTCTATACACCAAGAGAGAGATCCTGCCAATGTATTCGTCAAGTAATATTGACGTGAAAAATATAGCGACATATCGAACGGCGTGGTCAAAGTCACCAACTTCACTGCCAACAAAACAAGTCAGTATCACTTTGAATCGCAGCGAGTACGCCTGGTCGACATAATCAAAACTTTCAGAAAGTAGAACGTCTCAACTTACTATATTCCGGCGTCGGCTTCAACGATTTGATTGTGGTCTTATCACCGACTTCCTGCGAAAGGTGCGCTGCGGAAAGTAACGTGTTCGAAGTACAGGACGACCATAAACAAGGCGTATCGTGGGAAGTATTTTACGTCTTAGTATCTTTGAGGACAGTTTGGTTTTCAGGCTGCATCATTCCCACAATAGTTCTGATAAGGAGCTGATCGTCAGCGCAGGATAAGGATCTGCGGCGCTTATTGTCATCTTTCTGCCTACGATTTACCTGATCTTCTTCCGCTTGCATCGTCGTCAACGCTTCCGGGATCGATCAGTGACCATAAAGTCCGTGGTCCCCTCGACAATGAATTCACAGCACCCACCTCCCACTGATCGGAAGATAGAGATGCAAGGTCGTATTTATGGATGCTATACATGTCGGGATGCTCTCTATCCTCCAACACAACATATGATTCCGAAAGGAAGCCCGGGAGGATAATGGGTGGCTGAGGGATTATACCGTTCAAGGGGAAGTTCTTTCTGCATTTCCAAGTTCACCTTTGAAATTCCAAAATTTCTTTACCAATATTACATTCTAAGATCAAATATACGTTTATTTTAGTCACGTATCAACATTATTATCATTACCTTAAAAGTAACAAGCCAAACGGTCTGATTCTAAACCCTGTCCCCAGTCCTCCGCATGATATACAACCCAACCCGTCTCCCAGGCCACTGATAGTTCCCGTTTCCTTCTGCTAAGTTGCAGTCAGAGGCTTAAATGGAGCTGGATCCGTATTATCTTTCTGTTTGACCGCGGCACACACTCTGTCACATACACAATTGCTGCGTCTCGTTTACAGGCTAAGGTGAGACGACATGCTGGTCCAGGTTATTCTGTGACTTGTGTATTCCATCCTATTGCTACAGAGGAGAAGTATTCAAACGCATTGACAGACTTTGTTTCCATTTTAATATTTCGGCTGGCTTTCGTTTCGATTCTGTTAAAGGGAATGCGACAGTTGGGATAGCCCTCACTCTGACCTGGCATATTCAACAAGGCGACCCAAATGAATTATACTTGGAGAGAAGAAATAGCTCCCAGCAGCCTGGCGAAGGGGATCCAATATCCTTCACGCTGCCGGATAATAATATCACCAATGGGACAGTGATAGTCGATTTCCCGTCTCCTGGGTGTGTTTGTCGTCTGTTAATATATCAATCTGATTTTCATCTTTCAACTGATGTTTTGTTTACCATAGGTCCTACGTCGTTGAAGCAATGAGGCACAAAGACGAGCCGGTCCTGACGAGCGTGTCAATCTTTGCTACTAATCCTAATTCCGAAAATAATTCAAGTCTTACAACATCGTCTGCGTACGTTTACTCTTCTCCAATAATCGTAACAAGGACAGCTCATCATTTATTTGTGGTAATTACCAGCGCTGCGAGCACAACTACACTAGTTACTCTGTTGCCGGTAAACACTTCTTCTATTGATTCTCCATCGTACAAATCTGCTTCGATTTCATTGCCTGGAGAATCAACGGCTCAGAGGTTCGTTTCCTCGCAACAAATCTCGTCTATTATGTCACTCACTCTTCACATTTTAATAGCTCTTCTTACAGTCACGGAAAGCAGTTTGATCGCTGGTAGTCCTTCAAGGTGCGCATTTTGAGGGATTCGTGCTTTAGCTGTAAACATGAACATAACCTTTAGAACTACCTGCAACCGCTGCGTCTACATCCAGCAGCTCGCCCTCGCATAAACCCCGCAACCCATCGACAATCATCGGAGCTGTGATTGGCTCTATACTATTCCTCCTCATCATCTTGGTAGGAGTACTCCTTTTCCGCCGCCTGCGGAGAAATCGAAAGCACCAGTCATCACCCAGATCCATCGTTGCGTTTCGAGATCAACAAATACATCATTCCTCCCAGGATCCGGAGCATGGCGTGTTGCACAAGCTGCGAGGACAAGATGCACCTGTACCAGCTTCAGTGGAAGTAGGGCCCGAAGTACCGATTTTGTCATCAATAAACTCTGGGATGACAGAATCAGGAAGGGACGATGAAGAGTCAATGGACCATCTTCCAGGCAAGGTGAGAAGGAGGGTGTTGGTCACAAGTCCAATATCTGTATCCCCAGATCATAATTCCCCCCACCATCGCTTTCCGGAGTTTTAGCCCAACCGGACAGTCATCAAAGTCCAAAGAAAGAGTCAACCTTTCACGCAAGCACTTCGGCACTACAATCTTATGAAACGAATGATGAAATGGCAGAAGAGATTATGAGGTTGCGTACCCAGATCCAGCAGTTTGTCATCGAGAAACCGTCCGTATGGATCCAAGATAACGAGACAGAGCCGCCTCCAGCATATGTTAAAGAAGCGTAGAGAATATGAACAGACATGTAGCATTGACACTTAGTCGACTTTAGAATTAGTTCAGCATCAGTGACTGTTATTGGAAGAATGTAGCAGCGTTTTTTGATGGACTCAAGTCTCAGTTATGCGTGTTGGGATTTGGGGGCTTCGACGCGACAATTTAGCAGTCACGTAGTCGCTCTCACGAAGTCACTTAAAATCTATGGTTACCTCTGCCACAATCGCCATCCCTCCTTGCCCACTTCGACGTGGAATTTAACGCTATAATAAGCTGCTTATACATATTCGCATGCTCATCGACTTGTCGTCGACAGTTCATATGGTAAACCATCTCCGCATCAAGTTTCACGTTCATCGATGATCAATGCTGTGTAAGCGTTATAACCGTTCACCCTCACCGCTTCACCATTCACTGCACGGTACACAAAACGGCTTCCGTGTTGAACATTCTGATATCTGAATCACTCCTTGCAGGTGACTAATTAGTGTCTGTCAAAATGTGATAGAAATAATTGGAATATAGATGAAATTTCGACAGTCTTTGACCACAGCAAAACATGTGGGCTTTACCATGGAAGGGAACCCGGCTTATTTTTATTTATCACAGCGCCTTGGTCAAAATGTCATATATTATCCACCCATTTTCGCCGTTTTTGCCAGTCCGAACATAGCTTTTTACCAGAGTGAATGGTGCATTGATCGACTTCTATCTCATGATTCCCGTCCCATTCATATCTCCATAACTGTGTACGACAGTCCCTCTGTATCCTTGACCACTGATAGTTTCGGCTTTTCTCTCGGAGCTGCATTCATATGCGGTGCATCCAAGTCTATACTCTCCGACATTTCACCACGGCACTCTGCCCGCCACGTATTGTGCACCAAAATTGCCACGTCTCGTTGCCTGGCTAGGCGAGGTGATATGTTGGTCCAGTTTATTTTGTAAGTCGTGTATTTTATCCTACTACTACAGCGGAGAAGGATTCAAACTTACTGGACAGATTTTGTTTTCATTTTACGACTTCGGCCGGCTTTCATTTCGATCCTGTTGAAGGGAATGCGACAGTTGGTACATCCCTCACTCTGACCTGGTATAGAGATCAAGGCGACCCACAAGAATTTAAATTTAAGCGAAGAAATAGCACTCAATATTTGGGTCAGGGGGATCCAGTACCTTTCACACCGCCTGATAGTGGTACCACCGACGGGACAGTGATGGTCAATTTTCCAAATCCTGGGTGCGTTCGTGGTCTGTAACTTGAACCTCTCGAGTCTCATAATTCAATTTCACGATTTCATACCTCAGAAAATATACCATTGATGTGATAGTCGACAAAAGCGGTTTGGTACCGATGAGCCCACTGATTAACGTCATTAATCGGGATCCCCTCAGCACTACGACGACTGGAGCTGCTAGCACTCCAAGGGACACCCAATCCACGTGCGTTGTCTGTTAATTTCGTACAATTCCCCGCCTTATAATTTATATGCCTATCCAGGACCCAGACTTCATCGGATTTTTTGGATTCACCCCCTACGAACGCGAGTCAAAATGCATCGTCTTCCGATAGTTTGCGATTGAAAACACACGAAATTGTTGGTGCCACAGTCGGATCTTTTGTATTCTTGTTATTCCTAGCCGCCCTCGTATACACACTCCTCCGGCGACAGCATCGAAACAAATATCGTGTCACATTTCATCGCGACAGGATGGTCAGAAAACGCTCGAATGCATCCTTCTCGCCTCTCACCCCCACAGCAAAGGATTCGAATACATATACAAACTTTACGAATATAGAAAAACGTGCCGCCGGTAGTTCTATCGAGACGGAAGATACTGCAACTGGTCCCGATCCTAAGAAAGAGTGCTCGGAGTATTCGCTGCCCGCTCCGCTAGGCAATAGATCCGAGACGCCATCTCCCGTACTCGCACACACAGACCGCCAGATGGAACTACATGACGTATTGATGAAGCAGCAAACTGAGCTGATCAGGCTGAAGACAGAATTGAGGCGGGGTGCAGACGCGCAAGAGGAGATTGATGCGCTCAAGGTGAGAATCATAAGTCTGGAGGAGGCGTTGAAATCGCCCTGGGCGCTGGGATATACAGATGTCGTGCCGGTTGAAGTTTCAAGGGTCGTGGATTCGATGTAAAAATGAGGACACTGGCCCTCATAGCCATTGCTACGATTCATAGCTTCAAACATACACAGACAATACAGACGCGTACGTGAAATAGATGTACCGCCAACTTCAGATATACAGAGACATTACCATATTTTCTGTAAACTGCAATATACTTGATCAGTAACTCATCATTCGCTTTGCTAAAGCAAACGACGAACCAGAGGTAACACCTAATCGGATGGGATCGCCCTTCGAGTATGTCGTTACCATAGTAATACTCGCATAAAGAGCTGCTCGTTCCTCGGCCGAGACACGGCAAGCACTTCGCTAATTTATTCGGTATCATTCCGGTCCAGATACCACCAGCTGAGAAAGAAGATCGTCAGAGATAATACGATACAAGATGCAACGAAACGCACTGATACCACTTCCAATGGCTCCCCCGATCTCAGTCCAGAGAAGCACAACTGTCATTACCATGGCAACATCGATGAGGAACACGAGCTTGAGCAGCTACCTGGATCGTGACGGACGCCATGCCACAGCCCATACTTTGCAAGATCAGAGTCCGAACGATTTACGTGTCTGACGCATTGGCCCCGCGTGAGTGAACCATCAGACCAACACCGAGGAATCTAATACATGGGCCGATGATCATAAGCTGAGACGAGGTGAGTGAGGAGGCGGGAATGTGTGTGCATCAGAGAGCGTACCTTGTATCGATGGAAATAGTGCATGGCTGCACCAGCACAGATGTCGAAGAATGTGAGTCCCACAGATTGGGTCTGAGTAAAGTAGGTCATGTTGATCAAAGTCCTGGACACACAACATCAGACGATGTGGATGAAAACACAAAAGTCACTACTACCATGGCTTCACGACAAGAAAAAGGAGTACAGGTACACGTAGGTCAAGTAAAACAAGATCTAGTCGCATGTGAACTTATTGGATCAAGAAAGCGAAGGCGGACGCACGAAGTCAAAGAAACCGATAAGCGGAGGAGCTCACAAGCAATGCCATCATTAATGCTAAGCATAGCCTCATAAACGACGGGGAAAAAAAGGAGAAAAAGTGCAATCAATATCACGCACGGTTGCGCTATTGTCCCTTCGCATAGTCGCCAGTGTCAGGGGAAGCCAGCTCGACGCGACACTGGTTGCCATGAACACCTGACTGAGGACATCGAGCTTTGAGGTGAGATCGAAGACCTTCTCATACCAAGGTATACTCTTTCGCGGAACAGAGCAAAACGGAGAAAGAGAAGTATGTTTCGACTCAGTTTGACGGAAAGAACGTGAGAGTAAGGAAGAGAGAAAGTGACGTAACGGTAACGACGTCTGCCATGCCGCATCAGCCAAGTACCGGGCATTGCCGCTTTGTTGCGTTCCTACGCAGCCAAGCCAAAGTACGAAGTCGAAGCTCCTGCGCCCTCTGAAACATGCCAGGTATATTTCTCCCTCCTTCGTCTTGATATATATCTGAGCCACGCTCACTCCTTCTTGGAGGTACGGAAATTGTTGTTACCACTGTTGAATGCCGTGCTTCAGAAACATCTTCTCAAGTTCCCTTCCTGTCTCACCAATTTCGTTGACCATGGTACAATGTGCCATTCTGCTATGAATACAAGTTATAGACGCATTCCACGACCGTAATGATGGGTGGATTCACTTGTTGAATATGTACACCCCAATATCTAATGTTATTCTGGTACACACATTGCGACTGTCGTGCTAGGTGACAGGTCTGGGAGAGAGCGGGGATTCGGGAAATCACTAGTGAGTGGTGGATGTAAAACGGGAGAAGCTTGGAAGCCGTACTCCGAGGAACTGGACCGTGCCAACGGTTCCAACATCGACAGTACTTAACATGGTACTGGTGGAACTGTTAACGCGCGATGCATCCAATGAAAATTCAAGACTGAGATCAAAAACCAACAGCACCTGATTCTCTCCATCCTGTCAGTGGTCAGCTACTCACCATCCCTCTGCATATCAGAATTCGTTGTATCTTCGCAAAGAATAGCTTCTCTGTTGTACATCCAATACCTGACTGATACAGGGATCACCTTTCATTCATTCGGATGTTCGTATCGCGATGTTGATATATTACCTGTCTCCGGAACAAACTGATGGTTCGTGTGTCTCCGCCAAGAAATATTCAGAGGCAGTGCAGCTGAGTCCATACTTTTATCTAGTTTGACGCGCGGTACTTGCTCTCCCACTTATTACGCATACACAATCGTGGCGTCTCGCTTACCGGCTGGGTGAGGCGGTATGCTGGTCCAGTTTATTATGTGAGTCGTGGATTTCATCCTATTACTACAGCCGTAGAAGGATTCAGATTTACTGGACAGATTTTGTTTCCATTTTACTATTTCGACTGGCTTTCGTTTCGTTGATGTTGAAGAGAATGCGAATGTTGGGATACCCTTCACTCTGACCTGGCATAGGGATCCAGGCGACCCACTGGAATTTCAGTTTGAGCAAAGAAATGTCTCCCAACCGGCTGGTCAAGGAGAGCTAATACCTTTCACACCGCCTGATAATGGTACCACCGACGGTATAGTGACCGTCAATTTTCCAGCTCCTGGGTGCGTTGGTGGTCTGTAAATTGAATCTCTCGAGTCTCACCTTTCAATTTATCTCTTTCATACCACAGAACATATGTCGTTGAAATAATAGTCGACAACCACTCAATAAGAGCGACGAGCTCGCCAATTTTTGCTAGTAATCAAGATGCCCAAAATAATCACAGTCTTGCGCCGTCATCTACGTACGTTCATTGTTCTCTATTACTCCTAACGAGAGTGACTCTTGATTTCTTCGTGGTACTGGCCAGCTCTTCAGCCCCGGTCATAATAAGTACTCAAAGCTTCAACCCCTCTTCTGAGCCGATATCATTGAACTTTGCTCGTAGTTCCTCATCTGGAGTATCAACCACTGAGAGGTTTGTTTCCTTGCCGCAAAATCCATCTATGTATGCCACTCACCCTTCACATTGCAACAGCTCCTCCCAAATCAGTGAAAGCGGCTCGACTGCTGGTAGTGCTTCAACGTGCGCAATTTCGAGGAATTCATACTTTAGCTGCAAATATGACTATAACTTAGAACTACCAACATCCTTACACCTTCATCTGACCTCTCTTACACTAGTGATGCTGCGTAAGTGGTCCTCCATCCTTGCCGTAAAATCAGTAAATGTATTTTTCTCAACCTTCACATTTCAATAGCTCGCATATCACCGAAAGCGGTTCGATCGCTGGTAGTCCTTCAATGTGCGTTTTTTCAGCAGTTCACGCTTTAGCTGTAGACATGAATATCACTTTTAGAACTGCCTCCACCCCTGCATCTACATCTAACAACTCCTCGCATAAACCACGCAACACATCGACAATAATTGGAGCCGTGATTGGCCCTATACTGTTCTTCATCCTCCTTTCTGTAGGAGTAGTTGTTTATCGCCGCCTACGCAGGAATAGAAACCACCGATCATCACCCAGATCCATCGTTGCGTTTCGAGACCAACAAATACAGCCTTCCTCCCAGGATCCGGAGCATGGCGTGATGCACAAGCTGCGAGGACCAGATGCATCTGTACCAGCTTCAGTGGAAGTAGGGCCCGAAGCACCGATTTTGTCATCAATAGATTCTGGGATGGCAGAATTAGGAACCGAAGATGCAGAGTCAACGGACCATCTTCCAGGCAAGGGGGAAAGGCGGGCGTTGGCTGCAAGTCCAATTTCTGTATCCCAAGATGATCATTCCCCCGCACATCTGCCTCTCAGAGGTTTAGCCGAATCCGACAGTCGTCAAATTCCGGATGAAGAGCCGATATCGCACGCAAGTACTTCAGCACTACGACCTCGTGAAACGAAGGATGAAATGGCCGAAGAGATCCTCAGGTTGCGTACCCAAATCCAGCAGCTCACCATCGAGAGACCGTCGGTATGGAATCAAGGTAGCGAGAGGGACCCTCCTCCGGCATATGTTGAAGAAGTATAACAGGAACGGACGTGTAACTCTGATACCTGGTGAAATGATGGGATTCATTATTAGGGACTATCATTTAAGGAAATTTGCAGCATTGTTGAACGGATATTTATTTCATTAAATTTTGTTCTTATAATATCTACGGTACTTGCTTCTGTTACTACTTGGTCGACTCTTGATTTGTTTTTAGGGTCTGTCGTTTTAAAAAGTAGTTTAGAGAAGGTGGCAGCATTTTTGGATGAAATTTTGTTTCATTTTCTTGCTATTCATTTTCGTGCTATAGTAGTATCTGCAATGTGTGATTCTAAACCTAAAGGTGCCAGTATCTCAGGATTCAATTCTCCGCTATGCCTGTTGGGATTCAGGGGCTTTGACGCCAATTCGACACGACAACCAATTAGTCACGTGGCCGCTCTCACGAAGTTTGAAATCCATCACCATTCCATGGTTAGTAGTTACCTCCGCCACAAAGGCTGGGATCCCTTCTCACCTCCTTCGACGTACAATTTCGCGCTATTATAAGCTCCTCGAGTATTTTCTCACGATCATTGACAGTTGATATAATGAACCGGCTCCGCATCAAGTTTCAAGTTCATCGATGATCAATGCTATGTCAGTATTGTGACCGTTCGCCGCATCAGCATTCATTCAATCATTGCGCGGTATCCGGAAACAGCTTTCGTGTTGAACATTCTGATATTTGAATGGTACACCCATCGGCACCCACCTCATGATTCCCATCCCACGTTCGTATCTCAATAGCGGTGTGCTATGGCTCATTTGTATCCCTGACCACTGATAGTTTCGGCATTTCTCTCAAAGCAGTATTCCTATGCAGTTATACTCTCCAGCGTTTTGACCGCGGCACCCATCCTGTCAAATACTGTACATACACTGGCTAGGAAAGGCGCAATGTCGCTCCGGATTATTTTGTAAGTCGTGTCTGTCATCGCAGCAATATAGCGCATTGAGTAATCAACCTCACCGGACAGATTTTCTTTCCATTTTGCTCTTTCGGCTGGATTTAGTTTCGATTCTGTTGAAGGGAACTTGAATGCGACAGTTGGGATACCCTTCCCTCTGGCCTGGCATACTGATGGCGACCAAGAAGTATCCCACTTTGAACAAACAAATAGCTCCCAATCGTCTGGTCAAGGAGTTAAAATACAGCCTGATAATAATGCCACCCACTCCGGAACGGTGACACTCAATTTTCCATCTCCTGGGTGCGTTCGTAGTCTGTCAATTGAACCTCTCGAGTTTCATCTTTCAATTTGTCTCTGTTCTATCACAGAGGATATACCATTGAAGCAATAGACAACAAAGGCTCAAATATGGGGGGAAGCCCGCCAATTCTTGCTATCAATCCAGACGCCGGAAATAATATCAGTCTTAGACCGTCGTCTACGTACGTTCATTGCTCTCTATTAGTCCCAATGAGCCCAGCTTATCATTTCTCTGTGGAAAGGGCCAGCTCTACGAGTACAGCCGCAGTAACTACTTCACTCTCTTCAACTGATCAGGCATCATCGAGCTCCGCTTCGAGTTCCTCGCTTGGAGGATCAACGGTTCAAAGGTTCGCTTCCTTGCCGCAAATCCATCTATCATGTCACTAACCCTTCACATTTCAATAGCTCTTCCCACGATGCTGAAAGCAGTTTCAACGCTGGTAGTCCTTCAACGTGCGCAATTTCGAAGAATTCGTGATTTAGTTGTAAACGTGACTATCACTTTAGAACTAATATCGCCCTTACATCTTCATCTGACCTCTCTTACGCTAGTGATGCTGCGTGAGTGGCCCTCCATATTTTGTGAGTGAAACGTTTCCTGATCAGTTTTCCAGGTCCCCGACATCATCTGAGTCCCCCCTTTTGTCCTCTTCCAGCTCTAATCCAAACGTCACCTCTTCCGCTACTAGCTCTGGCTCGCTATCCGAAACACCCAAAATTGTTGGTGCCACAGTCGGATCTTTTGTATTCCTGTTACTTCTTCTAGGCGCCCTCGTATACACTCTCCTCCGGCGACAGCACAGAAGGAAATATCGTGTCACATTTCATCGCGACAGGATGGTCAGAAAACACTCGAATGCATCTTTCTCGCCTCTCACCCCCACAGCAAAGGATTCGAACACTTATACGAACTTTGCGGATATAGAACAACGTGCCTCCGGTAGTTCTATCGAGACGGAAGATACTGCAACCGGTCCCGATCCTAAGAAAGAGTGCTCTGAATATTCGCTGCCCGCTCTGCCAGGCAATAGATCCGAGACCCCGTCTCCCGTTCTTGCACACACAGACCGCCAGATGGAACTACATGACGTATTGGTGAAGCAGCAAACTGAGCTGATCAGGCTGAAGACGGAGTTGAGGCGGGGTGGGGATGCGCAAGAGGAGATTGATGCGCTAAAGGCGAGGATCGTAGGTCTGGAGGATGCGCTAGTATCGCCTTGGGCACTGAGATATACCGATGATGTCCCGGTCGAAGTTTCAAGGGTCCTGGTTTTGATGTAAAGTTAGGACGCCGACCTTGCTAGCCAATGATACGATTCATAGTTTCAAACATACATAGACGTTACTGTAGTTTCTGTAAACTGTAATTTACTTGACATTTATTCACATACATCCATTCAACAAAAGTCGTTACTAACTTTCGATAATAGTGGTTTGCGATAATGCTACGAATAGAAAAGTAAGGAAAGAAACGCATCATTTTACACCTTCTGGTCTTCTGGGACCTTCTCGCCAGCCAAACCTTCCTTATCGACAGCGTTCTGCGTATCGCCGAGGTACCAGTTCGGCATAAAGAACGCTACTATCACAGGCACAACACTCAGGACGGCTGCAATAATGAGCATGACTTTCATTACGTCCGAATATGCTAGACGTGCAAGGATCAGTAACGCTTGGGATGCTTCGATAAAGTGAACGACGAACCTGAAATGACGCCTTCCCTGATAGGATTACCCCTCGGGTATGTAGTCACCGTAGTAATGCTCGCATAAAGAGCCGCTCGTTCCTCAGCCGAGACAAAAGGCAAGTACTTCGCTAATTTATCTGGCATGATCCCTGTCCAGATAGCGCCAGCTGGGGAACAAGATCATCAGGTAGAATTCGATACGGGGCGCAGCAAAACGCACCGATACCACTTCCAATAGCTCCCCCGATCTCAGTCAAGAGAAGCACGACCGCAGTAACCATAGCAACATCGATATGAGGAACACTAGCTTGAGCAGCTACCTGGATCGTGACCGATGCCATGCCGCCGCCCATACTTTGCAGGATCTGAGTCCAAACGATCTCTGCGTCTGACGCGTTGGCGCCGCGGGAGTGAATCATGAGACCAACACCAAGCAATCGGATACATAGGCCAATGATGAGCATCAGCTGTGACGAGGCGAGTGAGAAGGCGGAAATATGTGCATGCCATCAGAAAGAGTACCTTGTATCGATGGAAATAACGCATCGCTGCACCAGCACAGATACCGAAGAATGTGAGCCCAACGGATTGAGTCTGTATAAAGTATGTCGCGTTGATCAAAGTCCTGCACACACAACATCAGACGATGTGGATGGAAACGCAGAAGTCGCTCCTACCATGGCTTCACAACGAGAACAAAGGAGTATAGGTACACATATGTCAGGTAGAACGAGATCTAGTCGGATGTGAGCTTATTGAATTATGGAAACGGAGAAGAACGCACGAAATCAAAGAAACCGATCAAACTTGCACCAACGACACTTCGATTCTTGACGTATCTCCATGGAACCACTGGGAACTTAGCGAACTTGAACTCCCATGGACCGATAAGAGGGAAGAGTACACAGCCAATAACCACCATGGCAATCATTGATGCTAAGCATAACCTCGTAAATGAGTGGAAAAACATGTAGTAACTACCACCTACGATTGTGCCATTGCCCCTTTGCATTGTCCGCTAGCGTCAGAGGTAGCAAGATCAACGCGACACTCGTTCCTATGAGTGCCAGGCCGAAGATGTCGAGCTGAGATGCAAGATCGAAGGCTTTCTTATACAAAGGTTTATTCTTTCACACATCGTCAGTATCAGAACAGGTTAAATGCACAGGATACATACTTCGACTGGTTTCTTCGGCACCAAACCAAGTCTCTTTGCCTTCCTCTCCGCCCAAACAAGGGTGACGATGAGTGGAGCCAAGGACGCGGGAATCAAGATCGCGAACATTCCATCTGTAGTAAGCGGAATCAATCACAAAACACGGTCCGCTGGAAACTAAACTCACATCCCCATCTCCACCCTGCCCCATGGAGGACCTGCGTACTGATATTGCTGCCAATGAAAGCATTGATGATGAACGGGAGGGACATCAACCCAGAGACGAGACCACGCCATTGCAGGGTAGTTATATCAGCAATGATGATCTGAGTAAGGAGCTGGAGGCCTGTGTAACCGCTAGAGAAGCAGCGTCAATTATGATCTTCGGGAACTAATATGCCGACTCACATAGCATACAAGATAATACCTCCGGCTATCGTCTGGATGCTGTGGGCGCTGGCGATGACGATATAACCTGGGTTACAGTTTAGTATTGACGTAAACGTGATGGACAGCTGCTGCGCACCGATGACATAAAATATCACTAGAAAAGCTTGTTAGTCGTTTATAAAACCCGACGAACAGTTACCCACAAACTGCAACGTAGGCTGTTCCTCTTGACTGAACATCGGCAACCTTGGAAATGACAGGCTTCCCGCACGCAACTAGAAGGACTTCAGTCAGCTCTGCCTTCTCAGCTAAGACGAGTGGAATTCACTGATGATAGACTGCGCGACCTGGATAGTACTAATAAGACTGTGGTCGTTCAGAGACGACGCCGCGAATGCAAGGTACGCCCAGGTAGTTTGTCCATCGAGAGAATAGATGTACGCGGACAGACCCAGCCTACGACCTCATGAGAACGACAAACAGGAGCAAAAGACAACAGACGAACCCAATAAACAGGAACCACCTGGAATATTTGCCGTATACCTTATGTGTAGCCTTGATCTTGGCAACACCGCTGTGGGCGACAACCTCCTCGGCGCCAAGGTGGGGAACCTCGCTGGAAACACTCTTGTGATCCTCCATGGCGGGTAAAAGGAAAGGAGAGAAGCTTATATAGCCCCTTCTTTTCTACGAGCCATATGGTTACGCGCCATAGATGTCGCCTGATAACGATTTGGTTCCTTATCTGATAAGCAGATATGATCCGAAGCGGATCTAGTTGAAATCGGGTTTTCGGCCGGTTGGTACCTTGACCAAAAGACGACGGATTTCAAGCTGGACGAGCCGCATGCACAAAGTGGGCACCAAGCTGACTATTGGGCAGGAGTAACAGTAGATATTTGAGGACCGTTGTAGGAGAGGATCAGCATTGGGAGCGAAAAAATTCCACCATCAGAAATCCATCAGCAAGCATTCCTCTCCTCCGAATACGTGTGAGATAATACTTGTCAGGATCGGCTTCTTGGGTGGCTACAGGTGACCAACTCGGCATTGAACAGGAACGACATGTCCAGGTTATTAGTATATCATGCGCGCGGCGCACGTCAAACCTAGCCATCTAAAAGCGTTAGGCTTCTCCTCCCCGGATAATTTCATCTTGCCCAAAACATAAGGCAGAGGAGGGCCTATCACGCTCCATTCTGGGTTTGCGATGAGCTACTCCGTTTGGGCTCTGGAGTCAAGGATTTCTGCTGTCTCGTCGCTCAAACAAGCAGGCGAGCTCGAGACCGAGATTGAACGGCATCGGCTGGAGGACTGAGTGGTGCGGATCACGTTGAACCAGGAAATTGAGGAACACGATGAATAGGGGAAGAAATCGGCGGCGCGATGTTGGCTTTCTCTTGTATTGACTCTCGATCTCTTTGCCGACTTCCAGATCTATCCCAGAATTCCCAAGGCATGTCTGGAGACGCGAAAGCCGTGATAGCATCGTGCTTAGTGCCGAACGTTGTTGACACCCAAATTGGTGCGTACAACGATGTATGAATACGAACGTTGTCGGCAAGACGTCATGAGTCACGTTCCAAAGATGATAAGTTTGGGGGAAGCGGTTTGTCGCTGTCATATGCAGGGTTGATGCTACGGATGTTACAGTGAGTAAGAAGGGAAGAAAGGAAGAATGATGGACGAACCTGCGCTGCACTAGTGAATAGCGATCACTCGAACCCTGAGGGTAGTGGCACCATCGGAGAAATAGCTAGTACCCCTTGTCCAGCGGATACACGCTCATAGTAGTCGAGAAACTAATAAAACCCTGAGAGGCAGCATGATCTACGTAGAAGTCGTTGCCCTTCAAGCTTCAAGTTCGGGAACTAGTTCGTCGTCCGCTTGTCTACCGGATGCCTTCGGGAAGCTTTGATACTTTTGACGATCGACCAGCCGTTCGGAGAAAGTTAACATCGCGAATATTCTGAATCATGACATCAGCACATGTCGAACCAGAAAGAAGTCTATACATACCAGCTTGATAGAAGCGTATCTGGACAGTATTGGTGTTACAGATATCACCGATGTAACGATGGTTCTAACATTCTCGAGAAACCTAGCCTCGGTTCTCCTCAGCAAGAATCTCGTCGGGTACACACCTCCTCGTTACGATATACAGCACGACATGCTCTTTACGCTTGCCCTCCTATCGAAAGATGCAGAGCGAAACAGTATAGGATATAGAACACTTAATGAAAACAGTCAATATAGACCTGACGATGCTGAAAAGAGCTCACAACAGGCAAGGGAGAAAACAGGACAGCCGGCACCAAAAAAAACAACTGGCCATCGCATGGGAATCTACATGGGAATTGGAGAATCGCAGATGATTCCGCCATCTTAGTCGAAATCATTTGCCAGATGACGCTTGCAAGAAGACACTTCTTCCGTGACCATTGTCGAGCTGTATGTATCAGCGAAGGTAAGCATTTGTCCTCCATGGATTCGATGCCTGCGAGACGTAACTGGGCACCTTTGATGAGTTCAGTTATGACGGTACACTGGGAAGGTAACTCACCTGGAACCGTAACGCAGTCGCATGAAATTTCAACACTCCGCTGCTGTCGAGCATGAGAGAGGAGGCGGGGATCGGATACCCCAGGGCCACAGTGGTTGCAGAGAGCCGTACGAATATGTTTGCGTCCGAGGCCACTGCGAATGTTATGACTAGTTCGGCTGCTTCTAAGCTCCTGGTCGGTGCTGAGGCAGATTCGCTCGTGGCTACCCATCCTCGGGGGCAGCGAATGATATCGTCCAACTGAGGCGACAACTGCGGAACCAATAAGAAAGACGAAGGTCATATCAATTCTGTCGTACCTGTAAGGTGCATGTCGGGTACAAGGCCATCCAGTCTATCTTCGTCGAAATTGGCACGAGGCTTGCACCAGTCATACATTGTCTGAACAACGACCGAGAGATCTTGCTTTATGCCAGAGCATTGAGCCATATTGCGGGGGGGAGTCGAACGACAAGGTAACGCGATAGAAATGTTACCTAAACCGTTATCGGTCAATAAAAGACATGAAACATATAGTAGAACGTACAATGACTCGCGCCGAGGAGCAGCATGGTTCAAATTCGTCTCATTTCGTTCCGCTTGAGGTCTTCAGAGTTGCAGGCATCCGTTGCTTGCTATATGAGAGAAATTCGGCCTGACTTTGGGGGAGAAAATGGCGGTGCGCCGTTGTCGTCACGGGAGAAGAGCAAAACGGAGACAGAAGAACAGAACGTGAGGGGGAAGGGAAGAAAGAAAGTGACGTGATAGTAATGACGCGTGTGGGTCTACAATGCCGCATCCGCCGAGTATCTCAAATCGACGACAGCTTCGGTAATTTCCGGCTCGGTCCGATTGTGGCGATCATTTTTCGTCTTCCCTATCAACGTAGATGCTGTCTAGCATCCGCCGCTTTCTCACTTCCAAATTACCTGGAAAATCTACTTCGACGCCTCAGGTACTTCTGCATCCTGCCCGAGAAGGAGATGTTCTCAACAACCAATATTCCATCACACGCGGGTTGGGTGAAGGCTTTGGAACTCGCTCCACCATTTGGCTCTCTAAAGACGCCGTGTACATTCTCCTCGTTTGTAATTTTATTACTTTTCAGCTAACCCAGGCTATAGAACTGGACACGACGTCGTCCTCAAAATTACAGGTGCAGACTCGACGGATGCAGGAAAATACTCCCAGTTGGAAGTTTCTTTTCTCCAGAAAGTCCGCGAAGCGAGAGGAGCCAATGAACAGCAGCACGTAATTCGAATGCTCGACAACTTCTCGCTTTCCAGCTCTTTTGGTACTCATAGCTGCCTTGTTCTCGAGGTCCTTAGCATGTCCTTAGAAGAGCTGACGCGCAAGACGCTGCCGAACAAGTTTCCCATACCTATGTGCAAACAAATCATCAAACAGTTACTTCTCGGCTTGGACTTTCTTCATCGTGAATGCGGCATAGTTCATACTGGTAAGCGTATCCTCCCTCTGTTTCGTTCGTCTGAAGCTAATTCAACATAGACCTGAAGTTAGACAATCTGCTCTTGCGCATGGAGGACACCAAAGGTATAAGTTTACCGGGAGCCTCTGAATCACCTGCAATCGACTTATCCCGCGTCTCTCTCGGACCATCAGCAGTCGTCATAAGTGACCTTGGCGTCGGTATATGATTCTTGCAATTTGATCATGGCCTCTCTTATATCCTTTTAGCTAGCAAAATAGAAAGTCCCTTCAACGGAGTCATACGACCATATGCCTCACGTGCGCCAGAGATTTATCTCGGCATTCCCTATGGTCCGCCTGCTGACATATGGAACTTGGGTTGCCTCGTACGTTCTAATGTGTTTTGTATCCTACTTCGTTTAACGACAGTTTATCTTCCAGGCATTTGAGCTCGTGACGTATTGCTGGCTCTTCAATCCCCAGCGACATCCCGATGGTCCCGAGACGACGATATGAGTGGGCAGATGCTTTCCGTCAACGGACTTACAACGTTCTCAGTCGACGTTCTGGCCCGCGGGAGGTTCAGTCTCCCAGTATTTCGACACGTCTGGTAAGCACTGCGGGCATTCATTTGATTAGCATTCCATGACAGCACCGTCCAGGAAAATTCCTGAAATACAATATCATACCAACTGATCTGAGAACAATGGTTCAAACACGATTTCCCTTGAACCCTGAGGACGAGCCGGACCTCTTCGCTGATATGTTATCTCGCATGCTTCGACTTCGTCCCGAAGACCGAGAGTCCGCTAAGGAACTGCTCAGTCATCCTTGGCTGCAAGATGTTTAATTACATGACCAGACTTCAGTCGTCGCCTGTCACAGCTTCTGAAGTGATCTTAGCTTCGTCGTTGTTGCTTGCTCAGTTACTGCTTTGTTCTCGGACGCTGATGCCGTTTTCATTCCTGTATGTTGCGAATAACGCCGCTATGATAGTGATAAACGTTGTTCGCTTTGGCTATATCGCAAACTAAACGATTTAATGCAGCGTCCTGCGCCGTCTTGCTTAACTTGTATGACATTTCCTCATTCCCCCACCGCAAAGAATACAGCGAATGTGGTTCTTGAATCACGATGATCGCAACCCCTTACGCCCAAGTCGACGTTTCTCTTGAGAAATAAATGGTTGTTAGACACCGCGGAAATCTAGAACACGATGGAAGATCCAAGAGCGAGGTAAACGCCACCGGCTGTGAATCGGCCTTGCACTTTTTTCCCAACCACGACTTACCTCGCAACCATGGTAACCATTTGCCTCATCTGCGACGCTCCAAGCAGGAGCCGATGCTCTCAATGCCACAATGTTGCTTATTGCAGCAGCGAGCACCAAGCACAGGTGTGTATCCGCCCACGCACTCGAACTAATACTCATAAAAAATCGCTAGGACTGGCCCGCTCATAAAGCTTACTGTAAACTCGTCAGTACGCCCGGAATTACTACCTACGATGCCATCCTCTTCGGCGTCAACGAGACAAGGCCGCGAATGATAAAACTCCCTTGGTCGTGGGGAGCAGACTACGAAGAGTTGGAGCCAGAAGAGCGATACCAGATGTTGGAAAAGCAGCCGTGGTATAGTGAACGCAACGCGTTTGTTCGCTCGCTTTTTATCGACACGTTCGGAGCCACCCCTGTGAAGCTGGGATACACGCTCGCAGTGCAATATGATGACCACTTCAAGATCAACGGGTCTCCAGTAAACCGCTGCATCCAGGCTATTACGGGAGGAGAGGCTGCGATACGTTGGGCAGGAAACGTTATGGCATTGAGGGCGGAGGATATGTATGTCTATAGGCATGGCGATGCGATTTTAGAGAAGGACTTGGCGCCGATGGTGGAGTTCTTCAAGGATTACGGGAAGCGGCATGGGGGGGGGGATGCGCTTCCTCACACAACAACCTACCTAACGGTTTGCAGCAGCTAGTAAACATATTACGCAGCACATTTAGTACCGTCATACTATGAACGAAAACTGCATGTGCATCACTGTTGACTATCATACTGACAAATGTGAGATTTGTTAGTGTGGTTATTCTTCTCTCTGAGATCGGTGAACGATACTTCAGAAGCAAACATGACTCCTTATCAGCTCTTCTGCCTGTTAAAAGTACCACTCGAATCACTACCTGATGGAGATTTAGTACGGCTGCCAGATACGATAAAATGCTCACTGACCCGTAAGCCCTTCCAAGCGAACATGGTCCTCGAAAGTCGAATGGCGGAAGAAAAGTGCAGTGTCAGCATGAGCAACTTCTACATGGGCTGAAATCGCTCTCTCAGGAGAGATAACGGCAGCCATACATAAAATCTACCGCATAAGTGGGGCTCCATCGATCCCACGATCAGGACGAACATACCTGCATCGACGATACAGCTAGAGTCAAGGGCAAGGGTTCGAAGCCACGAACACGAGGGACAAGATATAACATACTGAGACCAGGATCTTCGTATGCTGCTTTGGCAGTGTTGAAGTCGAAGAACTCCAGAGGAAAAGGTGGACGTAAGGCCCCCCCCCCCTCACAGTTGAGAGCAACGCGCAATAGCTCGCACGGAACGCAGAGGCCTTGACTGACTGGTACTGGAATCTCGCTGATCAGAAGACTTGACAGGGATTTCGTGCTGGCGAGCCTGATCAAGCTAGGTTCAAGTGTGAATAACGGCTGTGATGACTACGACGAAGTGGGGGCGTTGATAACTGCGAGCTGCCACTAGAAATGGTAGGAGTAAATACGAAAACTGGAAAACTGGATTGATTGGCCATCTCCGCTGATACAGCTCAGGTAACGAGAAGGCAGGCAAAACAGCAAGCCGGTCCGATATAGTGCCGAAGTGCCGGTTTTCGGGCGTTGCCGCACTCGTTGCATTTCCGACTCTTTACACCGACCATCTCAACTCAACCCGCATCATATCCTCCGCCCTCCACAGTCCCCTATCGTCTCATCAATGGTCATCCCTTCCCGGCTGATCCCTTTATTGTTGGCTCCTCCATCTCCTACAACACTCCCCACCTCCGCATCATCCCCCATCTATCGTCTGCACCCCTGCTCACACCAATTCGTCGTCAATCCCTTCCCAGATCAATGCCATCGCAGATCTTGTTGCTTCCTGTTCTCAGCGCCTACAAATTCGGCCACCTCCGGCACCTTTACCTACATTTTTCATGGATCCATTTATGCATTATTCAGAAAACGACGGCTACATCGAGACAAGTGTTCCTTCTTATATGCTGTCCATGCTAACCTCCGCCCCCTATTCTAGCCCAGATTTCCGCCCTGCCACGACGATGCTCTTGCCATTTTACGACCAGCACACTCCTCCTGAACACCCTTATTTGCGTGCCTCTTCAGCGTATTCGGCCTTGGTGCAGCTCTACGTGAGATCAGACCAATTGGACATGGCATGCACACGATTCAGACGTTTCGGAAACGTATCCCCCATGTGTATTAGCGGATGCGATGCACTTGAAACAGTCCATCATGTTTTCGTTTCATGCCCTGTATATCATTCCTTCCGCCAACACGCTACTCAAACACTCATCACAGAGACATCTCAAGTCCTGGACTCTGCAGAAGTACCCCTGATGATTTGCAGGGCATTTCTTCATATTGTCCAACGTCTCTTTGAAGACGGCCCAGTATGGCCCCAATCGGTGTCTCGCTTCTACCTCGGTCTGACGCCATCCTTGCCCGCACTCCCAGGACTAGAGAGAGAGAAAACAAACCGGGTGTTGGTTCGCATCTCTCATACTTGGCATACAACGTGCATACGTCTGGCCGGCAGAATTTGGGCTGAATACAAGCAAAGAGTATGTCTAGCCTCAGCCAAAAACAATGCCAACACTGTAGCCATACAGTTACAGTCCTTTTTATCTCATATCTCATCTTCTTGACCGTTTCTCTAGACGATGTCTCGTCGCTCTTATCTTACTGTACTGATCCCAGCGCATCGGAAAGCGCTCACTCGTCTGCTTCTATCCTCCCATGTGCTCGGTGTAGAAGTCCTTCGGTGGTCAGAGCGTTATCGCCCATACATTCCCCGTGATTGGCGCTTATGGCGCTTCTGTCGAGTTACAGTAGAGGATGAGCCACACGCGTTACTCGTCTGTGCTGCTGCGCCCGGTCTCACCTCCCTATGACGGCAATTTTTGGTCGATATCTTTCAGATATGTCCTCATTTGCGATCAGCTTGGAATACATTAGGGGTCGACGACCGCTTGGCGTGCCTGTTGCAGGTACCTGCTGCAGAGCCTGTTTTAGCGCAGTTTGTTCATCATGTTTTCGAAATCTTTCGAAGTGTCCCTGTGTACATACCACCGCTGACTCTTTGTACTGGCACGGCTGCTTCGGAAGACATGTGAACGCATCGAGTATTCGTTGTTTTTTTTGTGCTTTACAGACATTGAGCAGTACATATAATAGTCTTGTTCTTCCCTATCATATTGCGTTCCCTTGTCCCTGCATGTCCTTCAAATCCGTGAGACGTTCTTGGTCGGTAACTGAGGATATCACAGCGGCATGAGGGAGTGTAGTTTGTGACACATTTTGTGTCGCCGTACAGAGCCCCGGCGTTCCTTTTTGGGACCACGACCGGTTATCTATCTATCTATCTTAATACGTGTAACCTTACTTACAACGAGCTACCGAGGTAGATTAGTTTACGCCTGAGCTGTATCAGCAGAGGTGGCCAAGCAATCCAGTTTTCCAGCGTTCAAGTTCTGCACAGCCATCTGCAACATGATATGTATATCTATGATTCTTTGCTTCTTGATACATATTAGCTCACCTCGTTATATAGAATTTTAGGCATTTATGCAGGGCTGCGATGCCGCGACTACAGGGCCAACTTGACTCGGTGCCTGGTTGGGTGCTGGATATCCCGTACCAAGACAAATTTCTGTCTGGGCCTTCGGTTTCGCCTTTTTGACTCGAAATTAAACCTTCTGAAGTATCACTACTTGATATCCGGCCATCATCATCATCCTGTATCCATCGACCTCGCCGCTCACTGAATTCCTGAAGTTGTGGAAACCATCATTACCACTGTTGACAGTTCAACAGTGTTGCTTCATAAACATTGATTCTTTCATAGCCAACTCTTCCGATGCTCCGATTCCCCGCTTGTGCCACCAATGGCATCCATCTACAGGTGTCCATTTCACTGTGATTAAGAAAATCATAGCCACAAGGTTTCGTTCTTATCTCAATCAAATCTCAATGTGCCAAGGGGGTACCGGAATTCCGGCCCGGCACACCGGGTAGGTAGGTAGGTCCAGCCGGATGTCACGAAAAAAAAAAGTTGACCACCATTTTGGGGGTCTAAGAATGGACTTCAAGGATAAATTTTAGAGCATACATGATACAATATATGCTACTGAGTGTGCTACTTACCTTAGGGCATCATACCTAGCGATACCAACACTCAGTCAATGCCATTGCAAAGTGGCCCTGCTGACTGGACATGGTGACATTACGACATCCCATTAGAGCATAGCCATGATTTAGACTTGATAGCGTACAGATTATGTTCAAAACACTTTCAATATTAATATCACGGCTATTTCAGGCAAAATATTCACCGAATTGAGTCGAAAGATACCCAAATTTAGCATAATGACATCATAGATGTCACGTGAAGGTAGGTAGGTCCATCGTTGGTGCACGAAATTATTTAATCGACCCACTGTCTTTTAATTCATTATTAGGACCCCCTTGCAATGTGCCTATTCCCGCACATATAAAGACTTTTTTTAGGTCTGTTGACGACCCTCATAATATCACAACGGAGGTTCTGAGATGCCGCCATCAACCGGTTCTTCGTCCATATGTGATGGTACCAAGAGCTGGATCACTCGAACTGTCACTGATATCAGCGACCATCTTTTCATTCAAGTTCATCGAGATGTGATTGCTGCTTGACACAGGACGGTACGAAGTAGACCGCCGCTCTTAAGATTGGATTGGCTGGAATTTTCGAAGGCCTTGATTTCGCTTTTCGTCTTCGGTGCCCTTGGTGGAAGCCATCACCTCATCAGTGCGTATGACCATTGAAGGTCGTACAGATCCTTCATAAACCATTCTCTCTTTCAAACCCCCTCCCATAGTTTGGGATGGCTGACTTTCTTTTCCATGTGTGAGTCTCCGCCCAACGTTGGTGACTACGCACTCATTTCTAGCAGGATATCTAATCTTGCCCTGGCTTCGGTTGCCTTCACCCTTCAGATCAAAGTCGGGGACGCAGGCCACATATTAACAGGACAGAGTACCAGAGTGTCCATCATACGCGAAGAGGGAGATCCTGCTGATCTATTCCTCCTGAAACATCGACTTGAAACCGATAGTGACGTATCTCACGATGTGCTCAAAGTCACCAACTTCACTGCCAATACCATGATCAATATGACTTTCAGTACCAGCGAGTACGCCTGGTCAATCTCCCCTTAAATTCGCCAACCTAATCAAACCTTTCAGCAAGTACGAGATCTTCGCTTATGGGATGTAGGTTGCAACCTTTTGACTGTGGTGTTATCGCCGACTTCTATATGTAGTTCCGACCTGGATCCGTTCGCAACAAGTGCCGTGTTCGAAGTACAGGATGACAACGTCTCCTACCAGTCCCACTTGGATAAATCACAGAAGATATTAAAGATTATTGGATCCGTGCTTGGTACAGTAATATTTATACTACTCCTTTCGCTAGGAGTAGTTCTGTACGGTCGCCTGCGCAGAAAGCGAAGAAGCGTATCATCCCTCAGCCCCATGACCACGCGTGAAGGTCTAAAAATATGGCCTTTCTTCCAGAATCGACAACACCGTATAATGCGCAAGCTACGAGGAAAAAATGCACCTGTAGCAGCGCCAGTGGATACAGCGATGCCAACATCCATATCCTCGAGTGTCACGGAATTGGGGGTCGAAGAAGAAGAAAAAGAAGCCGATCTTCCAGGGACAGAGCAAAGACGATGGTCCATCCTGCGCGGAACCTCTGCACCCTCGGATCGTGCCTTCGAGCCTCCGTTTTCAGAAATTGCAGGTGAACAAGGGAGTCCCCAAATCCCTGCCGAGGAACAGATACCGCGCGCAGCCTCGACTCGTTCAATGAACGAGGGAAGAGCCAGAGAGATACAAAGGTTGTGGAACCGGATACAGCAGCTCGTTGCTGAGAGGGCGTCAGTACGGGAACCACATAGTGACCAGGATCCTCCTCCGGAATACGTATCAGAAGTTATTACATATGTATCAAGATAAACGTGGTGATCCTCATAAACGAAGCACTCATAGTCGACTTGTAGCAGATTCGCTGTCGAAACCCACTTGCGACTCACATTCAAAGAACATAGTAGTGTTTCTTATGGATGCGTATGTTATTTAGTTCGTTAGCACAGGTCAACATTATAGTTCTTTTTACGCCAAAAAAAGGAAGCCTATGCTTAAATATATTCCTCTATTTGAATTGGATCTTCAAGTCCTCTGATATCCGAGTTCAAGTTATTTATAACACCCTGTTCGACGTCCCATATATCTCCGTGCTGGACACAACACCGAAAATTGTCTGAAATCCTTTTTTTTAATGGGAAGTACAACAGCTGGCAGCGACTGGAGCTCAACACAGAACACCAAAACACCGACGTCATTTATCCCTACAGTACTTTAGGAATGAAATTTAGCCTGCTAATTGTCTCATCTCATATCAGTAATCAAGCAGTATTTAGATTCATATATTCTTATTTTACTTGACTAGTGCTTCTAATGGACTTGTTATCAGATGCGGACACGTCTCTGATGTACAGCTTTCTAAGTGGACGGTGGCGACCTCAATTGATCGTCGTGCATAACTGAGTATGACGGCCATAGATATTCTTCGCCTTCGTAATAGCGTGTATATATGACTGCATGTATTGGTATTAGGTAATTAATGAAATCTTTCACCAGGTTTGGGTCTGATGATCGTACTAAAGGGTTGAGAGAGAGGTATCTCAACAAATATCATGAGATGCTGTGGAATATTGATGACCCTGTGGCTGTGCGAGCTGGCGCGATGTCCAGTTAGCCCGAGTTTTGCTGAGTAAAGGTTTACTAAGAGAAAGAAAGTACTAGAAGATACAAAATGGTATTTAAGTAGCTAGATTTCGTAGTGTCCTGTACTCGTTTGCCTTCTAAGCAAACATTATCTACTCGCTAGGCAAACGTGCCTGAGCACACGGTGCGCGTGTTATCCAACAGATGCACCTCACCCAAACAAATAGCTTTGAACCAATCCTATGACAGTCCTTGAATCCCATTCCTTTGCAGATACCAATACGATATATAACGACAATCAAGTGGCGATAGTTAGTCCTCATTACTCCTACTCAATTTCCACAGATCCAAGATTCTCAGACTGAATACTAATGGAAACGACCACATATTACGCCCAGATTTTGGCCCTGGACCTGCCAGTCTTCCCAACGATCCGCCTTCATCCAAGCGACTTATCAATTAGTAACCCGAGTCCTGAAGCAACGTCAATTTTCGCGTCAGTTTGCTTAGCTTTAAAGTCATTTTGCTTGCTAATATTACACACATTCCCTGTCGGGGGTCATCCGACTTGGAATCTACCTCTACTAGAGAGAGCACTATCTCCTTAACATCATGGCGTGTATAGGTCCAATGCTTCTTGATACATTCTCTTCACTGGAAGGTCTGTCGCTTGGACCTCGGCGCTCACTAGCACTACCCATGACAATTCTGGAGAAACTTCTATGTCGGTTCGCATGTCCCTAAGCTCTATTTGAATGCTTATAAGTCATGGATTTTTTTCTAGAACGCAATCATCATCAACTTTACGTTACCAGCGGAACGTCAGCGAGACGGAGGGTCCTACTAAGTGCGACTAACATCCGTCAATTTCCGTGAGTACGAGCAGTCCGTCATGCGATAATCCTACCATCAGATGAAGTACACTTTCACGCCCGAGGGAGCTCATCACATAGCTCTGACTCATATAAGCCAACGCAGACCTCCCACATATCGGAAGCGGTGAATTGGTCCTGTAGTTAATTCCTTTGCTACTAACTTTCCCTAGGAATAAGAATTCTTCAGTCGCCGTGCGAGAATAAATCAAAACCTGTGGTCCCTCGCCCTTGACCCTGTAGTCATGCCATGTCCCGACGCAAACGAACACGGCATTCCTCCAAAGGTGCCGATCCGCCTGGTAAAGGAAGAGGGCAGGCGATGTGCCGGCGGACAACATCGGTATCCATGTCCTCGGATGGGAATGCCTTAGAGCCGTCGTTTTCGAGAAGTGTGGATGAACGAGAGTATCCTCAGATTCCCTCCGAAGAGACGATACCGCACGCAAGCACTTCAGCCTCGCCTCAGCCAATGTCGGCGAGTGATGAAACGGCAGAAGAGATCTTAAGGCTGCGTACCCAGATAGAGCAGCTCATTGTCGAGAGAGCATCAGTATGGAACCCTTACAGCGAGACAGATCCTCCTCCGGCATACGTGGAAGCTGTTGAAGAAGATGGCTCTGGAGAAACGTGATTACCACTCTACACTTAATATTGATAATTAGTTCTTCGATATAATTTCTTTCAGCATAATACTCATTTAATTCTTGGTTTACTGTAGTATACCGGCACAAAGTTATGACCTACTGGTCAATAGAGAGTAAGGCGGTCATAATGGCGAAGAGAAAGATAGGTAAAGGCATGCCGACAGTCACGGGTTACGGCGTCTTGTTGGAATTACTTAATTTACTAACATTATTTTTTGAGGCGCAGTTACAGAGGGGCCAAGATCTAGAGGTATTAGAATCTCTGAGCTTGCGTGTGTCTATCAAGGTGCAAAAGTTTTGTAGGGTAGCAAGAACCCGAAGCCAGACAGAGAATAAGCAAGTATTCGGATCGAATACAAAAGCAGCAAGGGAACAAGGCTTTCGGGCGCCTGGCATCACAGTGGCAATAACACGCTGATCACATCGAGAACTAACTATCAACGTTAAAATGTAGAATAGTAATCACATTTCTCTCGAGTCATCTTCTTCCACATATTCCGGAGGCGGATCCAGCCCTCTATCTAGATGCCAGGCTGCCGCTCTCTCAGCAATCAACTGCTGTATCTGGGTACTCAGTCTCAGGAGTTCCGCTACCGCCTCATCGTTCATTGCATGAGGCGACACTGAAGTGCTCGAATGCGATATCGTCTCCTCAGCAAGAACTTGCCGATCCCCATCCTCTTGTTCAGCCGCGCTTCCCGACAACGAGGGTTCATGCCCAGGCTCAGGGGCATTCATCCAATGACACGGGCGGCTCCGTCATGAGCCTCCTCCCTTTCCCTTCATCTTGCTCTTGGGAGGAAACCCGAACTTGCCTGGATACAGGCTCGGGTGATTTTACGCACCGTGTTTGGGTTTTGTGTGCACGTCGGAGAAATACGACTCCTAGCGAAAGGAGAAGTAAGAACACTATGGAACCAAGGACAGCTCCGACTATTGTCGACGTCGATGGGTGCGGCGGTTTCTGTGAGTGTTAAGAATCAGGGTATTTCGAGCTAATACACGAAGTAATGAATACTCGAGTAAAACCTAAGTTGAGAGCGAGGATGTCCGAAAGCCGAGTTCCAACCACCAAGAGGGATCCGTAAGAGTGTTAACAAGCGCCAGGCGTAGTTAACGGGGCGTCAG